AGGCCATCCGCATAAAAAGTATACTTACCTTTTTTCTTTTTTTTTCTTTTTTTCTTTTTTTCTTTTTTTCTTTTTTTTTTTTTTTTTTTTTTTTTTTTTTTTTTTTTTTTTTTTTTTTTTTGAGTAGTCGAGCTAAAATTCGCAATGGGAATTGCGACTGCACCTCCTAACGAGTCAGACATCAGAAACAAACTAACCATTCTATGATGCTTTAATAAGTCATAGGACCAGTAAGGCCCTCCACCTTTAGCAGATCGCCAATTCACAGCTGCACGCACAGACACTTGCGTTTATGGCTTTCAGCTACCAGGTATTAAACAACTATTTTCGCAAACTACCCAGGGCTAGCGGATTGCCAAAACAATTGACCTGCGTGACGCTGTATATGGGAATAGCTTGCAGGTTGTGGCGATTGCCCCTTTAAGCCCAGAACGTCAGGCGCAGCGCAGCCATGTAAGCCTCGAAGGCAAGGAGATGCAAAAAGAAAAACTCGAACTTTACTGCAACAGCGCTGTAGAAGTTGCATGATGAAAGTTTTTTGTTCATTGAATTTAGACAAGGAAGTTGCGTTTCCTTTCAAGTCTGAGGTATGTGTATGAACTAATTTCAGACTCGTTCCATTTCATCAACTCGCCTACCCAGCACCTCGAGGGGATTAAACGATACCTATGATACCGGGGCAGAGGTAGCGGAGCTGTGCCTGGCTAGTCATGCAGGTCTCGTAGAACCGCACGTGTTCCACAAATGCTCTACTAATGCACCCTACTGCTGTCGTGCCTAGATCTTGTCTGCTCCAAAAAGTTGGTGCATACGGTCCGATGAATGCCTGTTGTAACTTCAGTAGTAGAGAACCCTGAACGGCTAACGGATCTCGAAAACCGTTTGGCGGATTGTCCTGAGCCCAAGTAATAATAGGCCAATGGAGGCCACCCGCGATGACATTGCTAGCCGGCCGTTTCGGTTGCTCATGTCTCGAGACAGTCATCTACTTCCGGCGAGAAGGAAGCAGTTGCCATATGGGGAATCTTACCACCATTATCTGAAGGATTGGACTCGCAGGCAGCGCAGCCTTGATTCGAGTGGACAAACCAGGAAAGCTAACCAACTGCGCGAGGCTATACATGCTCTGCGATTGCAATTGACAGCCACACGAGGTACGGAGTCTCATGCCAACCGGTGAAGCCAGACGGATAGTCAACCTTCAACAGAGCGTTGCGCTAACGAGGTGCGCCTTTTTCGTTGCTTATTCCAGCGCTTCGTTTCTTCGACATGCACACCTATGCACTGAACCTGACGAGCGCCACCAAATAAGTGATTGAGAGCCGCACAATCTAACAGCCTCTCATCAGTGAAGGCTCAAGTGGTCTTCTGACGATAAACAAAAGATACTTGTCTCTTGTGTTACCATCTACAAAAGTACTGCTGTGAAACATCAAATGCCATGTGAGCTCCACGGCCAGATTTGTGCGGCCGAATGCCCGATCAGATCTTAAGTGGTTGCATCGGAGCCTGTAGCTTGCCACCACGATGTGCAGGTGTCTTCGGAGGGTGCTAGCAGGGAACACGATTAGTAGGCACACGACGACCACACCCACTCGTCTCTTGTCATACAGACATGCAGACGTGCAGACGTCTATCTCAACTTGCAGAGCTGCGTATGTACGGACAGCACACACACCGAATGCAGGCCCATTACTGGGATCCCAGCTGCTCACCCACGAAAGCTCCCGTATCGCTGAACCAATCCCTCTATGTACGATATGGAAGCCCAGGCGACTCTCCTCCCGAGGAATGGAGGGCTGCAAGCTCCACCTGGGCCACGTTTCGGCCGGACATGATCGGGAGGCTGATCTAGCGTTATCATTGGCGGCACCCCCTCCCTTAGCTGCCAGTTCTCGTCTTCACCCCACCTTGTGAAGATGCCCATGGTTGGCTCTCATTCGCCGACGTGCGAATCCCTCATCCGCGTACCTGATTTTAGTCCGGTGCCCTATCGAAGTTTCACATCAGAAAGGGGAAAGGCCTCCAGACACATGGCACCGTCCAAGGCCTGGTTCCTGAAGAACCGCGTGCCGTCAGGCCGCGAACTGTGTGGCCCGGCCCAAGCTGGGCGGCCATTCATCATGATTCTCATCGTCACAGCATGAATATTGGAGTTCAGCTGGAACACCGTACGGATAGAAACAATCGCTCACTGTCCCACTTAACATTCTTTTTGACAAGGCCATGCGAGCCATGGATTGTCCACGAGGTGACGGCGAACCCCTGGCCAGCGTTCCATGCGAAGATGATGTGACCTTACCAGCTTAGCTGTATCTCATAGGAGCGGAGAATAGTCTTGGCTCAGACGTTGCTTTTCATGACACAAGCAAGACATGGTCCGATCACACTAACACACCGCAGCGATCGCCTGCAATCCCAAGGCGAGCCACTTGCTGCAACCCATCTATGGGTTCGCCCAATGGCAAAGGCCGTAGTTCACAGTAGAGGCTTCGAAACAAGCCACGCCCAGGCTCGTCCCCATCGCTGCAGGGCCTCGGGAATATTGCAGCACTTATATGGTCACTCCGAGCGGGACTCCACCACGATGGGAGCGATCATTACATTACAGCCCACGAGAACAAGGCACCACCCCGGCCGGGCTTGTATCTTGGTACCCATCCATGCGGGACTGTCAAGTTCCCGCTCGCACTCCCCATTCAGCACGCACGGTTGACGGTTATATCTGCCGAACCCTCCCACGCAACCAGTGGTGTTTCCAGCAGCTTTCCCAAGCTCAGCTGCTGCTATAGAGGAGCACCTCCTTTATAGATGGAGAAGCGCCGGACCTCGTTTCACAGCACAGCATCCCTTCGCCTGGTCACTGCTTCGTCTGAATTCTGTGACATCTCAGCTCGGCACCGGCTCAGCCAGAGCTTTGTGATTAGCACCGTGAGTTTGAGTGGTTTCCTTAAATCTCTCGGGCTCTCTTCATACCCCCGCCTTTGCGGGAGAGGCACGAGCTTTCTCATCTCGTCATGGCTAGATGACATCTGCCTATTTCATCGTGGCCAGACGCCCGGTTATTGGTGGCAGTGTCGTGGTTCTCTTGAAGCCGATCCTTCGGCTTCGAAGTTCTTGAAGATGTTCTTCTCACTAGTCTCGGCAGGCGTCTCCGGAGCCAAACTTGTGGTCACCCGCGACGACGAGGATGATGATACTGGTTCGTACTGGCCATGATGGAAACTAAAGTGGCTTTCTTTTTAGGGGGAATGCAGAGACTAACAATTCTTTTTTTCGACAGGGCTTTCGAGGCCTATCAACTCGAAAGCAGGGGCTGGCGGTCCACCAGGACCACCTGGGGCAGACAAGCCAGGCATTCCACCTGTACAAGGTCCTACCAATGGTCCAGGACCTCCTGTCCAGTCAACAACTACCTCGACGTCTACCTCCTCAACTTCTACCTCCTCCGCTGTAAGCGTATCGACGACGGAAGAGGGTACGAGTACTACTACTTTGATTATCTCGGTGACGCCGTCAGCGACTCGACCCACAACAAGCACTTCTGCCGCCTTCTCTACGATCGTTTCTCTGCCAGTTTCCACTCTGACGACGTCTTCTACGAATTCTTTCAGTACCATTAGCGCACCTTTAACGACCTCCACAGCCAGAACTGGCGACGACATTTCCACGAGGACCGTCCTCATACCTACTCTTTTGCCTACGACTTCTTATATCAACAACATGAGTGAGAAGAGTACATCGAATGACGGTGCCAACAACCGCACCCTGATCATAACCCTGAGCACAGTCTTGTCCGTTGTTGGCGTGGTGGTGATATCGATAGCAGTGTACCTCTGCCTCCGCAATCGCCGCAGACGCTTAAAGCTGTTCAACAGAGGAATCACTCCGATTGACGACGACGAAATTGCAACGTGGAAGACGAATCGCAATGTCCAGGAGAAAGGCGGCGACAGATACACAACGCGGAGGTCCAACTCTTCTGCTTACACACACAGGCACGCACCCAGCAACAGCTTGATACAGTACCAGAGCAATGTTCGACCTTCCTTGGATACATCACCACAGTCCCCGAGGTCATTCATTCACAAGCAGAGCTTCGAGGCGCCGCAATCTCTACCCGGCGCCGTGCTGGCAAAAGCGCCCAACGCTCGGTCAGGGCTGACTGACGAGGCGGTTCCGGGCGACGAGCCTTTTGTGGCTCCCATCAAACGCCAACCCTCGAAACTGAACAAGGCACCACCCAGTTCAAGTTCGCAGGGCCCCCAGCGTACGCGTGGATCAAGGAGCAGCAGCATGAGAAGTTTTGCCGATGCGTGGTACGGCGAGAACATGGTGATTCACTCGCCGCGCACTTCGTACGACACGCCAACCCGTACCACATCGCGGGTATACTCGACGTCCACGGCACCTCCGCGGCTGTCTCTAAGCGACACCAACGATCACTTCGCAACGGTTCTGTCACCACCGCCACTGCACCGCACGGAGATCGGTCGCGCACTCGGCTGAGGAACGACCCCGGCATTCAGACGGATTATAAATTCCTTTTTGCTCTGCAATTACCGACTGGGGGGCCCACTACTCCACATCTGACAGGAGTTTCCAAGGCGGCGGTATTCCGATGTGCAGGTTGCGGGGCCTCAGAAGGATGTGTTTCACATTTTTCTTGGTTGACTGGGCCGGGGTCACGACAGGGTCGGAAATCAAATCAACCTTATCCCGCTACCCCGGTCGAGTCGACGGGCCCGTGCTGCCGAAATCTTCAACATCCGGAAGTGGATGCTGATCTCAGCACTGATCAACCCAGCGCCATGTACCCAGGCTTTGCCAGGTACCCTCGGGCGACACGCCGTTTTCAGCGCGGCCAAGCGACCGGCTTTTTCTTTTCCTCACAGCACGGCTCAGTTCCGGCCGTGACCTACTGCTGGATCATTTACAGCATACCCGGGCGGGCACACTTTCCTTTTTACGTCAGCACACGAAGCATACGGAGTTCAGGACAATCATGGGCGGAACTATATAGGAGGATATACCCAGTTTTCTGTTTTATCAGCTGTCAGCAGCGCAGGCTCTTACTGCGCTTTTTCTTTTATTCTTCTTCGATTGCTAGGGTTACACGCATGGCTAGGGATGCGCATACGCGGTGCACGGCAGCCGCAGCGACGTTGGGGTATAGAAGCGCTCTAGGTCGCTCGATATGCCGAAGGAGGACGGCCCGCAGCATGATAGAAAGGATATGCCGCATGAAGGGGCCGAGCGATGCTTTGTACACTACGCTTGTAGACACACAAATCAGATCATCTCGAATGAATCACAGATCAAGGCAAAAATGAGCTCATCGGGGCCTCCCGTCTCTGACGCCGACCAATGTGAATATGCCATCCCGCAGCCAAAGCCTACCATGGTACTGACAACCCGGAAGGAGATGCACGACATCTGGGTAGGTAATCCACGCCGTGGTTTCATCTTGCCACCCTGGTTCTCCGCGTTGCGAATAAAATGCCCGCGGCCCGCGGTATGCGCGACAGGGTATGGGTTTTGAGGCATGGAAGATTTGAAACACCAGACAAAACTTCCAAATAACGCTTCGGAAAGTACTTGGGAATAAAGTAACTGTCAGCAGTTGCTGGGCTTTCCCCTCCCCGGATTTGCGCCGGGAAGGACGCAGCACGCGGGATCACGGCCCTCCCTTTCTTGCAGGCGTGTCTTGCAGATATAGATCAGAAAACCTTGTTCCCCCCTGCTCGATATGGTGACGAAACCCGGAGTCCAAATGGCCCGGATAAAGCTTGCGCGGTTTCCGGAATGCATATACAACGAGGTTAGAGAAGACAGCAGAATCACACGGGCTGGATGATTGGTTGAGCAATGAGAGGGACCGTGGTCATGGAAATCCTGCAACGCTGCATCGCACGAGAGAATAAGGCAGATTCGGGAGGTGGCAGTATGCCTCACTTGGCCAGGCGACGTACTCGTGCTAGAGCAAGTATAGTCCCGGTGATCTTCACCCTCTTCGATTCACGGCCGTCTTGTATATCTGCCGTTCCCAAGTTCCCATGGCGGTTTTATCACGTCGTGAGACCAGCTACGTCAGGCTACAGTCGTAGAATCCAGCCCTCAGCACCGTGGGGTTTCAGTCTTGCTGGCCCACAGTGGAGCAGAGTGCTGTCGCGGACATCAAGCACATCCAAAACCACTCATCATGGTCTTCGTAGAAACGACCCGGCGTTGGCTAGCCCGGCTCGGTAGTTGTGATGGCGGGTATACCTTCCAATGAAGCAGGGAGCCCCTCCCAGCGGCGGTCGGCGGCCGACGCACCACTTCGGAAGAGCTACACAGTATCAGAATGACACCTGGAGACTCCCATTACCTCTATGATGTCACAGCGAGGTCTTCGTTGCCTGGAGTTAAGGCTCACATGGTGGACCTCTTTTTGCAAAATTCGACAGCCTTGCGATCCTGGTCTGCTGGCATGTTGCGTGCGGTGTAAGCCGTCGATATACTCCACCGCGTGGGGGAGGTTATGGACGAAGCTCCACTGAAAATTGTAACCTATTCCGAAGAGATACAATGGAACTGAAGTATCCTTAGGAGCGGGAGGGACATTCCGAATCGACGCCTTCCCGACAAAGTGACAGCGCTCGGAACCTGTGGTTATGTAGAGGTTGCAAGTCGGAAGAGGGGGACCAGGTGCCTTCTCTTATGTCGTCCCGGAGCTGCCAATTTACGCGTCTAGGCTCGGCGGCACCGCGTCGGTGGGGCGCCGCAGACGCGCCAAAGAGGCCAAAAATTATACGCTAAGAATTGCTGCACCGCTCCATTGGGGACGGGGAACGGTCCAGCAGCCACGGATTACCTACACTGGACATAACGGCCATTGACAACGACCACCACGAGTACTGCCGACAATAATTACGGAGCATTCACGACTGCCCAGTCCACACAGCTGCTTGGCCCATCTTCTCCCCGGAGCCGTGTGCCAGTGGCTACTCGCCTGCTCCATCCAGAGCGCCCTCCTCCACCGGCCCACGCAGCGACGCCCTTTGCGCGCGCCCAAGATACAGACAACCTGAGGTGGACGCCATGCCGCGCAAAAGCGACTCGTCCCGACGGAGCGACGTCTCGATGGCCAAGTTCGTGCTGGCTGACAGCGAAGGCTCCCAGCCCGAGCCGGCCACTCAAACGGAATCCAGTACGAGGCCTCTGGCCCCTGCCGCGCCCGCGAGGCCAGCCTCATCTATGGAGGTCGACCCCGAGCGGGGGAGCGAGTCGGTGCCACCTTCTGAGAAGAGGGAAAGAGAGAGAGACTCGGTGGCTATTGAGGTGTGTGTTCCTCAGCCGTCCTGAAGCCCCATACGAATTACTCGCAGGAGGGGAATGCATGGTCCCAATTCAAAGGCCTAACAGTATATCAGGACCTTAATCTGCCCAAGTCGATAATCACACGTCTGGCCAAGGGTGTCTTGCCGCCGAACACACAGATTCAGGCCAATGCCATTCTGGCCATGACGAAGGCGGCAACCGTCTTTATCAACCACCTCGCGAACGCGTGAGTAGCCCCAGAAAGAAGGAGATGACGGATTTGTCATTGACAAAACTATTCAGGGCAAATGAACGCACTCTAGGCTCGAACAAGAAGACCATCATGCCGGCCGAGGTCTTCGAGGCCCTAGACGACATAGAATACCCCGAGTTCCGGGAGACGGTGCAGAAGGAGTTCAAGAGTATGATTTCTCCCCCCGCATGAGGCATCCTGCGCGAGACTATATCACCCGACGTAGAACGCTAACATTGCTTCTTTTCCCTCCCCCTGCAGAATTCAACGAGATTCAGTCCACGAAGCGCAATACCTACCGGCGCAAAGTTGCGGCCGCCAAGAAGGGGGTACCCTTTGTCGATTCGCAGGACCAGCCTGGCGATGAGCACGATACCTCCTCGGCGACGGCCAACGGCAGCGCGGCCGGCGGCTCGGGGGCGACATTCATCGAGGACCCCGCGGCCGCGGCCGGCATCGACACGTCGCGCTCGATCAAAAAGCAGCGGCTGAACGGCGGCGCCGACGACTCGGCCATGACGCTCGGGGACGCCGACACGACGCAGGAGTTTCAGGACGCCGAGTCCGAGCCCGATGAGCACGTAGAGGAGGACGATGAGGACGACGAGCCCGAAGACGAGGCTGAGGAGGACGACGAGGACGACGAGGACGGCGGCGCTGACGATGACGAGATGCACGATGCCCTCGAGGAGCGGGAGCAGAGCGGCGCCGACGAGGACGAGGCCCTCGATAACGGCGAGGACAGCGACTCCTAGTAATGCTGCTGTCTGGGCGCGATACTTCCCAGGGCCCTGCTCCCGTTCGATCGTGACTGTTCAAGACTACACACGCGGTCGCGGGTCGGGGAACGCATAATTCCGTCGGTTCTTAGTCGAAGGAAAGGGGGTTAGCTCAGTTTTCCCGGGATAGTCGGTGCGGCCGACCTCCAGATCGATCGCCTTGCCAATGCCAGTGGTAGGTAGCAGGGCAAGTTGCTTGATGTGGTGAAATGTGACATTGCATGATCAAGCCGTAGTTCCTTTCAAGGGCCTGTTGGGAGAGGTCGAGAGAAACCGTCCGTTCATCAGTCGTGTCTACTAGATGACCCCAATATTACGAGTGCACGCGTGGAAAATTACAATGCAACCAACAGAGTTCAGTTCATCTGCCGTATTTCTTGTTTGGGCTTCATATCATTGTTCCTAGCTTTCACCGTGAGCTCATGAGCATAAGTAAATACCCAGCTCCAGTTGCTCTGGCCATCACATGATCCGTAGCATGCACACGACAATTCTAACGTGATCATTGCCTGCAAATTCCACATCCATGGTCATCAACTCAGATCACCTTCACCAACTCCATCTTAGCCCCCCTCTTCCCGGTTGCCTCGTCCTTGGCGTCGCTGATTCTAACCACGACCTTCTGGAAGAGCTCGACCGTCAAGTCGCGGCTGCCGCTCAACTTCAACGTGTAATTCTCTGCATCATACACGCTGTCTGGCTCGGTCTCGGCGAGATCTCTCAGCCGGATCAGGCCTTCGATGCCGAAACGTGGCACTAGGATCACGAAGCCGTTACTGAAAATCTTCATAACAAAGCCTTCCTCTTCGGCGACGCGGCCCTTGAGTGACTGGCCGACGTAGTACGCGATGGATGCTCGGCCCGCGAGCTGTGCGTTGCGATGCCGGACGTTGATGTTCTTGCAGACCGCCTCCAGCTTGCCGCGCGAGCGGACGCTCGGGTGCATGGGCTCGTAATCGATCGCGGCAGCCAGCTGTCGGTGAGCGCACAGATCGGCATAGCGGCGGATGGGGGATGTGAAATGCGTGTAAATCTCTGAAGCGAGACCATAATGGCGGAACTCTGGGTATGCCTGCGTGCCGGCACAGAAATACTCGGCACTCATCATGCAGCGGGTGGCCATGATGCGGATGAGGGTGTTGAAGAAAGGCTCCTTGGGATCCCGGCAGGCGTCGAGAGAGTCGGCGACGGCGCGTGAGGAGTCTACGTGTAGCTCAAGCCCTCGCTTGACCTTGAGCTGGTTGGCGAGCTCGTCAAAGTTCGTCTTGGGCGGTGCAGCGTGCCGACGCAGGATGGCAGTCTGGGGGAATGCTTCGTAAATCTTGCCTGCCACGCTTATGTTTGCCAGCAACATGAACTCCTCAACCAATGAGTTGGTATCCAATAGCTCTTTGGTCTTGACGTCAATGGGATCCGAGGTCTCAGATTCCATTTGGACCTTGACCTCAGGAGACGACAAGCTAAGAGCACCAGCATCCATGCGCTTTTGCTTCAACTTCTTCGAGAGCATGAGCAGCGTGCGCATGCCCTTAGTCAAGTCATCCTGCTGTGAATCATCATCTATCCGGATCTGTGCTTGTTCGTAGCTGAATGCTTCGCGGGACTTGATAACCGATTTTGTGAATCGCACGTTGACGATATCAGCTGACTGGTTAAGCTCCCATAAGACCGAGAAAGCGTACCGCTCCACGTACGGTTTTAGCGAGCAGAGATCTGTGCCTAGCAGCATCGGAAGCATATCAATACGCTTGTCGACCAGGTAGACGGTGGTACCCCGTATGCTCGCCTCGTTATCCATAGCGTTGCTAGGCTTGACAAAGTGGGACACATCTGCAATGTGTACACCGACCTCGAAATTGCCATTCGGCAGTGCTCTGGCATGTAACGCGTCATCAATATCCTGGCATCCAACAGGGTCGATACTGCAAATCAGTAGACCACGAAGATCTTCTCGTCCTTTCCAGCCAGGATCGTCGGTGCTTGCCGGTACTTTCCAGTCATGCCCTTCCTTAGGAAGGCAATCCAGAACGGTTTTGGGGAACGGCCGGTATTGAACGTCGTGCTCAAGCAGCAGAGCTTCTGTTTCGGCGGCCTTCGTTTCCAGCTCACCCAGCGATCGAACGAAATGGCCGACTGGATGACGAGATTCCCGATCCCATGCATCGATGGTAACCAAGATCCGCTTGCCTAGAAGCTCACCAACCTGCCTCGTCCGCAACTTGATCTTCGGAACCTTCTTGTCCATGGGTATCAAGAAGACAGTATCTTGTTTTCTGCCAGACTTTGCGGCAGATCCCACAGAAGACTGGTCGATGTGGCCGACGTATTGACGCCAGTTTCGTTTTATGATACCAACAACCTTTGCTGTAGGTTGAGGTCGGCCTTCTGAGCTTGAGGTGTGCGTCTTCTTGACCTCTTCCTGGAGGGCCCGTCTCTCCTTCTCGGTAACAAGATCCTCGCCCTCATCCCCATCTGCATTCTCGTTTTTCGTAATAGCCTCCTCCTCAATGATTTTCGTGGAAGGCTCTTTCCACTGGTCTTTTGGGAGAACCTCTACGACAACCACGTCACCGTCAACCGCTCGGTTGATATTATCTCTTCCTAGAATGAGAAGAGCTTTTGGAAAAGCTGGTACCTTGATTGAACCTTCAAGATAGTTGTAAGGCGAGACGTTGAAAATACCCTGGTGCAGCATGCCGCCCTTCACCCCTGTCATCATCTTCGACATGGTGAAATATTCAGGGTAGAGAAAGTCGGCCGCCTTCTTGTCTCGTGAGATTCCTCGTTCCCGAGATTCTGCAATCATGTCAAGTAATCGATCCGCGTCTTCGAGCCCGCCGACATAATCCCGCAGCGTAACCGCAGGCACCTTGTCTTGCTTCGCCTTCTCAATGTTGCCCTTGTCGTCGGTGAGCATCACCACGGTGGGTAAGCGTTTGCTCTTCACCTGGGCGAGATGCATGTTGTACCATTGCACAGCCTGACGCACAGCTCGGTCATTGCGGTCATTAATGCTCTCGTCCTGCTCCCGAGCCACATATGTCTCGAGCCTGAACTCGTTGAAGAAGACATAGAAACGCTTGTCCTCGCTCTTGGTCAAGCCAATGAGCCGGTTGTACAGTGGCAACGACCTGTTGCGGAGCTCCTCCAATACTGTCTGCAGAATAATCACATCAAAGAAAGCCGAGCTTTGCTCAAATAGATCCATGGCGTTCAGCAGAGCGTTCGTGTCTGGCACGAGATAATGGCCTTGAGGGAAGGCCTTGGTGCCGGCCGGCTTGTCCGAAAGCACCGGGGGGCTCACTGTCACGACATGAGTCTTTGATCAGGAATAACATTCCTAATAATCGACTTACCTTGTCCGGCTGCATTGGCGGGCGGTCGGCAGTTCGAACATATCTGCGATGAGCAGGGGATGTCCTGCCTGAGGTAGACCTCACGGACGATCTTCTGGACCTTCCCGCTCTTGGTAGATCTCACGTAGACCTTGCTGGAGAGGTTCAGATGCGACTGGTCGTTGGCCGTAGGCCTCTTGAGGCTTGTCATGATGGCACTGACGTTGCTGTGTATTTTTTGGGGCCGCAGCTTGTTTGGTACTGGCAAGCTTCAGTGCACTTGTCTATGAGCGAGGCTTTCGGGGTTAGTGACGTGAAAAATCACGGCCCGGCCAGGCCCCACAGCGGCCGCCTTATCGTTATCGGCCGCCTGGCTGATGCGCCCCGCGATTTTGGCTGGCTGGGCGCTGGGCGCTGGGCGCTGGGCCATGGCCACTGGCCAGGCTGCGTACCACAGGTGGCCCAACCCTCCCGCAAATCAAACCTCATTCCCTGAATACATCGGGACTCCCCGTACCCAGCAGGCCGGTTCACTCACCAGCCATTCAGGTGGAAAGTTTGAAAAGCAATGCGATTAGAAATGGGCAAATGGCAGGGCGAGCATACCTAGGTAGCTGCCGGGCCCGTTGACGAGTCTGGACAGCCCACACAATCCTAGACCCAGATCCTACGATCTACTTCCCATTCGGGAGCTTGTTGGCTTCTGGTGTGACAAAAGCAGAATACGTAGGTACAGGGCAACAAGCTCTCGATTCTGTTCAAATACAGCATGGGACAAGCAACTAATGCGTCTGGTCGTTCTAGTACCCAAAACCAGATAGACGTAAGCCACCGAATCTCCCAAAGCCATTGACATCAACCTGCAGGTGCGCCCTCCTGAAAGTGGCTGGAAAGGGAACGTGTATGTGCCGAAAACAGCCTGACCTTTCCTTCGTGAAACTCGCACCCCCATGTTCGAGGACTCTGCGAGCAGGTAGCGAGCTTTGCTCTCATATCGGCTTCAGGTCACACAACTCCAGAGCCAGATAATTATAGGGCTGCGGGATCTGACTGTGTTTCGGTATTGATCTGGGCTTATGATCTACGACGATTCAGCCGTCGCTTTCATCCATATTCCTTGCCCGTCCCAGCTCCGTTTCATTGGACAAGGGGCCATCGTATTATCTCCTAAAAATAGATGCACGAGTTCAAACCTCGCATACGAGGCCAGCGACGAAGAGATAACAGGTGTTCTTTCCAGACGATCGACAAAGTCATAATCATCATCTCATCAAGTACAGACCCACGAAGGCTCGCGGGGTGCATGAGGAGTCGTCTCATAATGTCGCCCCACCGTCTGATCTTCTGTGCAGCTTCAGGTCAAGCTCGTCTAAGCGCAGCACGATGCAAAACCCCGGCTGCATATGTTCCAGTAGGTTGGCATCGGATCTGACATCTAGCGCAAGATTCGAGCTTATCGAGCACGTTCTGCTACCTCCGGTCGACGTTGGAAATCTGCCATTCAGACCATGCTGACTTGGGCGGTTCGCAAATGTCGGTGTGCATGGGAAAGATGATTTTGCCATGTGGTCATGGGATTGCGACTAGGCAAAGCTAAGAGCAGCTTAGGACGGAGTGGAACGGTGCATACCATGGTACTATAGTCCCGGGTGCTTTCTCCACTCAACAGCAGACGGTGCTGTACATCTGTGGCTGCGATCTTGACAGGTGCAACTCGGATTCTTATCATGAAACGAGAATAAGGGGCCAAGGCCGCAGGATATGCTGTGTAGAAGTCATCTGGAACCTTCCGAATGTTGTATAACCATTGAACATTCCGAAAATTGAGTGAATGGTAACACGGTGCTCGGATGTGTACCGATCGGTTCCATCCTGTGCTGTCAGAGTGCTATGGGCAGCTTGACGGCATGCCGAACGGTCACGAACTCAAGTTCGGCTTAGTGCAGAGACCTGGGTTCGGCTGGGAGTCGACGGAGTGGTCGGCACTCAATAGTTTGAAACAGGTCTTTACTACCCCGTACTGGCGTTGTGTAGTCATGAGACGCACAGCGGCGATGATTGTAACCCGCACCTCAGGGATCGAGGAGGATTTCCCGAAAAAGCAATGCTAAGCTCAGGACTGTTCGGGGGGTGAGGGGAGCGGGTAGCCAGGGTCTTCCCGCACTGCTGTACCATGCGAAGGGCAACGGCCAGCCAGTGACCTGGTCCAGTGGGAAGAACCGAGTGGGTAGCGGATCGTGGAGTGCACTCCCAGCCAGGCAGTGTAGCCTAGGGGGGGGGCAAGGGCAAGGACATTGCTGCCAACACCCTGAAGTGCCGACTGGGCTGTTAGGTTGGCTGGCCCATCGACGACCAACAGGCGGCTTTCTCGTCTGAATTGTTTCTGACGCGCCTGCCACAGCACAGCTATCATGTGCTCGCTGACTCGGCCTCGCAACTAGTCTCATGCACATTATCAAGCTGGCAAGCCGAGGGGAGTAAATCCCGAGATGGGAGGCTGGGGAGGCCAAGTCTAGCTAGAGCCTGGCAAGCCCCTGGGGCAAGCCACATTAGGATGGGCAGATAAGGTCGGCTGTGCAAGGAGGTAAACCTTGCGGGGGCACATCATCTGTCGGCAGCGCTGCCCTTGCTACAGTGCCCAGTCGGATGCCTGTGCATCGATGGGATGCTATGGCATATACTGTGCAAGTCGACATGAGCCCTCTGTCAGTATCCTGTCTGCGCACTGGCACCTGCTGCGCTGCCGCAATATCAGGGCACGTATTGGCGATGCATTCATTCATGCAAGCCGGGGGGCCCCCTGGACGTCCAGCTTGCCCGGCATCCTGCATCCAGGCTCGTGCGGATGCAGCCAGTAGCGCGTGGAGTCATCGAAGAATGATTTGCAGATGGCCTGTGCAGCAAGTGTGTCAGCTGGTTGGCCAGATGGGGTTTGCGAGCTCGGCGCCGGCCAATCACGCCGCGACGCCACCCCCCTCGCGTTCAGTCGCTTCCGCGCCAGCATCCTGGTCTGCCCAGGCCTGCCTAGCTGCCCATCCCTCCCACTTCGGCCCTCGACATCTGCTTGCTTCACACCCTCTTGCTCGCCAGTCTGAGCGGCTTCCCCAGAGTCTGGACCTCCATCACGACACCGTTTCTCCATATATGGGCAGCGTGCTGAGTCACATGGAGTTGCTAGTTGTTACCATAGGCGCCCGGGTCAACCGTCTCGTCCCAGGCCCTCAGTCTGCCTTTGCGAGCGCCGTGGTTTGAGGGGAGAAGCTGCCATATGGACGGACACATGCCTGCCTGGGCAGCGACCGAAGAGACCGGCGGATGAAGACGAGAGGGGTAAAAGCTGATACGGGCAGGTTGAAGCGGCGGAACTTGGCTTGCCGGGCCATGTCGTTCTTGAGCGCGAGGTAAACCAAATCCACTCTGCAAGTACTTCGCGCGCCATACAACAACTGGCGCCCGACCGAACTGAAACACTGCATTCTCAACTCCTTTCGGGCAGACGACTATCGCGGCAACATCACAGCAAGCTAATGCGAGGAAACGGACGCCTGCTTCCTAGGGGCTCTCTGAAAACTCAATTTCAAGGCCAACGTACTATGGTAGCGCCAGAAGACACATGTTGCCATATATTCACAAATTCAGGTCTACTTGTGAGAAACGCCAGTCTTCAGCTGTGGCGTTTCTTCATATACAGCTGGGGCCGGTGATCCTCCTGGGTTGGCCAATAAGCTAGAGGTTCGACTTATATCTTGTTCTTCAAGCAGCCTATTATTTGACGAGAATGCCTCCCCCTGGTTGGTTGTGACGTTGGATGACGCTGGTCGCTCGAGGGAGACGAGTCTACATCAGGCATGCAGCCCGACGTCGTGAAACATACGTACCCCTAGGCTTCCTGAGAATGCTTTCAATCATGCCCTTTGCTTGACTCTCTCCAGCCATCCGTGATAGGCGGACCCTAGGTACGGCCCATCACAGGACTCCACACTTCTAATACAGTATGGCGCTTCGGCAATCGTAGGTGCGTATGTGACCTCCCATGGCAAGATCCGTGACAGCAGGACACCTACTTGAACAAGCATGATTTTGTCTGCTCTATACAGAGGACATCCCGTTTGTCGTAGACTGCTCTCATCCTAAACCAGCGGCTGAGGCGTACACCACATAGTATGGCACGAAGCTTCAGTCAACTGATACTGTAAGTTGATTGCGCCGTCGCGTCAAAACGACGCTTCTGCAACTCGACAAAAGCGTGCTGCTAAAGCCCGGGCTGCAGCATCGTGCATGGAGGAGGCGCACGAGATGGGTGCAGCACAACACTAACTGCTTTAGTCAGTAATCTACTCCTTCAAAAGATCCCAGAACCATGCTAACGCTGAGAAGCTGGGTCCATCAATGCTTGCTCGGGTAGACATACTTTTGATATAGAGCATTGCAAGATTTGGCCATATTGCTTCCATACCATGACGACGCGACCCGCAGGTGGCAGCATAGCAATACACATACACCGATTACTGGAAATTTTCAAGGCCATGGCCTAAGGGTCAACCATGTTGTCATCGGGGGGTATATTGAACGCAAGGTAGGTGGCTGATCTGCACCAGTCTTTTGACAGCGGGTCATTGAAACAAGGCAACTAACAATGAATGCGCTCTTGATCTTGACTTGATCTTCTTCTTATGATCCAACGTGCTAGATCCATTCTTGATTACTTGATTATCTGAGACATGCGCGGCCATCCTATCATCGGGCTGGCGCTTGTTGGACATTCATGCGGATCCGTGTCATACATGAGAAACATGACCAAGGTGGTCAAAGCACTGCACATGCTATTAGAATAATTGACGACGCTAATATACAACATGCTATCCACTGAGCATGAAGACCTAACCGTTGATGGGTAGCTCGTAAGCGAGTCACACTGGTTCGGTTCGTATGGCAGATGGATAGTGCCAAGACACTGTCGAAGTCGGTAACTGCGACGGTCAAATGACCAGTCAACTTCCATACTTCGCAAATTTCTGAGCTCTGTTTGGTTTATCAACGTCGAAACCAGAGCATGGGCAGCTTATCATGCTGCAGTCGCCGGCCTAACGGCATTGAATTCAATGTTGAATTTACGTCTGAATATGCAAGCGATAGTTTCATCAGCATATTCGGTCTTTAATAACCTTCAGTGCTGTTCCAACTCACTGATGCATCCAGGGCACCCTGTCTTATCTGTCTTGCTGTTTCGACTTGATCAGGGCCATGAGCATACTCAGTCTACTTATTGAAGAGACCCATGCATTGAAAACCACGTACAAGTGATGGTGACTTTCATCTGGACGACAGCTCCTAGAGAATACAAGAGAAAGTGCTTGTTGAAGTTCCGTCACTCGACGGAACGTTTCATACTATCATGGCATGGTACTTGGTTGTTGCTGACTCGTACCATGCAACTTCTTGGTAATTCCTCCACCGGCCGTATATATTCGGACATTTGTGCACGCTTCACATTGACAACCCCATAAGCTATGCACTTGTAGATTATGTCGATACTGTTCAAGAAACAAGCGAGCCGTCTTGCTCCGCACACGAACACTAGGCCGGCAATTGTCTTTTTCGCCACTTCGTATTATCCAGCCTCAAGAATGCGTATTGCTGTGCGTAGGCAGCCACATGGATTATGACAAATCCTGAGCCAAGTCGCCTCTTCTGGAAGCTGGCGTGGAATCAGGATCAACTTATACGCACGCGACTGAGGCACGAGTGTCAAGCTGTACAGTACGAGAAAGTATCTCGTTTGGCGTTGAATCAGACACGCTTTCCTTGCCATATGACAGGTAAGAGGGGACGCCTCCCCTGCCTGTGGCCATGCAGCAAGGTAAATCCGTTGCTGCATACCACCCAGCCATCCATGTGTGGTTGCGAGACACTATTGAAATACGACGATCGTCCCCACTTTAAACTTTCTCATGGTGTCTCAGAGACGGACAAGCGCCGTCGGGTTTTCTTGTTGTTTATCGTACACAGTCGGAAAGGCTGTCAACAGTTCACATCGCAGCAGTCTCGAGAAGTGCTTCGATGTTCCAACGCCGGTTCTTGCGGGATAATACCCTTGGCTTGGCGTTGACGGAACGTTGGGTCTAGGGTCAGAAATCCGGCCAAGTGTTGCGATCTCTGGGTCCTCCCGCACTCCACCAACTCCCTCCCTGCCGAACGCTGTGACCATCAGGTAAATTACACTACTACTGTAAGGCCAGACGTATGTTCGTTGATAGGACAGTCCACGATGCGGAAACGTTGCCATTTTACTACTGCCAGCTCGCTACTCGACTCCGTGTTCCTTCGCCATGAGTTTCAAAGACTTCGTAAACACAACGCTATGTAGGCGTGCAGGTGCGCGGACGTAGTGATAAATCATTTCCGCTGGCCCTGTGGACCACGCCGCTAGGGTAGACTGCTACCTAATTGGGAGTAGCCCACCGTCTATATTTGTACACTTTCTTCCACCAGTTCGCGATTCGGCAATCTCGGCGATATAGTCGTCAGACAGACGGCGAAGTATCTCGACCGAGACAGGTACTTCTTTGCTGGATAAGAGTTCCGTCCGTCCACTGCAAGCGTGAGGTAGCGTCGTATCCGCCAGTACATCTCTGCTCTCTTTCCTAGTCGACACTGTACTCGGCGGCGACTTCAAACTGGAGGAAGATCCAACGAATCCCACTAATACACTTGCTGGGGTCTTGGTCATCGCGGGCGTCAGCCGAGTCATCATCGCCGTCGCCCGCAGCGCAGCTTCGGATGCGAATGCCCTTGCGAGGTCAATAAATCCCAAGGAGGAGCAAGGCTGCAGAGGCCAGATGCTTCTCCAGCGGGAACCACGGGCAACAACAGCCTGGACAGCTCGGGAATCCATGACTCGTAGCCTGCTCCGACGCCACAATTCCCTACCTGGGCTGGGCTACTTGGGCCTTGCCTATGGGAGGGAGCTATTGCTGATCCTGGGGCATCTTGGACTCGAAAGCAGGTGCGCGTCGATAGACCAGCATTTCGCCCAGGACAAGCAGTTGGTCGAGGATACTAAGTACATGTTGGCTACGCCCATGGCCCCTAACTCGACTCCTACTCCGTAACTGCAAGCCCCTGCTCGCCAAAGTACCTCAGGTTACGTCCTGGGCTTGCGCACCCTGGTCAAGATCCCTTGGCCCATAGGCGGACCTCTCGGCGCCGGCGTTGATTCCCTTGGTCGCATTGCTCTCTTTCTCTCTCTTGCCCCCCAGCTCGCCCAGTCAGCGCGTTTCCCGACTGTCCCTCTTCTCATCATCATCATTATCACCTTTGACCTAGTTAATATCCCTGAATGCGGGGCTGCCGATGAACAAGATAACGGCTTGACCTTCTCGTTGACACTCTGGGCTGCACGGCGTCGCTCTGTCCTCATCCACTGCGCTGCATGCGAAGTTTGAGGTCGTTTGATAGCTACCACCGGACGGGCACCACGCGAGCGCCGCACGAGACGCACCGTGCAGTTGCTTGTCAGATACGCACGCCTGCATCGCATGCGATCCTGGGCTCGGCCAGATATATCGCAGTCGGCGCAGCCTTAACTGACGATTACTAGCATAGCCGTGGAGGAGCCATACCCAAACGGACGCAACCATTACCCAAGGACGAGCAGACGACCAGCCTAGTAAACCGACTGGGTCCAATATCTCGACTAGGAACTAGTGGAACGACCCAGCACGCAACTACCCTCCGGTCGGTATCCCACTTCACAGCACTCCGTACCTACCGCGCATAGCATATAGCACCCTGGCTTCGAGTTTGACAGGCGGTCGTCGAGGATCCATCATAGCTCTCGGCAGACTATCCACCACCTTGGTCTACCCGTCGATCCACCATCCACCACCCACACACCCATCACTGAGCTGCCGTTGCACATCCTCCCCATCCCTCACATCCCTTCGACTTTTTGGCCCGTCTATCCAGTCACCATCAAGAACCTGTTTGCCTGCTGCATTCCGCTGCCGGCTCCTCCTGGCACACCCCAGATCTGGGTTGCAGCTTGACCCTGCCTAGTGCCGTGCCCTTGAATGCAGAATTGCGCGCGACTCTCATACTGGAGAACCTCGACGCGACTGACTGACTGACTGCCTGGCTTGCTTGCTTGACTGACTTGACTGACTGCGCCGCCTGCCTCGTGTCCCCGGGTTGCCCAGTCATACCTATCAAGGGCGAGGGCCAAGTGAGTCTCGAGGTCTGTCCAGCCTGGTCCGAATCCCACCAATACATTCCCGCCCGCCTCCCGTCGGCGCGCATGGTCTTGGACACTCACGCCAGGCTTTACTCAGTCCATCTGGTTCAGGACTTGCTGCTGCTATTGCGGCAAGACAGGTTTACGGTGCGAAAAAATAGGCCAACTTCTCTCCGCCAAGCAAGGCCACAGAGGGAGACACACACCCACGCTTGGATCGATAAAGAGGGGCGAGAAAAGGCGAATACTAGCTCCCACCCCCCCGGCTCCCTCCAGTCGTTCGCAGAGTCTCATACGTCGCAGAGCAGACGCCGAGTGGGCTATCGCAAAAGTCGATTAGACTCCGGGACCAGGCCATTTCCTATTATTACTGACCCCTCCCTCCCACGGAGCCAAACTCAGCCTTGGATTTACGCCATCCTAACCAACCACATGCATCCCGTCCTGCACCTCTTCCACTCTTGAACGCACACTCGCAGAGATCAACCTCGCCTCTTTTCGCAGCGCGTCATTCATCTTTCCAATCTAGTCCAACTATATCAAGACACGTTGTTCTGCAGGCAAACAAGCTTCTCCACGCTCGCAAACTACAGGACTGGACAGGACAGGATAGGACGTTGGCCGTCGTCGCCTCGCCTCCGCCCCGAATGTATCATTCCACCCAGCCAAACGGCGCTGAGGGTGCGACCATCAATCCCGCGACCATCAACCCTGCCGCCCTCAATTCTGGTAAGTCGCTCCTTTTAATCGCGACCGCGGCCCCTCATGCCCGCCATCGTCGAGTCGTTCCTCGCGGTTCCCAGTGGAACCCGCCCGGATGACATGCGCCGTTGCGCGCGCGCGCATCTTCCTGTATGCGTGCATCAGCAACCGATGCTGTCGCGGTGATGATTGTCGGCGTCATCGTCCCGAACTCTATCAGCCACAGCCGAGGCTTGATGTGGGAACTACACCAACGACAACGGCGACAACGACAACAACAACAACAACAACAACAACACCAGCAACTCTTATCAGTTCGACGTCGCAGCTAGTGCTCGGTGCTGGAACTCCGCCATCGTCATCGCCGCCGTCGTTCGCCGCGACAGCATTGCTCGCGCGTTTTTGGTTGCCTCTATTGGAAACATATTTGAGCTTAGCAGCTCCCGCATTGCTCCACGGAGCGCCCACCAGTCGCTTGTCCTCGCGGATGCTGACATTGATATGACACCCCAGAACTACTGAACGCCAACGCGCGCGGCCTCAAGCGCAGCCGGTCGCCCGAGTCCTATCAAGAATCGCAAACCTCTGGTGCGCCGGGGGAAGATGGTGAGTCTTATCTTCCGTGATTGGCGATGAGCCTCGTGCGCCTGTGTAGCGTGCAGCCGCGTCGTACCTGAGGGGATGCGACGCGCCTCGCCCGTGTCCCGCGGTCATGGATAAGCTCCAGGCCGTACGACGGTAGCCCTGGCTGTTGCTGCACAGCATTTGCGCGCATAAGACTCATCCCCGTTTACGCATTAGAACACCTGTTAACCTCGACTCGCACTACAGTCCACGCACAGAAACGTGGAAGACCGACGGTGAAACCTCGATCCTCCATGTCGGACCCCTCTGGTCAGCCGCCTCACCTGGGCCAAGGCCCGAACATGCAGAGCATGGCACAACCGCAGACGATGCCACCGCAGACACCACAGACCCAGAACGCGCCATTACCGGCGCAGGCTGGTAGTTACACACCCGCTCAGCCGCCCCAAGCCTCGCCGCCGCCGAAAGCTACGCCCACCAAGACGACTCTGAAGGCGCTGCCAACGGTGCGTGATCATACAACCGACCAGCTGGGACCGGGCGGCGACGAGTATCTACCGAGAGAAGTCGATGAGGCCGGCGAGAAAAAGGTAATGGCCAACGGCCAGCTGCTGGGAAACCGTGAATACCGATGCCGAACCTTTCTGGTTCCCAACCGAGGAGACAAGCTGTTCATGTTGGCAACCGAGTGCGCCAGGGTCCTTGGGTACCGGGATTCTTACCTCTTGTTCAACAAGAATAGGTCGCTCTTCAAGATCATCGCAAATCAGATAGAGAAAGACGATCTGGTGGCCCAAGAAATTCTTCCGTTTTCGTACCGGTCGCGGCAGATTGCTATCGTCACAGCACGGTCCATGTTTCGACAGTTTGGCAGCAGAGTGATCGTCAACGGCCGCCGGGTAAGGGACGACTACTGGGAGGGCAAGGCACGTAAGCAAGGATTTACTGAGGCTGATCTGGCTGGCGAGAAGCGCCCCGGCGCCTCCAAGGCCCGGGAGGCTGCCGCCGCTGAAGCCGCCCAGCACGCTCCCATCGTGGGTGGTCCCCATGGCGAAATTGTTTACGCCAACACTCCAGGCCAATTTGGTGGTGCTCCCCAACCCCAACTTGTCCAACCAGGTATGATAGGAGCGCCGCCAGGAAGTTCGATGAGAATGCCAATGATAACCGCTCCATCAACAGATTTGAACGATCAACGGACCCGGGACTACAGTAATTTTATCAAAGGCGGCCCACGACAGGAAATCACAGGCCCGGCCTATCAGGACAGAACCCAAACAAGCCCTCTTTCCGAGATCCATGCCCAGGCCCATCATGCTGCCGAGTTCAACCGCACCATCAACTCCGGCCGTGAGGTCCGAAGCGAGTACATGCAAAATATGTGGCGGAGGCCTCATGAACAGCCGAGTGCGTCGCCCGTGTCTGCTTCGGATTCCGCACTGCCTACAACGCGTCCTGGACAGTCTCCTCACGCCGCGACGGCAAGCATCCAGCAGCCATCTGGTATGGTGCCCAACCAGAGCCCTCAGATGATGATGACGGGCCCTCCCTACTCCCAGTCGATTCATTCTCAGCAGCCTATCAGCCAAGCCCCGATGCGAGGCATGCCCCAGGCGGCGCCGTCTCAGAAGCAGTCAAGACCACCAAGCCTGCAATCGGGGCCGACGGGTAACCTCGCCCCGGGTGCTCAGACGTACAATTATGGCCAAAATCCCATGTGGAGCCACCCCCAGACTCCTCAGACACCACAGCACTATTCTGGTTATACTACTCAACCACAACAGTCACCCCACCCGCAGCAGTCACCAGCACCGCAACTGCGACACCCGTCAGGCACACCGCAGCAGATGCAGCCCGGTGCGATGCAGTATCCTGGGATGCCAGGCCTCAGCCAAGGTTATCCCAATCCCAGCCAGGGTATGTATCCTCCGGAGCAGACACCCAGGCAGTTCATGCCCCAGAATCCAGGAGCATCCCCGGCCGTGACCCAGGGCTGGTCGAACCCGCAGACATCCTCGGCTGGAAACTGGTGGGCAAACCAGCCGCAGTGATCGTACCAGCCCAGGTACATACACAGAATCTGCCGCATTCCTCAAGCCCGAGCTCGTTGGGGTGGTATCTTCTTCTAAGTGGACTTTGAGCCTCTAGCTGTTCCGCATGGACAAGCGTGATGGCGGTTGTTGGTGGCGGTTCTGGCTTTCAGACGCAGTCTTCTCTTCGTCTACTTGCATGCATCGCCGGATCTACCCAGGGGGTCATAGAGGAGTTGGAGAATGGGGTTTCTTTTTTGAGCGTTCTTCCTGTTCATCCTCTCGAACATTCACTTTTTCGCGCATCGGTTGGAATTTTTGTCTCCTTGTTGCCGTTCAATGGTCAGAGCAAGGCCCCGCATTCTTTCCTTGCACACGTTTTTGGGAGGACATGTCCACTCTTGCCGGCATTTGCATATACAGTTTGATACCACTGTGGATTTGTTACTTCTATTATGTTTTAACATACCGTTCTGGGCATTCGTTCCACGTTCCCGGCAGTTGCCTCGGCAGATCTGATACCACCCGCCGCTTACTCGCCATTACGCTCAACAATACGAACCGCTCGCCATGCTCGTCATGCAACTCGATCTCGATACGTTGGTAGAGAGCTCGCCCGCGGTGCTAATAATAATGCTCCTGCCGTTCGTCTTTCAACAAGCTACGCTCAGCTATGAGCTTTAGCCTGCGCAAGGCCCGCTAGATCTGGTTTCGAATTTGAGAGTGATTGATATGCACCTGAAGAGGGGATCGGCATTCTTCACTCGTGAAAACGACAGTCAGGCTGTGGGCTGGTGAACGGTATTGACACGAGACATATTTTGCGGTTGGTAGTATTGGTGATGGCACTATTTTTCCCATTTCCCCCCCTTTTTCTTGGGGCTGAGTTATTTGAGTGTATGTCGGCATGCTTATGGATACAACTGTTGTGTGCATTCGGGCAGCATGGGAGGAGTTCTTTCTGATATCTCTTCGTCTTTGGAAGGATCCCCATCAAGGGGTAATCTTTTTTTTTCTTCGCTTTATGTTGCGGGCAGGTCGCTCTCATACTCAGCGAGTGAGCCGGGATTGGATCCGTCTTCGCATCGACACGAGGCGAACATTGGGCTGGGTCCAACTATGAGGGCAATTTGCATCTAAGGACCTGGGATAGCTGTCTTTGAAGGTTTGGGTTTCTTTCTTTCTTTGGATGATGGAATACACGTGGCTGCCGATGGACTTGGCTTGCTCTGGCTTATATCGTTTTAATTGACTCCTCTCTCTGGAGATTTGGCGCCAGCTGCACGTAACACAAGCCATAAAGTAACTCAATGACCTTGGCGTATTGCGCATGCCTTGACGAGGATTCTGGAGATGTGTACAGATGGGGTACTTGGGGTTTAATCACTCCTAACTGGGTTATGATCAGTACCCAGCACTTGCTTACAGCGCGAAGCCTCTCTATACGAGATATATGGGGAACGCATGCGTTTCTTATCACATGATTCAGCAGCTATGGTGCGCGTAAGACGCATCCCCGTTGTACCTGTGAAATCCCACTGTGCCTACGCTCAACAAGTACACAGCAACACTTTGCGAGAACAAGCGGGTCTAGACGGAGCACTTGGATGACTACAACACTAATCCCCATAAGACATGCGCCCCATGTTACCCGAGCACTATGAACCGTGCAACCGCAACAAGCATCAGGTGACCGGCCCGAGGATCTGTATATTCCTTGGGCGAACAAGCCAACTACCTACCGACCTGTCCCTGACATCCAAATTAGACAGGCCGTTGGTCCTCCGCCCTCCGCCACCACAATATATCGACTTCCGCCTCGGGCCCAGCCAGCACGTGTTAGTAGGATTTGAGGCTCGTTGAAGCGTATGAATAACTCCTGTCGAGAGGTGCCTAAATCAGATCCCAAGAGGCGGACGAGGACCCGCCCTGCGGCATTCCTGCCAACGTCACCCCGTGGGGCTGAGTCAGCCCGACGGGCTTGGAAGGAACAGGGGCACCTGAATCCACGCTTGATGTGACGGTCGGGTGGCGGTTTTCTCGTGCCTCGAGTGTTTCTTTTTTTTTATTGTTTATCCTCCCCTTCCGAGCTGACGCCCGCAGGGGATCTGTTACGGTGCGTTATCTTGGCAAAGCACAGGAGGAGGCCCTTTTGGCTCGCTGTCTCCCGGCGCTCGTGTTGCGGTGCTGACGGCCGACTTATCCGATCCATGATGGCGCTTCGGGGTGCTAGGGAAAACGCTCTTGGTAGCTTTCGGAACCGACGGGTTGCGTGCTTTGGAGAGCTAGGAAAGTAGGTAAGCCTGGTTCACGCGTGGCCTGTGGCAGGGGAGACCTTGGGGGAGAAGCATAAGCAATGGTGGGGATGGGATGGAGGGCGCGGGTGTGGCTTGAGAAGAAGAGTTTCCGGCGACTGTAAAAGGGGAAGCTTGGGTCGAAAGTGTACAAAGGAATAAGTATCTGTGGACGGCGTTGCATAGTATCGGCTGTCGTGCATGGCCAGTCTGCCCAGGGCATAGCGCCGATGTGTGTTGATAGTACGCGCGTACTTTGTGCCCCGAGTATCATTATCGCTAGACTATAAACGAAGGGCATCTGTGTAGTAATCAATGCAACTAGGAACGGATCCAAGTAGGTTCCATCTATGTAACACTGTTGAAATCAAGTCGTAAGGATATATTTTGTCACTACATTGCCTCCATATCGATACCCGAACAACGCCAACTACCTGGCCATTGCGGGAAGACTGACTGTGGCAAGTGTCCGACCGACCTAGTTGAAGCGGAACTCGATGCGAAACCGCGCGTTGTTACTCATTTTTCGTCAGCGGCACTGACTTGAGGAGATAAACCAATGAGAGTTCAAGAGTGAGTAAGCCAGTTGGTGTGATGTTATTTAGCTTGTCTATTTGGTAGCCTTGAAACCCCATGGTAGTTAAATGACACCTAACTATAGCAAAGGCCTCTATTCTAGAATTATTCGATTGCTCCAGGACATATGACTCAGTTGCAGAAATACCATTTTGTCAAGACTCATACGTATGCTTCGTGTGCATTTACAGCCTCGATTCCGACTCTGACGTAGCCAAAGTCGCCTTTTACCTCGCATAACCGGTACATCAGTTGAGAAATACCGGAATTCGGCTTCGGGTCTACCTCTCGTTTCCCTGGAAGACTAAAACTAGCCAAGTAGTATGCAGCACCTGCAATAGACCGCATGTCGGCAGGCAGATGCGGCCATTGGACAAAGAACATGTACACCAGCAGCGATGCCATCAGACCCAATATACTCACGGTGAGCCAGTGGCATACCAGGTAGACCACATATGTCTGGGTAACGCTGTACGGCACGTTGGACAGCAGGATCGGGAGGCACTCTGAGAAGATCGCCGCCGCTGCCACGGTGCCCAGGAGGGCCTCCCTCCGCTTCACTGCCGACCAGAGCCCTGAAAAGGGGTTCGTGGACGGGCTCTGCAAGATGGAGCGCTCGGCCGGCTGGGCGCATTCGGACATTCGCTTGTAGGGGCCTAGAATTGCCACGCCTTTTTGTGTGTGTCAGATCACAAGATTCCCAATATGATCACCATGATCATCATGAAGGTGCTGCCTGAAGCGGGAGGGTTGCTCCTTACCGTTGAAAACAGCTGACCAGCAATGCGCATTTACGATGCCGAGCGCAGTGAACAGAAAGCGCACGCCAAAGGATTCTCCGTCCATGAAGTGCTCGAAAGGCGTATCACCACCCGTGTTGTAGTAATATAAGACCAGAACGAGTATGCCGCAGATTAGGGCCAAGTGTAAGCTTAGTCCGAAGAGGCGGAGCGCAAAGATGGGCTGATGTTTCTGGGTGTGAGCGTGGTTGCTTGTATTCTCCTTGCGTCTCGCGAGATCGAAGATTCCTCTGTTACTATCGGCTATCATGATGCCGTAATTGTCCCAGTCTTCGCGGCCGAAGTAGTCCAGGCGGAACCTACGATTACCGGCCTTTTTCATCAATGCTGCGTTGGAGACACTGTAAGTGTCATAGTTATGCGAACAAAATAGGTCGCGCACCTGATGGTCAGTCATAATCGCGGCGAGGCCGCTGATGCTCCAGGGGTTCTCCCTAACCCCGGACCGCCGGCGCAGGGAGAGGAGGAGGATCAGGAGCAGCGTGGTAGCCATAAGGATGAGTAGGCCCTCGGTCAGCCTCACCGGCACGCTCGACGCAAAGAGAAACACGGCGCAGTTCTCTGCCGCGGTGCCACCGCCCGGCGCACAGTCGCCGTCCGTCTTGATGGAGATGGCCTCGGCCGCTAGCGGCGCCAGGACCACGGAGAAGGTGCTGAGGAGTGTCGTGAGGAAGAGGAAGCAGTCGCCCTTGGTCAGGCTCGCGATACTGGAGTGCGCGGTGCGCGGCCCGGCTGTCCGCAGACAAACGGACTCGCCTGCCGAGGCTCCATACGGCTGCATCATTGCGTGGAATGGCTGCAGGCGCTTGGCGTTGAGGTTGATGAGCCTCAGGGGGATGGAGACGAGGGTCGCTAGTAGCGTTGGGAGGAACATTCCGGAGAAATATTGCCATTTGGATATCACCCAGACAGAAGTATATTCTTTGATTATACTCGTAGTTGTGGATTTGGGCACATCTAGGGTGGCCGTTGGAACACCCCTCGAGTCAGTGAGGGTTGTTCTCGGTTTTGTAAGTCTCGTGGAGAAGGCGTTTGTGGTCACTCGATTACCGTTGGAATCAGTGAGCACTTTATCTGAGGGCGGAAGCAAGGTCTGTAGATCGCCAGATGGTCGAAAAGTAGGAGTCCGCACTAGAGTTGAGTTCCACGTAGTAGTCGCTATCGGCTTGTCCCCGTCGTCCTTCAGGATGGTGGTATATGGTGAGACAAGTACTGACGAGATCAAAGTGGCGGTAGGCACGCCTTGCGAATCCGTCAAAATGCTTGTTTCTTCAGCTATCCACCCCAAGTACTCAACTGTACTTATCGCATGGCCATGCGAGTCTATCAGAGTTCTGACCAGAGTCTTGGAGGAGAAAGACAAAGGCATCGACGAGGTTGACGGTACCCCCGCCGCCGCGAATGACAGTATACCACTTTTACCTCCTGGTAATATAGCACTAGTCACCACAGCTTGCCCACTAGGTCCTTTTTCAGAACTTCCCACTGCACTCCCAGGCAGCTCGGTGGTCGAGGCTGTGGGATCAGTGAGGTCAGTATTGCTTCCTTGTCTACCAGCAGCCGTAGTTGCTAGTATCGTAGTTTCTACCGCGACAACAGGATTGCTAGGTTTTATGTTGACTTCGAAATCAGCTTTTCGGCTGCTCTGCTCCTCCTGCATGACGAGAGGGTTTACCCCGTCACTCATTGTTCCCGCGGGCGGCAGTCTTTGCTCTGGGGGTGGCATCCAGGTCGCAGACGTCGGTACCGGCACCTCAGTAATCACAGTCGATAATTTGGTGACGGTCGCTGTGTTGATATTGGCAAAATCTGTCGAGAACTTTCTGATCCTTCCCATGACGGTGCTGGTCTTTGTGCTGGTAATGCAGTCTTGTCCTCCAATCTCCGAAGGGGATAAAACTTCCGCAGTCCTAGTCACCAAGGCGCTCACGGCGTCGGACGTACTCAAGATGGTCACAATGTCGCTAGTAAATGTATCGACCGTCGTGACGATACTTCCAACGTATTCATCCAGCCACACGGTTCTGTATAGAGTGCATTCTGTTGGGGCTCCCGAGGTACCAGTAGCCGTAAGATGCTGCTGCAAGTCTGTTGTTACTGCAAGAATCTCAGAGCGCTTCTGTTTATCTTGTCGATGGCTCAATATGTAACCGAAATCGGCTTTGTTCGAGGGCTTTAGTACAACCATTTCAATCGCACCAACCAGTGTACACAATAGTAGACCGAGAAGCGCAAGGAACGGCCATTGGTGCGAGATTGGTTTATACTCGGCAGGGCCATTGTTGACTTGAACCTTGCGGTTACCAAATGTTGCAGCTCTCAACATAGCAACCTTGGCCAAGTGGAATGATGTTGGCGCGATTTGTGATGCACTGCGGTGATCCATTCGGACGGCCGCTGGGGCTACCATTACTCGGCATGTTGTAGGGGCAAAAAGGACAGCCGCTCTCAAGAAGCTAGACAATCCATGAATTATGAAGTTGAAACGTCGTCTTTATATTGAGATGACTCGATTGTTCCACCTGCACGTAGTGGAGCAGCCCGTTTCAACGGCGATGATCCACCAACATAACTTTCAGATGGATCGATGCTGGCATTTAGGGGTCGTGAATCTTTCTTCCATGAAGTTCAGGGGAATTAGTGGATACACCGACGTTCAGCTTTGCTGACACCCTGAAGATTCGAACCGAACAGGAAGTATGTTTGGCGAATCCAGATCATCTGTATATTACACTCATGCCATGTTAGAGCTGAAACGATCAACTACGAATGCCATTGGAGAGCGAAAGTTCAACGTAAGCGTCCCCTACGTATTCAATGCTTAGCTCATCAAATCCCCTGGTCGAGGCTGAAGTCCTGCAAACTTGTCGAATGGACTGAAGGTACGATCTGAGCTTGGTTTCTATAATGGTCAGATAATATCTCTGGAGACTGGCTGAGACACCTTGCTAGCTTGTCGAAACTCCAGGTAAATATATTTGACGGATATGTCAAGAGGGTCTTGTCGTTGCTTGACTTGATCGATGATCCTTTTGCTTTCATTCTCACCGTGTAAAACAATTCACTTAAATAATCACTGATAGCCGAGAATATTTGTCTGTCAGATGATGGAACCAAAAATATGGTTCCATGCCAAATGGAGGTATATTTTGCCTCCAGAAGGGAGACGTAGATCAGCTAACCCACGATCTTGCAACGATTTCCCCGCCCTCGGGTGTTGAACATCGCACGCCAATGCTTCCCTTTATATGGTCTTGTTGAATACCGTACGCCATGCTTGCCTGTATATGGTCCGATGAGGGAATCACAAAAGATTTTAACCCAAAAACGCCTTTCTATGCTGAAGAAGTTGATTCTCCCGCTTAATCCAATTCCCCCACGGGACGGATAGATGGTATTACACAAATCTAGAACTTCAACTCCTTGGGCTTCTCCCAGCTGAAGTCGGGGTTGGTTCCGAAGTGACCAAACTTGGCAGTCTGGTAGTAGATGGGCTTGGCGAGGTCAAGCTGCTTGACAATGACACCGGGGCGCATGTCGAAGTTGTTGCGGACAATCTCAACGAGCTCCTGGGCAGTCTTGTCAGAAGTGCCGTAGCTGTCGACGTAGACAGAGCAAGGCTCGGCGACACCAATGGCGTAGGAAAGCTGGACCAAGGCACGGCGGGCGAGCTTGGCGTGGACGAGGGACTTGGCAATCCATCTGGCGAGGTAGGCAGCCGAACGGTCGACCTTGGAGAAGTCCTTGCCGGAGAAGGCACCACCACCGTGGGCACCCCAGCCACCGTAGGTGTCGACAATGATCTTGCGACCGGTCAGACCGGCGTCACCCTGGGGGCCACCAATGATGAACAGTCCACTGGGTTGAATCTAGGGGCATGTCAGTGGCAAGCTCTCGGACATTTTCAAGCATGTACAAGGATGTAGGGGGGGAGTCACTCACGTGGTAGACGGTCTTCTCGTCGAGGTACTGAGCAGGGATGACCTTCTTGCAGATCTTCTCGGTGATTTCCTTGCGCAGCTGCTCGGTGGTGATGTCCTCGCTGTGCTGGGCGGAGACGACAATGGTGTGGACTCGGAGGGGGACGACGGCACCGCCATCGTGCTTGTACTCCATGGTGACCTGGGTCTTGGTGTCGGGGCGCAACCAGGGCAGGGAGCCGTCGCGGCGGGCATCCGACATGGCCTTGTTGAGCTTGTGGGCGAGCAAGTGGCTGAGGGGGTGCATCTCGGGGGTCTCGTCGGTGGCATAGCCGAACATGAGACCCTGGTCACCGGCACCGAGCTGCTCAAGGGCCTGGTCGTAGTGCAGACCCTGGGCAATGTCGGGGGACTGCTGCTCGATGGCGACGAGCAGGTTGCAGGTCTTGTAGTCGAACCCCTTGTCGGACGAGTCGTAGCCGATGTCCTTGATGGCGTCTCTCACGACCTTCTGGTAGTCGAGCTTGGCCTTGGTGGTGATCTCACCAAAGACCATGATCATACCGGTCTTGGTGGCAGTCTCGCAAGCAACCTTGGAGAGGGGGTCCTCAGCCAGACAGGCGTCCAGAATGGAGTCGGAGACCTGGTCAGCGATCTTGTCGGGGTGGCCCTCACCGACGGACTCGGACTGTTCGACACGGTCAGCGCTGGCCGGTCACCGACAGACACAGGCCGCGCGAGAGCAGGCGATGGCTGGAATCTCGCGCGGGCGGGGGCGGGGACATGCAACTCACGGTGAAGAGGAAAGCACCCTCGTTGTGGATGGCGAAGGCATCGCCGGTGACTCCGTTGGTGGCAGGCATGGTGTCGGTGGAGGGGTTGTTTCGTGGGAACGAGGAACGAGGGGGGAGTAAAGATTTGCGCTTGTCGTAAGTCTATTACTCTTTGGAAAATCCGCAGACAGGAAGACCAGAACCAGACGACGCAAGAAAATCGAATCGAGTGGAAGGATGAGGAGACAGGACTGGGGGCGGAGGAGGAGAGGAAAAGGAAGCAAGTTTTGTCCAGCAGAATGGGAGAAAACGATCCTCTGGGAAGGGGTCCTGTCTTTTCTGGCCGCTCCGTTCAATCGATAATGCAGTTGCCGAGAGTCGGCATCCGAGTCCTGAGGAGGGGCAGGCTGGGAGGTAGCGGTACTTGCGCGCGCACGCCTCTGGCAGCGTCGGCGCGGGTATCGAGTACCGGAGCGCTGTCGAGAAATGCGCAACAACCAACCGAGCCCGTGGCTGGCCGTCCGCTCATGGCCCCTGGCCGCTGGCCAAATTTTTACTGGGGCCCAATTGCGCCATAATTGCAACCGCGCTGCCAGATTTTCACCGCTTTAGCGCACATCCTCACCCTGGATTGCGGGGGCCCTCTTTGGCTCTTTGGGGGGGAGCCAGCGAACAACGTGCCCGAACGATTAACTGTTTCTGGACGCAGAACCTCCATCCGCGTTGGGGGGAATCTGACTACGCCGGCCTAGTTGCAGTAATTACATAGTACAAGATAAGGCCCCATTGATGGCACCAAGGACCGGGCTGACTATGGCAACAAATGGCAGTCGGCATCTCGACTCACACGGCACGCATGTCGGGCGGGCGTCGCCTGTTGTCTCTGATCGGAGCACCTTTCTGACCGTCACACGCTGCCTGCCTGCACGTCCCGCCCGTCCCTACCCCTCATACCCAAGTGGTACTGCGAGTCCATTAGGCAAGGGTTTGCAAATGGACAGACAGAAAAATTGGCACGCCGTCAAACACGAGCCGTTGGACTATGACGGAAGCACTTGAGTGCCCAAAGGCGCCATAGCCATTGGCACTGATGGCAAATGGTACAAGAAAGTCTAACACACAGCTCTGGTGAAACCCGCGCAATAGCCAGTCGCGGGTCGAGTTGATTCAGCCCTGAGGCCCTGAGTAAACGGCCGGTTCTGCAGCCGATTCTGCAGCTTACAGCCAACTGGGACCGACACCTCTGGTGCCGGGGAGAAAAAAACCCGCCGAGCTGGAGGGGTCCGCCGACTTCTTACTGGCGTCGCGGAACGTGGGACCCTGGCACCCTACGAGCCAAGCCTAACAGACCCCTCTCTGTACCCCTCCATCGCTCTACGGTGGGTGACTGACTAAAGGATTATTACTGCCATTATTTTTTTTCTTCGCCCCTCTATATGCATATGACGAGGCAGGGCACCCAACTGTACGTCCGGCACGCACCGCGTTACGAGGCTGAAGTGATCGTCTCACCGTATAGCTCCGAGCAACAGAAGTAGCAGCCCACCAGTCTGCAGGACAACTAGACGACTTCTCAGCCGTAGCTATACCCCCCCAACCCTCACGATGAGCAAGTTCGGCGTCATGGTCATGGGCCCTGCTGGGGCGGGCAAGGTATGTCCCAATGTCATGATTATCACCTGTCTCCATGCTTGGCTGGATGGGCTGGATATCCTTTTCCCTCACGTGTGCTCGGTAGTCCAGCTCTGAGGAATTTCGCTAACAAAGACGCCCACAGTCTACCTTCTGCGCCTCGCTCATCACCCATCTCCAGCTCAACCGCCGGTCCTGCTTCTATGTCAACCTCGACCCCGCCGCCGAGAGCTTCGAGCACACGCCCGACCTGGACATCAGGGAGCTGATCTCGCTCGAGGATGTCATGGAGGAGATGGGACTCGGTCCCAACGGCGGCCTCATCTACTGCTTCGAGTTCCTCATGGAGAACCTGGACTTCCTGACCGAGGGCCTCGATTCGCTCACCGAGGAATACCTCATCATCTTCGACATGCCGGGACAGATCGAGCTCTACACGCATGTGCCCATCCTGCCCGCCCTGGCACGCTTCCTCACGCGGACGGGCAACCTCGACATCCGGCTCTGCGCCGCGTACCTGCTCGAGGCAACTTTCGTCGTCGACAGGGCCAAGTTCTTCTCGGGAACCCTGAGTGCCATGTCCGCCATGATCATGCTCGAAGTCCCCCACATCAACATCCTCTCCAAGATGGACCTGGTGAAGGACCAGGTGCGCAAGAAGGACCTCAAGAGGTTCATCACGCCCGACCCGTTGCTGCTAGATGACGATCCTGCCGAGATCGCCCGGCGCAAGGCGGAAGGCACCTCGGCCGAGGACGACATCTTGGCCAACCCCCAGGATACGGACGCTGTCATGAAGGGTGCTAGCTTCCGGCGATTGAACCGCGCCGTGGCCGGTCTGATCGAGAATTTCAGCATGGTGAGCTACTTGAAGCTCGACGTGCAGAACGAGGAGAGCGTGGGCGCCATCCTAAGCTATATCGACGACTGCATTCAGTACCACGAAGCCCAGGAGCCCAAGGAACTGAAGGATGAGGAGTTCGACGAGCCCGAGGAGTGACCAGTACCTGCATAGCCCTTACTTGGGGTCTGTCTAGGTCTGGGGGAGGAAAACAGGAGGGTTCGAAGTCGACGATTTGGACCCAACATCTGATACATTATGCATAGCGGCCGGCGTTTCTGCATTTGATAGGCATTTGATACCAAAATCCAAAACTGATTTGAGCATTTAATTCATTGCGTACACCTCGTAAAGTCATAACGTAAGGACCCAGCTATCCCTCATACACACACACACACAGGTCCCTATCTGCCCGTCCCCCTCGCCCGGCCGGCCTTTCGACTGTTCTTGGTCTGCGAGTCGTACTTGTCGTACTCGGCCAGCCAGATGTTCTTGACGATGGTGGCGTAGCCGACAGCCTTGCTGCCCAGGACGACGGCGTCGCGCAGGACGGCCTCGGGGCCGCGCTGCCACACGGCGGCCAGGAGGGCGGCGACAACGGCCCACAGCAGCAGGCGCGAGACCAGGCGCGTCCAGAACATCATGACGCGGTGCACCCACAGGGCGATCTGCAGCGCCGCGAAGGCGATGCCCACGAGCGTCATGACGAAGACGATGTCGGGCGAGTCCGACAGCACGTCCGACACCCGCGCCAGCACCGGCTGCACCACCGGCCACGCCGCCGCCGCCCCGCGCTGCACCGCCGACTGCGCCCACCGCAGCGTCGCCTGGAACGGCGTCTCGCGCGCCAGCACGTGGTCGGACAAGAACTGGAGTGTCTGGTCGGGGAGGACGCCTAGAGAGGAGCGGCAAAACGCGTGCGTGTTAGTCCAAAGAAGCTTCTCGCAAGGCTGGGGCGGGTTGCGGGTGGTAGAGGTAGTCCATACCGTCCAGACGGTCAAGGATCCATTGGTGATCGTTTGCCATCTTGTGTGTGGCTGTCCCAAAGTCTCTGGGCGAAGGCTGCTTCGAGGTCGCGTGCCTCGACCGGGGTTGTGGCGATGTAGAGCTAGTTGATGCCGTGTATGTGTGTAGCTTCTGGGGCGAAGGTGCCTCGCGGTGCCTCCGGCTGCTATATGCGCGCGTCGCTTCGGCGTCAACAGGAAAGCAACGCGGGAAGGGCTGAACAGATCAGAAAAAAATTGATCGGCTTCAATAGCGGTCACGCAAGAGGGTCGCCGACGTGTTGTGATGCATGGGCGAGCTGACCGGGGTGTGGGGGGAACTCAAGGGTTCTTCTTGGTCGGTAAGATCTGGCGTCAGGTCTGGTCTGGATTCGATGTTCGTGCCGTGCTGCCCTGGGCGCCGCCATCCAAGGGAGTGACATGTGTTCGTGGTGGAGCCCTCTCTGTGTCCAACTGTAAGTTACGGTAACTAAACCCCCTGTTGGTTGTGACCGCCCCTTCGCAGATCTCGCGGCAACTCTGTTTGGACTCTGGGAAAGCCAGAACTTAAAGGCCATAGTGACCTCGAAACTTCCGGTCTTGCTTGGTGACGATATCATACGTAATTTGGTCGATTTAAGCTCTTAGCCATCTCATGTCTCAGCTGCTTTCGTCGAGATCTTGGTTTTTTGGCCTGCGGCACCTTCTCCGTTGCCAATGAGGAGGAACAGGAGCAGAGGTGCAGTCGCAAACCCAAGCCTTGGGCACCCACCTGCACCCTTTACCGACTCCAGGGGCCCGCCCACGTGGAGCTCTCCTCCAAGGCGGGATCTAAGGGCCATCCAAGACCCAGGCCAGCGGCTGAACCGAGCCGTATTTGGAGATGATATCGTTGCGGGAAGAGGTCCCTACGCGCTATCAATTCAAAACATTTGGAAGCCGTTCCCGCCGTCTGCTTTTGATGGATGGTTGCATTCAACAAGCGTGACTTTGTCAGGGGCAAGCAACGCTTCCAGTGTGAGGCTAAGCGACCTAGCAACTGCGGCAGAAGATAAAACAAATGTTGCATTCAACGAAAGACGGTAGGATGTATCAGCTGGAAAGAATGACATTTAATACTCTGGATTCCTTCGGTTTGCCATGGAACTGGACTGGAACTTGCCGTTTCGAGCTGAGGCCAAGTACACGAAGCCAACGATGCTCCTCCAAACTCTGGAATATCAGATGAAACGCCAAACGTATAGCTATGACCTCTGGTCACAACCTACCACTTCCAACGACAACAGCGAGAGCAGAAACATTTTCTGCTACTTCTTCATCCAACAATCACAGGTAATGTTCCTAACCTGCTCATCAAGATCGATATTCTCAGGATGAGGTCACCGCACGTCCTCGTATTCTCATATCTACAAGGCATTGTTTTGTCTTCTCTTATAGAGCCGGAAATCTGCCCACGGAGTCCCTTCCAGTTCTCTCTGGTGCCGCCAACACATCTTGCCGATGGGTTCTCCAGGCTCAGAGGATTCCTCAGTCACTCCAATACGGCCCATCGCGAAAATGAAAGCCCAGGATTGCACGCATTGGAGAAGGCTCACAGCTGCAGAGACCAGTATTGTGTATGGACTAGTGGGGAGGCATCATCTGTCGGAATGTCTGTCGTGACTACTCGAGCAAACAGGAAACGGATACTAGAGCGCTCTGCTTCAAGAACAGTGAGGTCAGAACTGCCTGCCAACTTTCGGACCACCGAGATCCCCGGCAAAGGCATCGGGATGATTGCCAACAGACGGATTCGAAAGGGCGAGCCGATCCTGACTGCTAAGCCCGCGGTTTTGGTCCACCGGAAACTGGTAGACGAACTCGACCTGGACGATCAGTACTCTCTACTAGATGTAGCGGTTTCTGAGCTACCCCCTATGAGACGAGAGCAGTTTTTGGCCCAGGCCGGCGAGCTTGGCGGGCACAAGGTCAGCGATATATTGTTCACAAACTCTTTCCAGGTGATCCTTGGAGGGGAGGACGGCCAACACTTGGGCAATTTCCCGGACGTTTCGCGCTTCAACCACGACTGCCGGCCGAAGTAAGGCGACCCACGGCTCCCGGTATACTGTGTTACTGACTGTCGGTAGCGTGGCTTTCTACATTGACCAGAACTTGACACATCACACCCACGCCATCAAAGAAATCCAGTCGGGCGAGGAACTGACGATCTCGTACCTTGATTCGTTCCGCGCCAGATCAGTGCGTCAGGAACGAGCTCATACCTCGTGGGGGTTTGCCTGCACTTGCTCGCAATGCAGTCTCCCCCGAGAGGAAGCAGACGCGTCAGACGCCAGACTCTACAAAATTTACCAGGTTGAGAACCAGCTGTCTGATCTCAACAACGGGAAAAGCACGCCCGACATGGTAGAGCAGCTCATCGGCCTGTATCGGGAAGAGAGACTCGACTTCAAGATTGCGGATGCGTACACTATTGCAGCATTGAATTACAACCAGTTTGGCATGGCGGACTTGGCGAGGAGATATGCGGATCTATCCCTAGAGCAGGGCCCACTGGAGCATGGCACCCACGCCCCTGATATTGAGGTGATGCGGGCTATACTGGAGGATGCAGAAGGTCATTGGACCTACAACCGTCGGCCGTATCGAGAAGTTGCCCCAGATCAGGATGAGCTATAACAGCGGAGGCTTTCATCTTACCAATGAACAGACGTGGTTTACAAAAAGTCTGGCTGATGCGCCGTAGTCATTTGTTGCACTTAAATGCAGGTCTACAAGGGGATGGGGGTATCTTTCAACAGCCAAAGCGCCATTCGGACATTTTCGGATGGATGGAGGCATCCCTTGGATGAGAAATGTTTGCTCTGGTAAATTGACATGAGAGGACGTGTTTGTGCCTCGATTGCTTGTCTTGGTAAATTCTACCAAGGCTATACACGTAGAAAGTTCCCAGTACGGTCGCCCCAATTGCTGTATTATGCCCGTCACTTGACGCTGTACCCGAATAGTCGGGGTATATCATACCACGGTGTTGCAATCACCCGCAGATATGCCACCACTCTTCATCCGAGCTTTCCCTCATTTCTTCCCAGAAAGATGCTACTTCAAGAAAGCTCAAGTCTCGCTGCGCGGTTGGACGCCTAGATTCAGCCGCATTAGCCTTCGATCTGGCACAGCCCCACAGGAATAGTCAACATGGACTAAAGTCTCAACTTACAGCTTTGGGGCCTCCGGCAAAGTAAGCCTTTTACTTATGCACTGCAATTCTTGCATGATTGAGGCAGGTATATTCAAGTCATTCGAAGGTATTAGTCCTCATAAAATTAGGCACACCATCCGCCATCGGAAAATTCATCGCAAAAGAGGACTGGAATCCACTGGAGCTGAGTGTCACCAGCGCCGCGAGCTGAGGAGAAACCCCCCACCAAACTCCAAAATGACTGACCTCACCATCCGGAACCTCACCGCCACCCCACTCGAGCTCAAGCTCGTGGAGCGGTTTGACGGGCAGCCGGTGAAAAATGGGGGAGACAATCGTATGGGAAACATCACGAGCAGGATCACGGGCATCTTCAACTCGTCCTCGGTGGCCCCCAATGTGACACCGCAGGGCGACGCACGCGATCGCCGGGATGTCTCCATCCCGCTCCCCTGCTTTGGAAACACCACCACCGATGTCAAGGCCGCGGACCCCAATGGCCGCGAGGTGGTGCGGCTGACTTTCGAGTCTGAGGGCCACCGGTACGAGGTCGACGTGCCGACCTCCTCGCGGCGCAGTACCGTGCTCAAGAAGCTGGACGATGGGCCCCGCGAGTTCACAGCCGTGTATGTTGCTTCGGGCTCGTGCCTCTCCATCTTCAGCTCCGCGAACCTGGGCAGCTGGATGCAGGAGTTGCGGGACGACTGGCCGCTGTCGGCCTTGTCCATCCCGGGCACGCACAACAGCCCAACCTGCCACGTCGCTCTCCCCTCAGTCCGATGCCAGGCCGCCAACGTGCGTGAGCAGCTCGACAACGGCGTGCGGTTCTTCGACGTTAGATTGCAGACCAGCCCGGACAACTCGGACTTGATCCTGGTGCACAGTGCGTTCCCGATCTCTCTGACGGGCAACAAATACTTCCACGACATGCTCAACGACGTCTACGCCTTCCTGGACGCCAACCGCTCCGAGACTCTCATCATGAGCCTCAAGCGTGAGGGCACGGGGAAAGGCACGGATCAGCAGCTGTCCAAGTATCTGCGGGATCGGTACTGCGGCGATGGGAACCGGTGGTTCACGGAACCGCGGATCCCGCGCCTGGGCGAGGCCCGGGGCAAGGTGGTGCTGCTCCGGCGCTACGGCAACGACGAGTCGCTCAACGGCGAGCACGGCGGGCGGGGCTTCGGGCTCGACACGAGCGAGTGGCCGGACAACTGCGACGACAAGGTGACGGGCGGGCCGGGGCTGGCGCGGGTGCAGGACTTCTACGAGATGGACCAGAGCCACAACATCGGCAAGAAGATCGACCTGGCGCGGGCGCACCTGGAGCGCGCGGGCGAGCCCACGTGCCCCTTCGGCGACCCGGCGGCGCCCGACCACCTGCCCTTCTTCGTCAACTTCCTGTCGGCGAGCAACTTCTTCAACGCCAACTGCTGGCCCGAGAAGATCGCCGCCAAGGTCAACCCGGCCATCGTCGAGTACCTGTGCCTGAACCACGGCGAGGCCGGCAGGGGCCCGAATAATCTGGGCGTCGGCGATGCGTGTACGGGCATCGTGGTCACCGACTGGGTCGGCCTCGGCGGCGACTGGGATCTGATCCGGTGTATCGTGGGATGGAACGCACGACTGCAGCTGAAGCAATAGAAATTTGGAGGAATGCCGGGGCCGTCATGGCGCGAGCGAGTCTCGCAGACGGCAGCCTAGACCCTGCAATGGGCTCGGATTCTCAACAGATCTTGGTCTATATCTTAAAATATCGGACGAATAGCTCTACATGTTTTTTTTGAATGAAGGGTTGTCTTGAGAGGGGTGGTTCAAAAAATGTGGTACATGGGAATGGCACGCATATCGACAGACGCAGGGAGTGGTCCGGACCAGACTGGATATACGCTCAGGAGTTTTTGGTTAGAAGACACGTGCTTTCAGAAGAATACTACCGCAATTCTGTGTGTAATGGACAGACAGCCGAGAGGCCTTCATTCAGTTTGATGTGTCCCTCTCCCAGCCATTGAATACTACTATACCAGAATATCTCATTTACCAGTCAAATATTCGATTTGACTGAAACGAATGCGACGCGTGTCGGCCAAGACGACGACAACACCGATTCAAGTACAAGTATTTGGTCAGTGCATGGCAGAGACTTCCTTCACCGTATACAATTCAAGCGTTATAGAGCTGTCTCCACGCGCTGAGGCTAGCCATGCCTACAGGGTACGTATCACACTTGGAGAGCCAGCCAAGCTGTCACAACCATAGGACGAAAAGCTTGTGAAAAAAAGAGTGGGAGATTTTGAAAAATTAGAAAGACAAGATAACCTTCCAGCAGGTGAAGCGACCCTGCATTCTCCACTGAATAAACACCCCGTCCTAGCTCACTGCTTTTGCGAGGCCCAGGGTTTCTGCAAGCGCAGGGTTCTCCGTCACGCCGGGATGTCTGGGTCCCGAGACACCCGCCGTTTCGGGACTCGGAAAGAGCCTAAATCCACGAGACACGATTATGTAAACGGCCAAGAAGTTGCATCAGGTAAGAGGCAAACAGGATTTGTGAGGTCGAGGCGTTGTGGTCGTCAGGTTTCGAGCCCCATGGTATTCTGCTGGGCTTACGTTGGCTGTTGATTGGGTGATGGCTGGATAACTAGAGTTCGGGACAGTCAATATTGTACGGGCTTTCGATGGTTAAGTGACAAGATGTGTAAGATTTCCTTTGGCAATTGAAATGAAGAGATAGATAATCATAGACCAGCTCTTTCGAACTCTCAAACCTGAGGCTGTCGACAGGTTAGGCAAATTAGAGGGTTCACGGGGAGTGGCTTGTACTTCAGAATTGTGTCATTGCGGACTGTTTGTCTTTCGTTCATCGAGCCCACTCTCAGATATCTACTAGCATACATGTTCCCCAGTGACACCTACTTAGGTAGCCATCGATAGCTTAGGATTTACCTCCACACAGCATATTCCGTTTCGGGTTAAGATTGCGTGTCATCAGGCTTCTCATAAGAGAAGAAAAGCGACCAGGCCAGCGAATCCGCCCACTGCCGTAAATGGTAGCGCTAAGCCAGCGGCCCCATTGGGAAGGATACTGGCACTGGTCGTCGCCGCGGCGCTGATACCGTTGGTGGCAGAAGCGACCCCGGCCGTTCCATTCAACCCAGTGCGGACTGCCGTCGCCAAAGTACCAGTTGCTTCTGTAAGTCCAGTGGCACTGCTCAAGGCCCGCAGTGACGTTGCCGTGGCACCCTCGCCACCACCAAGAGGCTGCAGCGAGGTAGCACCCTCACTTCCGGAGCCGCCCAGGGGTTGAAGTGAGGTACCGCTTCCGCCTTCGGAGCCGCCGCCAAGTGGTTGCAATGATGTGGCACCGGTAGCCTCAGCACCATTCGCACCCGTTGCACTTCCGAGGGACTGGAGACCGGTGGCAGAAGCACCTTCCGCACCAGGTAGAGGTTGAAGCGTGCCGGCTGTGACCGGAGTTCCTGGAAGCGGCTCTAGAGCCCCGCCGGATCCTGCAGCTGCGATGGCCGAGGCAGTTGCAGTGACGGCCTCACCGCTGTTAAGGGGCTTCAAGACAGCTGTACCGTTTGAGCCCCCTGGTGAAAGAGGTGCCAGCGTCTGCAGAGGTGCCAAAGATCCAGCCGATGACAAAGCCGGAGCGCCCGTTTCCACAGCAGCTGAGGCGTTTACCGCGCCGATGGTTTGGAACCCCTGGATGGCCGATGCTGCGGAGCTGACGCTTGAAAGGCCGGCAAGTCCTGTGGCAAGGGGAGCAGCTGAGATAGTCGAAAATCCTTGGACTGCCGCGGATGTGGCTGCAGCAATCGCCTATGGTTCTTCAGTATGTTGTACTCCATGAGAGTCAGAGCCATTACTTACCGAAGCTGTGCTCAACTGCGTGAGAGCCGCAGCAGAGCTCGACGCTCCGATCTGAGCCGCGGTAGTAGCTCCTGGAAGAGCCTGGAGAGCTCCTGTGTTGACATTCGCAACACTTGAAAGAGATTTCAACGGTTGAAGACTGGATGCTTCGACAGCACTACCAGGAATAGGTTTGAGTGACACCGCGCCCGCTGTCGCTGTTTCCTCCGCATTCACTGCCACTCCCTGGGCGCCCGGTAGCTGCTTTAGCCCAGCCTGAGGCACGAATGCCTCGCCGCGAGAGTTCTCGTTTGTGATGTTGCGTGCAGCGCCGGCCAGGCTCGCGCCGAGGACGGCCACGGCCGTGGTGAAAAGAACGTGTCTCATCTTGTCGGTTACTTTGGGAGGTACGGCTTTCTTCTCTTGAATAAGTCAAAAATTAAGGAGAGGCTGGACGATCAACTTTGTAGTGATACAACCAAGCCAAACGAAGTAAATGGGTCTACTGTCCGGAGTAGCTGACCTGCAGGCGTGTATAAAGGAAGGACACGAAAGAAACACTTCACCAGAAGCTATTAAGAAGAACAGAAAGAGAAGACCGTAGGGACAGAAACGAGAGTATGGAAAGGAAGGAAACCTGGGTAGGGCGAGGAGGATTGCCACGATCTTGTAGGATATGTCATTGCCAATAATGCCAACATTTTTGCCTGAGTGATCCGCGGCAGCAAGAGTATGGGTGGGGTACGCCATCTCATGTCCAGGCATACCTCAGCTACCCCTTGTGTTGACAAGTGACAGGCTCGTTGTTCGGATCAGACGAGGGTGGGCAGGACGAGAAGCTGGGCCGCCTCCTGCGAAAGGCGAGTCTTGAGACGGCGCCAGGGTCATTGACAGGCATGGTCCATAGGTACTGGCAAACCTTGCCGCAAGAGAGAAACGAAACGGCCAGAGACGTAAATGATTGGCTCGGACAGTGAGGAAGAGTTACCGATGTGCACAAGCGGGAGTACAGTGAGCAGAGAGTCTTAAAGGCCCTTGCCACTGAACGATGAAAACCAACCCAATGCGTTGGTCGAGCCCCCTGTGGTCGACTGAAGTTATAAAACAGGGTGGATGAGTTAAGCTTAACCATGTAGCATGCGAGACGCAGCACCAAAACAAGGGTTCAACAATCCTTCCGTGATATAGGGACAGACAAAGGGCACCGTCTGCGGCCTTCGAAACATTCGGCACTAGCCAGAATAGTCGGGCCTGGGGGTGTGGGTGCCCACGGGCAAGCTGTCATGATGTGTGGGATCCCTGTTGAGGCTCTGACAACACGGAGGCTACTGCAGGGTCTGAAACCCGCCTCATCGAGGAAAGCTTTCAGGCGAGCCAGAGACAGCTTTTCGCGGAATAATGCCAAGACCCCAGCCGAGAAGAGTGAATACATAGCATTCTGAGGGATAGCTGTGCATGTGCTATGTAGAAAAGCGATGCCGTTGCATGACTTTGGTTGATCGGGAGAAAGACAACTGCTGGTTGAGTTACCTCGGAGGCGATCGAGATGTGCACATCGTGTTTATACAATCATCCACCGTAACGGATCTATCGCCGTCGATCTGGATATGTTGATCTTTTCAGGAAAACTGTTGACACTGGTTCTTTTGCTGGTCGCCATCTCTCGCCGTCTCTGTTTGCTATACTGTGAGGCATCTGAGCTCCAAGTTCAGCAGGTTGTGTTCCAGCGCATGATTTCCGGGTGTTCGGCACTGGTGTGGCTGAACTGGATCACGTGCTGCGAGGTGTCCGGGCCCTGGAGGTAGCCGGGCACCCGGGCACCAGTGCCTGTTCCTAGTGCCTTCCCAGCACCTGCCTTGCCTGCCTGGGCCGCCTGGGCCGCCTGGGCAAACGCCAGACTGCTGTTGACTGCCGTCCAGGCTGCCAGGCCGGCCATGGATGTGCCTGAGCCACACCCAGTTTGCTGCCGGGCCAGCCGGTGCGCCACGCTGGCTTGACTGGGTGAGGCCGTGACTTTACCACAGTAGCCCCATAGTTCAGTCAGTTACTTCCTTACTTGGCCTGCTTGATTTGCCCGTGGTTAGCTCAGCCTCTGGCTTTGGTCAATTTGTCGCGAAGACGCGGCTCTGGAAATCGAGAACTGGATCATCAGCCTCGTCGTCGCACCCAGCCCTCGTTGCGCCCGCACGGCCTGCCATCGCCACAACCCAGCATCGTTGTCGCTCTTCTTCGCACGCATTTGATTTCTGGTGGCCACGAGCAGCTGAGCAGAGTGCACTCCATCCCGCTTGTTGTCCGCGCGCCTCGCCCGTCACAATGTCTGCAATGGGAGATCCCAGCCATGGGGTCAATCGGGACCTGGTACGTCCTGTCATCATTTCGTGTTGATGTCTGCGATTATACTGACAGAATGCCCTCGCGTAGCTGCCCCATGTGCACCTCGTCTCGACATACCGCTACACACACAAGCCCCGGGTTGAGATACCCGAAGTCACCCAGATGCTGATGAACGCGCCATCAATCGCGCGCGACAAGGCGCCCTTCTTCTGGACATATCTAGACCGCCCCGAGAATGGCAACACCATGCTCACATGGCAGCCGCTGCAGCTGCTGGGCACCCAATTCGCCAGTGATGGCTATATTTGGCCCCCGGCGGAACAGTACTTCACCCAGGACATGGGCAACGGGATTGTGCGTATTACATTGCACCTCCATTTGTTCCGTCGCTATGCTGACCGCCTGGTTTCTTTTTGTCTCTAGATCCTGGAGATGTACTACCACAAAGCAGGATACTCCGTTGGGGAACCCGTGGCCACCCATTCGCGTCGTCGTTTCCGCCTCTGCCCCTCCAATGCTCCTCACAACCCCAACGCGCCTCAGGTCGACCCGAGCCTGTGGTTGGTGCACTACGGACCTATCGACAACAACGAGCGTATCCCCGTGCAGATGATCCCCCGCGACCCTCGTGCCCAGCACATCATGGACACCCGTGCCCACCTCCAGCGCTGCGGCCAGATCCAGCGCAAGGAGTTTATTCTCTCCGACCGCGTCAACTGGCCCCAGATCGCCTGGCCTCGGGAGCTGTCGCGACAACCCGTGTATGCCAACAACAGACCCGTGCCCCAGAATATGGCCTACCCTACGCACCCACAGACTGGCGCCCCTCCCCCCAAGCGCGCGAGGACCACGCAGGCTGCTCACCAGGTGCCACACGCAATCGCCGGCCTCGGCGCAGAGGGTGCCTACGATGACGACGAGGACTACTCGCGTGGCGATCTCTTCGACCACCTCACCCCTCGCGAAATCAGTCTACACCGATACCAGCAGAACCACGAGTGGATGGAGGAGATCCTCTCCTCCCCCTACCGGATGGGTCAGATCGGGTTCGCCAGTCTCGGCTTGGGCTTGAAGGGAGAGCTCGCCAAGGTCACCGATGGCATCTTTGAGGCCCAAGGTATAGATGCCATCAATGCGCCATCCAAGGGCGGCGAGAGTCACCTGGACGACGAGCAGGCCGCCGAGTTCAAGAAGCGAGTCAATCAACGCATCGACTCTACCAATGACGAGATTGCCAAGATGAAGGCAGAGCACGAGAAGAAGATGGCAAAGTTCAAGAAGAACTCGCTGCTCAGCACCGCCGAGAAGGACTTGCGCACGGCTGTAGATGATGTTACACCTGGACTGTTAAGCTTGGAGAAACCCTCTGAGGAGAGCGAGGATGGCGCTGCCCGTTGGACCGCCAAGCACGGCAAGAAGGTTGACGATATTGTCTCGTTGGTCCAAGCCCAGCTGGGTCGACAGGCCGAGGCCATCCAGGACCTCAGGCGTATCCAAGATGGTGGCTACCAGGAGCCTGCCCCAGAGCCCACGCCTCAGCCATCGGCACCCTTGAACCCTGGCGCAGGAGCTTCCCAGGGCGGCTCCATCATGGGAGACCACGAGGACATCGACATGGGCGGCACGGCGGCCGGCTTGCTTGACCAAATGCATACAGGCATGTCATCTACCTCCACCCCCGGCAACAACTTTCCCACGCCTCAAGCCCAGTCGTCCGCTGTTCCATCCACATCTGGCACCCCAGCAAACCTGAACGGCCCTTCGCCGCACCCACCTCCCCCCGCCCCCCAAGCAGCGCCCCCCAAGCAGGAGGAGGACGTTGACATGACCGGCACCGAGGCCGAGCCCTCAGGTACCGCGCCAGACCAAGGCACCGGCAGCGGGGACTGGGTTGTTGTGCCTAAGGATGGCGTGACGCCCGACCCCAGCAGCACCTCGGCAAACCCCACCACATCCGTCGACCAGGCTGCTGCCGCTGCTGCCGCCGCTGCCGCCACCCCGAAGCCGCCGTCCCAGCCCGCGAGCAAGCAGCCCTCGGCGACCGGCACCCCGGCCGCCGGCTCCATCGGCTTCGATGCCAACGACTTTGACTCCCTGGACAACCTGGACTCGGCCGGCGACGCCCTGGCCAGCTTCTCCGACACCCCGGCCGACCTCGGCGGCGACTTCATGGAGGACTCGGCCTTTGGCGATGCCTTCCACGGCGTCGATGCCGGCGACGACGACGCCGGCAACACCCCCGCCGGCGATGCAGGCTTGTAGGGCAGGTTTACATGGCGGCGGTAAACCCCCCTGCGAAACTTGGAGGATTGCGGTGTCGGCCCTTCCGTGCGTGAGGCGGACAGGGCAAGGCAACGCAAATGGACGAATGGGCAGTAAGCAGCGAGACGAGGAAAGGGGGGAGGCGTCGATGGCGTTTAGTGAGGTTCCACGGTTATCTTTCCTTTGGATCACAAAGTCTGCAAAAGGAGAAAGCAGGACTTGATCTTGCCGATCGGATTTGGCGGTGCGTTGGAAAGGGGTTGACCGCTCCCTTATCGAGCTACATGCGTAGGGAAGGCAGACTGGAGGACCTCCGATCCATAGAGCGATGGAAGGGCAAATGGCCACTGTAGCGTATGACATGGCCTTGTATCTATATCATCTGTACCAGCTGCCATTAAGTCTTTTCTAGCCAAGAAAACTGGCGACTCATTCTATCATTGTTCTACTTTGCGGATCACGGCATGTGCGGTTTCCGCTTTACAAGTTCGCGTACTAGTGTTTTGAATCATTTGATCATCATTCTTCATTCCTTTTCCATCTATGTGACTAAACTAAAAGTGGCATGGAACCACCCCGTCGTGGCAATCTGTAGTGCCTTTCTGTGCTAAATCATTATCCCAACCCGATATATACGCCGTTTATGCCTGGTAAGTGGAAGCAGAGACGTTGCCACCACGGCCGGTCCAGTTGACGTGGACGTACTGGCCAGCGGGGTACTTCTCGTTGGCGCACTCGGGCTTGACCAGGAAGGTGTGGGCACCGAAGTAGTCACGCTGGGCCTGGAGCAGGTTGGCGGGCAGGTCCTTGGTGCGGTAGCCGTCGAACCACGACAGAGCGGTGGAGAATGCCGGGGTCGGTATTCCGAGCAGAGCGGACTTGGCAATAACGTCTCTCCAGCCGGGCTGAGCGGTGTGGATGGCCTTGTTGAAGAAGTCGTCGAAGAGCAGGTTCTCCAGGTCGGGGTTCTTGCGGTAGGCGGCGGTGATGTCCTTGAGGAAGACGGAGCGGATGATGCAACCACCTCTCCACATGAGGGCGATCGAGGGCTTGTTGAGCTTCCAGCCGTACTCCTTGGCGGCCTGTAGAGGTCAGGTAAATACATGGGGTTCAAGGATAACGAATGGGCATCGGAAAAGCACTCACGTCCTGCATCAGCATGAAACCCTGGGCATACGAGATGATCTTGGAGGCGTACAGACCCTGCTCGAGGTCGTCGAGGAACTGCTCCTTGTTACCCTCGAACTTGGTGCTGCGGCCAACGAACTCGAGCTTGGTGGAGGCCTTGGTACGCTCCTCCTTGAGGGCGGACAAGCAGCGGGCCATGACGGCCTCAGCGATCAGGGTGACGGGCATGCCAAGGTCCAGAGCGTTGACGGCAGTCCACTTGCCGGTACCCTTCTGACCAGCCTGGTCCAGGATCTTCTCGACCAAGGGGGTGCCATCGTCATCGTTGAAGTACATGATGTCGCGAGTAATCTCAATCAAGAAGGAGTCCAAGACGCCCTTGTTCCACTTGGCGAAGACATCACCGATCTCCTTGTTGGGCATGCCCAGACCACGCTTCATGATGTCGTAGGCCTGTCGTTGCCGGTTAGCACTTCTGCGCAATCGTAGGCGCGGCGGGGGCGGGGGCCTCGACTCACCTCGCAGATCAGCTGCATGTCACCGTACTCAATACCGTTGTGGACCATCTTGACGTAGTGACCAGCACCCTCATCGCCAACCCACTCACAGCAGGGCTCGTCGTCGCTCTTGGCCGAGATACCCTGGAAGATGTCCTTGATGAAGGGCCAGGCGGCCTCGTCACCACCGGGCATGATGGAGGGACCATAACGGGCACCCTCCTCACCACCGGAGACACCGGAGCCGACGAATCGGAGACCCTTGCCGGCCAGGTACTTTGTTCGGCGGTTGGAGTCGGGGTAGTGGGAGTTGCCACCGTCAATGATGATGTCGCCCTTCTCCAGGAGGGGCAGGAGGGTCTCGATCCAGTCGTCGACGGCCTTGCCGGCCTGCACTAGCAGCATGATACGGCGGGGCGTCTTGAGCTTGGAGACGAACTCCTCAGTCGAGTGGGCACCGACAATGGACTTGCCCTTGGCCTCGTTGTCCAAGAAGCGGTCGACCTTGGAGACTGTGCGGTTGAAGGCGCAGATGGTGAAGCCGTGGTCGGCCATGTTCAGAATCAGGTTCTGACCCCTGAACCGACGGGTGAGTACGCCGAACGAGCCGTCGAGGGGGAAGGGGTGTCTATGTGACTTACATGACGGCCAGACCGATGAGGCCGAGATCAGCGCTTCCGGGACAGTTAGCATGGCTTGAGCTGCGGACGGCTGGACGAACGAGGGGGATTCAGGGAGACGGGTGAGGTGAAGTGAAGTCAGGACCGGACGGGCTCACACTCCTCCCCCATAGTGGCCAGTGATGCTGGCAAGACGAGCCCTGAGACCCGGTGCGCCACTCTTAGTTCAACATGTTGCGAAAATGGGGGAAGGGCATTGCATTGGAATAGGGCGGCGCCGTTGGTGCGACCTTGACCATGACATGGCGGGTGAGGGCATCGACGGCGGGGTGGTGGGGTAAGCAGAGGCAGCCTGAGGGGTTTTGGACTTACACAGCTCCAGACATGTTTGCGATGGCTGATGGCGTTCCTATGGGGTATATGGTATCAATGAAGCTGGTGAGGAAGTATCACAGCTCTGACGGGGGGATGCGGGCAGCTCTGGTGCAAAAGGCGTTTGTTGGAGGAAGAAAGATTGGGTAGAGACCGGACGCGACGGCGGAAGTCTCGTACTTTTCAATGATGTTAGATGGACGGGGGTCAAAGTGGGCTGGAGGGGTAAAACGTGAAAAGAATAGGGTAGCGTCGATCGGGGGCCCGACTTAATACTGCGCTGCATGCATCCGTCCAATACCACGAAACAAGTACCTTTACCTAGCAACTCCTCCTGCACCGCTGCCCGCTGCCCGCTACGACTATGTACTGACTAAAACCCAAGCCAGGGCTGGAGCCGCTGGCCGACAGCTTTTACCTTGGCGAGCATCCCATTTGGACTGACAGGTGGTGAAAACCCTCCTGTCCCCCAAGGTATCCTGCATATATCACCCTGCATTCCCGTCTGAGCTGTTTTGGGATACGTTAGTGGTATGGCCCGCGAGGCTTACTCAGGGCCTCACAGCAGCAGTCCAGTCCAGTCCAGCCTCTCTGGTCTACGGATAATTATCCGCACGAGGCACAGAGAGGGCCCCGAGGGGTGCTGGACGTGCCAGAGGTCCTGGAGGGCGCCTTGTGTCTTGATTACACACCGTCAGTGGTGTAACTACGTCAACATGCGGACCATCCGGGTAGGCCCATTCGGCGGCTCGGGACAAGCCTTGTGGAGCCCAAGTCTGAGGACAGACGCAATCTTCATCAGACAGCGCATAAGAGGATGTATGCTGATATTGTACCAAGCTCATGGTACCGTTCATAAACAAAAGCTCCATCAAAATCGAGGCGTTTGAGGGCATTCAGACAACAAGGGCCCTTTCGGTGTCACCCCCTTGGGCGTTTCGCAATGAGGGATGTTTCGATCCTGCGGGATGGTTCGGCACGGGGCTCCGGTACCTGGTACCAGTCTACAGTAGACTCCCGAAGGGCGGAAGCTGATATTCACTATTACCCGCCCGAGTATATATGAGCCACTCATCAGCCTGATTCTTTCTTTGCATATGGCGAGGCTTCCGGTACAAGCAAGTACCCAAAGGAATTGCCGATACTCTCTGATGATTGCTGCTTGATTTGCAAAGACTCTCCAGGAGATGTCCTGGGACTGCAACAGGTCCCGGGAGCCCTGCCAGGTTTGTTGGGAGCTTAATAATGCCTGGACCGTCAGCTCCAAAGTAAGACGCCTATGTCGCTGGAGCCAATGACGTGACATGTTGACTTACACGAACAACAGCCCTATGCAACCTGGCTTCCCGGGACCTTGGGAAACAATCCTGGAAGACTTGCACTTGCAATAAAAAAGAGTAGAAAAGGTAGCAGTCGTTGCTGAAGGCTATGCCTCCCAGCGCAAAAGACCCAACATTGAGAGATCTCTCCAAGTACCTCCTCGTACATGGGCCATTTTCAAGGCTGTGGCCGCCCCTCTGGGCTGATGTGATTGGAGGCGCTTCGACGTCTGCGCGCCCGAAAATGTCGCATATTGCCCCGCCGGCGTTTCCCCTGCGACACTTGTGAGAGGCGAAGCTCTCCGTAAGCGGACTAACGTGGGTATCGGTGCGGGTTGACGCATCACTGCTGCAAGGCTGCAAAATTGCCGCAAGTCCACCGCGAAGTAGGAATAATAAGGAGCCTTTGGAAGTGTCTGGAGCGCGCATGACCACCGCTGGCTGGCGGACCATGCGGTAGTCAGCATCGACATTGGTCAGAAACCCCGAAGCCCATCTTGGCAGTCGGACTTTGCGCCGGCTGTGTCGGCGACAGTTGCCCAAATGTATCGTTTCGGGCCTGCTTCGGTTGGGAATAATGCATGTGTATGTAGGTAGCTACAAGGTGAGCATGAGATGGACGGCCTCCGGGATCAGCACGTCTGGACTGTGAGCGACGAGAGCATCTCAAAGACCGACAGAAGTTCCACAAACTCGTAATTCACGTTGATCCCCAAGCAATGAATGGCATTGGATTGAAATGATAGCTGGGTGGGGGTCAGGGAGTTGGGGGCAAGTGGGGGGTTTTCGTGATGGTTCTGGTTCTGGTTCTGGTTCAGGTTAGGCTCTGGTGCTGGTCTTTTGGAGGCCTGTACCTGACACCGCCACAAGCCGCCACACGCCGCCACAGGCATAAGGCTGAGACTAATTCCCGAACGACGACAACCATATTCGATTTTGTCAGGACGCCCACGTCATTTCACCAAACACACTGAGCGCCTCTCCTTAAACACCAGCAAGCTAGAGAAGGGCGGGCCTAGCACATACGTCTCTTCGCATCAAGAACTCGAGAGCAGAGCAGAATCTTGCTGCTGGGACTAGGCTCATAGGTACGTTTTGAACCGAGACAAAAAAAAGCCTTTCAAGCGTCCAGCAAATTCATCATGGCCTACCCTCCGCCTCCAGGTGCCTCCAGCTCCAACTCATCGCTTCCTCCGCGTCCACCGCCGTCGAAAGTCTCGGGCTTCAAGCCAGCCTTCTCGGCAGCGCCGACGCACACGCCCAGCCCCGTGTCCGGCAGCCCCTACACGCCCCCGACTTATTCGAGCGCTCCCAGCTACTCGAGTGCCCCGAGCTACCCTGCTGCTTCGGCACCTCAATATGGCGGCGGCCGCGGCGCATCCTATCAGTCCTACCCACAGCAGGGCTCCTCCATGAACTACAGTCAAGGCTATCAGCAACCGGGTTACCAGCAAAACTACTATGGCGCTGCAGCGCAGCCCGAAGGCAGCTCCTACGCTGCTGCACCACAGATAAGGAATCCGTTTCCCGTGCCTGCCCCAGCGCAGAGCGGAGCGCAGAGCAGCGACTATGATCCCGACATGGCCGCGCAGATTGCGCAGTGGCAGAGCGCGTACGTGAAGGACCCCAAAGACGGGACCGCAGCGCCTCGCCCCGGCGCTGGCGGTGCAACAACCACATATTCGGCGAACCCAACTACGGCCGCGCCTGCCACCGCGCCTGCGGACACCGACAAGAAGAAGACCGTAGTGCGGTCAGGAGGTGGTCAGAAGTGGACCGACGACACACTCGTCGAGTGGGACCCGGCCCATCTGCGTCTGTTTGTGGGCAACCTGGCCGGCGAGACGACAGATGAGTCACTATACAAGGCTTTTTCGCGGTGGAAATCCCTACAGAAGGCCCGTGTCATCCGTGACAAAGTGACGAGCAAGAGCAAGGGTTTCGGTTTCGTCAGTTTTAGCGACCCGGATGATTTCTTCCAGGCCGCCAAGGAGATGAACGGCAAGTACATCCAAAGCCATCCGGTAGTTGTGCGCAAGAGCACAACCGAGATAAAGTATGTTCCGCTCCCACCCGATGACAAAATGTTTCGTGATGCTAACTCCCGCGATTACAGGCCCCAAACTGTGAAGGACAAACGTCACAACGGGAAGTGGAACAAGAATAGGAATAAGAACCGCAGCGGGCATGGCGGCGGTGGTGCTGGTCGAGAAGACAGCTTCGAGCCAAGCTTGGGCCCTGCGAGCGGAGGAGTGGTCAAGCCAGGGCAAAAGACCAAGAATGGACTCAAGCTACTTGGTTGAGAGCCCCCACGTGATCTAGTAATTAGTGATTATTCTAGACCTGGTGGATATTGGGCCAGGGTCTTGAGCCGTCGCGCAGGGAATACAGGGCTGACAACAGTGCCGAGGACCCTTGCTGCCAGAACGCTGAGTTTTACGGTATGCGATGACCAGTGTGCATAAGGAAGCGGCTTGCAAGTGAGTCCTAGAGCGCGAGGAATTGGCACTGCACCAAGCGAAAGATCGACACTAAGATCGACACCCTAATGATAGAAGCATCGCACATAATACGTGCTAGACGATTGTTATAGGGGTCCATCAGAGTTGATTTCGGCATAGACTACTGCATACAAATCAGGCACTACCCCAAAATAGCAAATGTAAGAATGAGATACGTCATACCTCTATATCTCTCCAACACATACACTGCTCAATTGTCCCAATGGCCAGATCCTTCCACGTGGGGGCCACATCAGCCACGGGAATAACACCCTGCAAACGATGTAACGTGGTCTATCAGCTTGACAAGTCCACGAACTTTGGTACGCTATATTGGAATGAAACCTCCTTTCGTTATTCCGCCAGTAGCCTTTTCTCAACTCGACCTCCAAAAATCGCATCGAGGCCTCCCCGGCGGACGCCTGCGGCCCTCAGCCTCATCCCATTAGCTTAAAAGGGTGTGGTTTGCGAGTATAGGTTCAGCACAACTACAGTTCGTCTTGCCTGGGAAGAGATCAACCAAAGCCTTCGAGGCCAACCGAGATGAGCTGTGCAGTAAATGGCTGAGACTATTTTTGCTGGGCGCATATCGCATTTGTGGGCTCGACGAGTCATGTTTTGATCTGGCTGGCTGTACCAAGCTTCAGGCTTATGGGGGCCGAGTCATGATCGCCACGGTTAGTGAACATGCCGGTATACGGTGTGAGCAGCGTGTCTAAAGCGGTGTGCGGGAGAGAGCGGCTTGTTTCCTATGGCGAGCAACCACCGTGGACATTCCTTTTGTTCAGGGGCGCGTGGAGGCGCCCGGGATCACTATGAGTGGCCTGGTGTTTGAATCGCGACCCAAACTATGGAAGCCTATCAACTATCGTGTCCTACCCCAAGGACAATAGCGGTAAGCGTGTTGAGCGCGGAACAATGACTCCTGCACAAGCCCTCAGCTCGAGGGACAATGGGCTTGCGTAGAATAGGCTTGTATAGGGAAAGCATCGCGCCAAGTGAATACAAGTAGGGCTGTGGAATACTCGACTGTTCACAAAGATTGTGTTAATTCTACGCGTCACATGCCTTCGCTCTTTGCTTCGCGTAAGTACTGTTCCCAGACGGCCACTTACATCAACAGCAACTCGGCAGAACGCATCGTCTTTTATGAAGTGTCAAACTGAGTCAGCTTGAAATACAGTACTTCAACATGGGTTCACTTGCCAACACAACCGGTATCACACCCGCTCAGCTACTCTCAGTGGAGACGTACACGGACGCTCAAAGCAAGACGAACCCCTACTTCTGGATCGTCACCGCCAAGCTCAGGACCCGTCTTGACCACAGGCCATGGTCACCACAATTCTCAGACTTGTTCCTAACCTTGAAAGCTAAGATTGTCCTAGGCTTCAAGGACAAGGAGAGTTTACTGTACGACCCCAACGAACTTCGAATACTCCTCGCCCGCCGCATACGAACGCGAGTTTATCTCTGTGGCGGGCCAGGCGACCAGAACCCGCCGGATCGAAACCCAGAATTCAACCGACGGTACGTCGAGGCAGGGGAGAGTATCGTTTTCCTTGACTACCGGGGGACGGGTGGCAGCGTTCAGGTCACGAATGCCGCCGGTGATCTCGACCAGGACTGCATGAGATTCATGAGGCTTCTCAGGCCACAAGATCACGCGGCTGACGGGAAAACAGCACTCGCAGATGATAATGTCGACCGCCTCACGGGCTTCCTGAAGCTCTGCCGCCAAGATAGTATCATCCGCGATCTGGAAGCCATACGCCTGGCTTTACTGCCTCTGGGCCAAAGGTGGCACATCTTCGGTCAGTCATACGGCGGCTGGCTTTCGCTGACATATCTCTCCTTGTGCCCAAAAGGTTTGGCCGATAGCACCATCACTGCAGGTCTTGCGCCTATCACAGTTTCTGTCGACACCACGTACAGGGCATTGTTCAAAGTCGTTATCGGGCGCAATGATCTCTACTACACAACATACCCGGAAGACGTCAAGCGTGTCAAGACCATTACCTTACACTTGCTATCCCAGGAAACACCTTCAGATACTGGTATTGAACTTCCCCGTGGTGGTTTGCTGACGGCACAACGCTTTCTTAGCCTCGGACGTGTCCTTGGGAATCGGGCTCGCTTTGCACAGGTTCACAACTTGATCAAGGCCATGTCACGAGACCTTGAAACATCAAGCCCTTTGACGTTGGACTCACTGGCAAACTTTGAGAGGGTGGACACTTGGAAATTCGACGAACGGCCAGTGTATGCGCTGCTGCACGAGGCGATGTATTGCCGGCAAGGGGAGGTATCAAACTGGTCCGCCGAACGGGTATCGATGGAATTTCCCCAGTACACGTGGGTGGCCAGGGATGAGATCTCAGGCCGGAATTGGCGGGAGGCGCTCATCAAGAACTGCGCAAGAGACGCACCAAAGGTCTACTTCTCGGGCGAGATGGTGTACCCCTTCCACTTTCGGACCTACCGGGCTCTCCGGCCGCTGGTGGAGGTAGCTGACCGCCTTGCCAAGCACCGCTGGGACGAGCAGACGTACTCGGCACGGCAGCTGCGGGCAAACCAGGTCCCCGTGTACGCAGTCAGCTACACCAGCGACATGCATGTCCATCCTAGGCTCAGCGAGGAGACAGCAACTTGCGTCGCGGGAATCGAGCATGAGGTGCTCGATGTGGCCAATGGCAAGCTTCTGGAACATGGCTCCGTTCGCTCACATACCGCGGAGGTTATGGGCAAGATTGATGGGCTCAGGGCGGGTTACTGGAGCCGTAGAGGTCAGATGGATCCAACTGGGAATACCTGGTAGTGTATTGCGTAGTCCATAGGCGGTTGCTGGAACGAGAACAGAGGAGAATGAATTACGGTTCAGATGATATGGCTGACGCTGGTCTGGCGATCATCAGTAGCTGTGTTAAAATTCATTGATTGCAGCAACAGGTGAGCTCTTCAGATGCACTTCGCAAGGATGGTCAGATACCATGCTGCCAAGTGGTCTTGATATGTGATGAGGTTGGCTAAGTTGATCTGAAGGGGCTTTACTATCAACCAGGGCTACAGTGCTCACCATATAGTTGGCTTGAATGAGGTCGGTAGGCTAATATTCAACAAGCCTACAGAGGGAAATGCAAGAATAAAGTACAAAATGCAATACCAGGCTCGCTTTTATCACCTTAACTACTAGTTTAGTGCAAGTCTGAGTTGTGGCGAATGATAGGGATGAAACACATTGCAAGTCAATCATGAGCCCAGTGGCCTTCCATGTGGACCTTCCATTTGCCAATCCGCCAGATTTCTCGCTTAGACGCATTTTAATGTGATGATTTTCCTTATAAACATGCCAGAAAAGCGAATTACTTGTCATAAATTACCTATGTATGTACTCCATATCAAAGTCCATCTGCGGGTTTCTGACTATTGGCTCACAAAATCTTGTTATGCGGTAACATGCAGTATGATTATCAGCCTTATGGTTATATTTCCGAGAGCTGCGACAATGATAGCATGTGCATGAGGCAAATTCAGAACCCAGGCGTCTGTGTCGGGTATCACCAAAACTCGTATATAAGCAACATGCTTTTGCTATGCCGATGGATAGAAAAGGGAATCATAACTACCAGCACAAAATTCTTACTGACTACTCTATCATTGATTCTATTTATAATCTCGTATCCAAAGTTCCTAACTATTAAAATGAAGAACCTTTTCACAACCATTACCCTTTGCGCAGAGATTGTTGCTGCAATCCAGCTGTAAAACGCAAACTCCTCAGTTCTGATGTCTACAAGAGCGGGGTTGATGCCTGCCTCCCAGACGTTCACTCAGCTGTCCGCGTTTACAATCAAAGACCTAAAGGGTTATACATTAAGTACGAAGGCCTTGATTTTGCAAAGTAGAACCTTGTAGTTTGCCAAAGTCTCGATATATATACGGCGACCTGTGCCAGACACGTGAAAATTTGCCGAGGCCGTTCCATTGTTACGCATACGGATTACGTACTGGGTTTTAGTGGCAATCGGAGAATTTAGCGGGAAGGGAAGGCTAGCTAACAGGTAACGATCATAAGTACCTTATGTTCTCGTCTAAGTTGGACTTCTTGGCGTGTTATCAGGATGGACCTCTAGTTGTGAGAGAGGTCCCGAGACTCTGCCGGGGAGGGTTCCAGATACAATCGCCTGCTAGCTCTCTTACAGCTAGGGGAGCATGATGCAGTCTTTACAATAGCGAACCATGTCGTGTATTTCTGATTGCAGCTGACCTGATCTAAGTCCGACACCTATCCACTTCTTATTATGAGAGGCTCTAATTACTCGAGATGCCCATGTTTTTGCGAAGCTAGCATTAAAAAGTATGGTGGGACAAATCACATCGAAGGATATTCTTTGCCAATAATCCCATCTTTGACGAGATCATACGGTATCTTACGATCCTGATACGTCTTGTTAGAGGTATGGTGTGGACATGGTGGCTTTTCCAGCTGTTCAGAGCAGCTACCTGCAGCTGGTAGATTAATAGAGAGATAAGCCATGTATTTAGTGGCCCCTTTTTGATACATACACGGTAATGTGTGCCATAGATAGTTGTATTCTCCATCTGTAACACATCACCCACTGCACCCCAGAAGGATCGCATCATAACATAGTAATAGAAATTTACTTATGCTGTCACCCTATCTGCATCGCCTCTTGCATTTCGGTCAGTGTCTTTTCCTAAGTCGCTCTCCGCACCCTTCGCTATCGCATCTTCCATTTCCTTCTCTTCAGAGATAGACTTTTCTGAGCTTTCATGGTACGATGGGCTTCCAGCTAAATTTTGTCAGACTAAGATCAAGGGTTAAATCCGAAAATGAAATGAGATTTATCTACCATTGCCGGCTGCCATGTATGGCACCACAAATATGCTTTGAGTCGATCCCGCCTTTGGCTGATACCACTGCTTCCAAGGCTGCTTGAGTTGACTACTGGCTAACTCCATTATTGTTCAAAAGCGAGGAAGTTCTGATATACTTCCGTAATATCGTATGAGTCTGGAGTGTCTGCCTTGTGTATCCCCTAACTACGGACGATTTCCTTATATACTCAAAAACCATTAGGTCTCAAAGGCCACAAGTCGCAGAGCTGTCATCCACTTTCTTATCTGATATTGTCCTGTTCAGCATGGCATTGGTTGCATTGCTTGGCAAATTGACGTTGTATTCGGCAGCTAGAAAATGTGCTGATAGGGTGATTGTAAATCTTGATATCCCGCGTGCTTGTCATATACTGCAACGGTGATTCGCCACAGCGGACGTTCGTATCATACTGGCAAGAGTGGGAATAATCGTGGCACCACAAAGCTTGCGCAGCCTTGTATTGACCAGTAATACAACATGCAGCCGAGCTCCTTGTCTACATAACAGCCTGCATTAACAAGAGGGGCCTCCAACTAGGCCAGCCTAGGACACCGTGGCCAAGCTACTACAGGCTATGGAGTTGCTTTGTCGGTGAAAAGTTACGACTAAAGCGGCCTAGTAATTTACAATTAGTCGCTGAGTCCTTTGTCTCTGAAACTGAGTAATATTCTTCGGCTGAAGATACCGTTAGAGGGCTCGAATGCTTCTGAAAGGTGATCCAAGGATTTTAAGCAAGTACGAAGCCTCTGAATAACCCCACTTCGTAACTGATTTTGAACCATTCATCTTCTGCCACCGCCGGTCTCCATTTACGCATAACACCTCTGATGTGACACCTCAATTTGTAATGATAAAAGGCGATCTCATGCAACCAGACACCGGGAACGTGGGGGACGCGCCAAACGTGGGTGTCACATGCATCTAGTATGTACAGACATGATTTCGGATTCGGGATTAGTCCGAGTTTGGACGAAAACGGTCAACTCATTCAGGGCTAATGTTTTTATAATGGTGTATTGTATCGCGATCAAATAACCATCGAATCTCAAGATATGGGATTTAGGGCTTCTCGAAAATTTCCGTGTAGCCTCACATGGCTCAACCCATCGCTAATAGTGGTATGAACGTTGTTCTGCCATACTTGGCTCGAGATCCACTTTACAAGACTGAGAAGCCCTACGCAACCGACTTCGACGTCTCCACCATACCAGGCGCGAAGGACACTAACCACAAGATAGAGTTAGTAGAGCATACTGTCCATGATGCACGTGCTACTTCGAAGAGTTTCAGCTTGGAGAAAAATGGCTTTCAATTCTTGAAGGGGCAGACGTGCATTGACGTGACCAATTGTGACGACGATAACCTCATCTATACTAAGTTCCGACCTGAGATAGCGGCCATTTTACGCAAGCATTTTCCATTCTACAAAAGTTTTCGCTATCTCGACCACCAGGTCAGGAAGCGCAGTCCACTCTTCCCGGGTAGCCCAGGAGAGCCGGTGAATTTCGCTCAGCCAGCCTCGCTGCCGCATGCAGACTTCACGACCCGTGGTGCTGTCCTTCGTATGGCCGAGAAGTTTCCAGAGACAGTATACTGCGACATGGAATATGACCTGATCAAGTATGTCTGCGGGCACCTATATCGAGACTCTCTTTGAATTCTCTGGCAGTTGACGCTGACGAAATTTGATAACACAGTGCCTGGACTGTTCTCAGAGGTCCAAACAATGACTGGCCGCTGGCAGTCTGCGATTTCAACAGCATCGACAGCGCAGCCGATTGTATCGCCAATGACATCATACATGAGAATAGTGTTGGTGAAAACAGCCTGTTGTTTAATAGCGACCGTCATAGGTGGTATTATTTGGCAGATCAACGTCCCGACGATCTCATCGTCTTCCGCAACTCAAATTCGCTAGGCAAGCGTGCAAGTAAGTCTGTGAAAATATAGTACCGTATTATTTTGATTTTTCATAGCCGTTGGCTGACAAGTACGGCATAGATTCCTATCATGCGGCATTTGATACAGGAGCAGTCCATGAACCAGCTCGACAGAGCATAGAAATTCGGTTTGCCTGCTTCCGCTAAGCTTGCGGGCATTACTTTTCGTGGAGCATCAGACATGCATGTGGACTCTACTATATTCGCTTGTCCGGAGAAGCAGGTGTTAATCTTCTAAATACCTAGCAGACATGACTACCGTCACGTGCTGTTAGGCTGCCAGCGGTTGAAAACATCACAGCTTCCTCTCCTATCTCAGCTCACCTACATCATTTCTTACATGTTGCACAATCGATTGTCCCTTTGCAAAGTCCGTGGTGTGACGTGCTGTGATACGTGTTTATGTCTTTGGTATCTCCCATCGCTTCCACCTCATTATCACCACGACTACAGTGGTAAGTATTACTGAAACAGTCGATGCTCCCACCCACGCCCACAGCGGAACTCCTTCCATGATACCTTCAACATTCATACTCAGAACAGAGGTTATATATGTTAGCGGAATAAAGAGAAACGCCAAGATGGTGAGATTAGTGATGTGGCGGGATTCTTGAATGCCCTGTCGTGCATCCATCCACTGCGCTATGCTAACTAGCGCGTTGCTAGCCGTCTCGCACTGAAGCGCGAGGCTGCTGCACTGCTCAATAAGATAGACATAGTCGCTCTGGAGACGCTCTTTGAGCTTTTGTATCTCTCCTAATTGCTCAGCTCGAGGCCACGCGGCGGAACCCAGCTTTATAACATTTGCCAGATCCTCCTTACAGAAGCGCTCCACACGTCGCACAAGTTGAAGGTCGAAACGCAACTGATCAAGCACCAGGCTTTGCTGTGAGCCCATGGTGAAACCACTTGCAGACGAACACTCAGTAATGTCTGACTCGATGAAGCTCAATAACTGGATTCGCGTACGTGCAGCGGCGTCGTACACACAACCGAGGATGTAGAAAGGGTCCTCTGCGAGTAGCTGCGTGGAGACCGGAGAGCCGGCCGCTAACATGATGTCAATAGCCGGGTGATAAGGGCGATGCTGCTTGGGAAAGAGGTCGTCTTGCAGTTCTGCACCGCTTTCATGGCCAATGGGAAGATTATAAGGTATGGTAGGGACAAATTCGGCTCTCTCGAGATCCTGAAAGCATCCTGCCCATGGAAGGTCGACATCCTCGCAAGGTCTTCCGCTATCAAGTAGAAGCAAGCCTAACCCAGTACATCCCGGTCAGTCTCACTAATCTAACAGGCCAAGGTCATGCTCGAACTTACCGCGCCAACTCTTGCTCTCGTGTGTTACACAAAAGGATGCCATTTGCTCGACTGTAAGCCATTGCCCATTGTGAACATGCAGTGCTCGATACCTCGTGGCACCATATTGTCGATGATGAAAAAGTCGCTTCTCGTGGGCGTAGCGCTTATTCTCCAGCAGAGTGCGCTGCTCAAACGGACTAACACGCGAGGCTGAGAACGGCGTGGTCTCGCCCGGAATCTGTAGCATCGACATGAATCGGATATGGACAATGTTATCTCGCTTGGAAGGCAGATTTGGTAGTTCGTATCTTCCCATCAATGTGCTAGATCCGTAAGCATAATGCGGCTCCAGGTAGTCGATGAAAAGTTCAGGTCTGACTTGGTACATCTCTCCCAAGATTCTGATGGATTCGGGTGCCAGGAACCCTTCAACTACCGTGATATGGGGCTGGTGTGCCGCATGTACCCGCCGCGGACCAAGACCCTGGACAGAGCTCGAAAGCGCTAGATTGAAGGGAGGCCTTCGCGCTCCGTGGGATGAAGCAGCAGAATTTCCAACCTCGATCTCGGCTCTCTTGCCAAGGTCATGTCCCAGCAAATATACTGTTGGGCTTTGTAATGGAGAGAACCCGATGCGTGATCCCGCCGTCTGCAAGTAGTCGATCAAGGTCTGATAGAAAGGACCGGCACTTGGCCAGCAGCGGAAGCAGTTCCTGATGCGTGCCTCATATTCCGAAGTGTTCGACTTCGGGCCGTGCTGCATCTTCGCACGAGTTCAGCGAGCGCCTGTTATGCGTGTGAGTGAAGCGCGCCCCAGTTGATCTCAGCAATGTTGGCGTGGGTTTCTTATACAATGTACTGAGGCTGTGTCTGCTGGGCCCTCCGGAGTGAGGCGAGCGGCTGAAACAGATGCATTATCTGCAGGCTGATAACGCCACAAGTGCAGTCTTCTTCGGTGAGCCACTGTTAGGCCGCGACGTTTGAGGCCTTGGGTAAATGTCACTACCTCACAGCCTGAAGATCAATCTAGCTACTTTCTACTTGATAAAGAGTTCAATATATCAAGCTAAACGCCCAGGATTCCATGGCTGGTATAGTTGCAATAATAAAGTGGGGCAACGTTATTCCGGCCGCGCCCAACTACACAGTAGCTTCCGAGGTCTTCGGCGCATTGTTCTTGTAGACCATTAAAGGTCTATCTAACTCCAACACCATGTACTCACGACCCACTTGTATGACAGTGGTATTCCAACCTTCTAGATGTTTTTGAAGAGTTCCTTTGTAAGACAGCGATGTCGTTACCCAAGTTTACGTAAACGACATCGTTTCCTCCGAAAGCAATACGAAGCTTGTGGTAGTCTAGGTTAGCGCGACCAAAACATCACCAGCTCGTCAAAATTGCGTTCATCACCTGGTGCCACGCCCGGTCCAAGAATGTCTCTTCGGATTTGTTCGGCGTCATTGATCAGCTGGCTGCCCTCATTCAGCTTCCCCATGTCCTGGAGAACACATCCGAGTTTGTATTTTGTCCTGGATATCTCGTTGCGGTACCATGTAGGCCGAGCATCAAAGACACAAAGCGCTTGGTGGAGTAAATCCCTAGACGGAATTCTCTAGTCAGTGCCGCATCCATTATGATACCGAGAAGGTTGAAAACAAAGAGTCTGGTTTGATCCAAGACACAGGGGCCTTACATCGCCTCCACGTATTGCTTGCGGGCATGATAATGCCACCCAACCTTGTAGCACAGGTCTGCGGTTCTGTGGTGTTTGTCGCCAAGGGTGTGCTGGTAAATCTTGAGGGCATGGGAATGCGTTCTGAACGCCTTTTCCCATTCGCCTTGCGCAATCTGCAAATTCCCTAGCGGATACATGATGTACCCAGTTCTGCGGGCGTGAGAATCGTGCAGCCAATGAAATGCTCTCAGTAAACTTACTTGAACTCCATGTCAGGTGCGTCTTTGATCAGCGGACTCAGGATGTCCTCCGCTTCAGCTAGCTTACCCTGCCAGATCAAACAAAAAGCCAGGTTGCCGCCCTAGACATCGGTATGAGTAAATATAGATACTCACGTGACACGAAATACTCACGTATATTTTCCGGTCACCATCCAGTCCGTCATACGCCTTGTAGCACTCGCGGTACCATTGCTCTGCATTTACGTATTGACTCATACCCTGGGTTCCATTTCCCATTCCTCCAAGGGCAAAGCAGTAACGGATGTGTGGCAATTCTATCGTTCCTTTGGCAATTGCTCGGTCTAAGAATGTATATTGGAGTTGGAAGTTTTCCAATGCCGTGTCTTGTCGATTTGTTTCTGTCGCAACGGAAGCTTTAGCTCCATAAATATCTGCCAAAACCACTTCGCAATTTTCATGTCTGAGGCAATAGTGCTCGGCTGCACGCAGGAGAGGCTCCAGGTGTTCAAAGGTCCCACGCTCGTAATTATACCTGTCAAACGTGAGCTACAAAATTTGGATGAGTAATTAAATAATACAGTACCAAGAAGCGTTGTACAGAAGCTCAGCGAATTCTAGTGTCCCACTAATGGGAGTTGCGTCTTCTTGCGAATCCTCGTAGAATCGGCAAAGAGATAAAACATGAGGTAGTAAGCGTGCGTGAGAGGGCCAAAGATCAGGTCTGTGCCTGTTATTTCGAGGTGCAACAGGCCACATATGGTGAAGAAGGCTCAATGCCATTTCGAAGGTGTCTTGTCGATTTTCTGGAGCCATGCGGTACTGACAGGCCGCCTGTACAAGCCTGTGCATGGAGAGGGTTTTTGTCGCAGAGTTTTGGTCCACCAGCGAGCTTTGTAAAATGCCAGCTTTTTGCTGCGTCAACTTTTTAGTGCTGTCAATGATAGACCAGTCATTTTTTCCGGCCCGTGACATCTTCTGGGCGCCTTTGGCTAGCAGTTCAAGTTCAATACTGTCGGGATTTAGAAAGGAAAGGACATTAACAAGCGTCTGAGAGTCCTGGGAAAGGCTCTCAAAGTTCATTGACCAGACATTCAAAAGTGTGTGTCGATAAGGCTCTTCGTTAGGATTACGGAATATTCTTGCGCTCTCCGGGGGGTTGACCAAGTCGCGATAGTCGTATGCTGAGAGGAAGTCGGTGAGTAGGCAAAAATCGTTTACTATCAGTTTGGACGCTTGGTAGATCCCAAGAGGCAGGCATCCCAAGCGGCGCACAATTTGCCGCGCTGCCTCTCGCTGCTCTACTTGAAGCTCTTCATGACCAGACGCCTGCTCGGATGCATCGGGGCCCTGGCTCCGGGTCAATTTGACTAAGAGGTCGACTGCCTCTCCTTCTTGCAAGGGCTGGAGAACTTGACCCCCGAAGCTGGTCGCCAATGTTCTCACTCTGCTCGTGATCAGAATCGCACCATTACTGCACTGCGGCCAGAATTTATCCAGGAATGAGCTATCTGGATTATCCGCATTGTCAAATATCAACAACCATGGAACGTCTGTGATGGAACATCAGTTCGTGATGGATTGGTCAGTCATATAGTACTTGCCTGTCTCTTCAAACCATCTCTTCAACTGCTCACAACAATAAAGGTGATCTGGCTCACCCGAGTCCACAAGGCCAAGTTCTACAGCAAATCGAACGAAATCGCTCAGTAGATTTGTTGGTTCGTCAGCGTGGGCAAAGAGCACTGCCTGGAAGGAAGATATGTAATTTAAAGCAAACTGTAGGGCGACCTGGGTCTTCCCATCACCACCGAGCCCACATAAGACAAACACCGCTTGTTTCGTCGATTGTTGGCCTTGCTTACCAGGGTACAGTACCCTATACATGGTCTCGAGGATACTCGCCCTACCAATAAAGTTTGGGTTCTCTTTATGAGGGAAGATGCTCCTGCAGGGAAGATTGATTTGACGGTCCACTCTTTGCATATGGAACTCCTCGAGAATCTTCGAGCTACTCGGGGTTGCGGCTCCGGAACCTCTGCTAGTTAATAGTATGAAAGCCCATTGATACTAGGTATGCTTACTATATGTAATGCTGTCGGACAGCACGTGTTGATCTTCATCGTCAACCAGTACACTATCTTCTGTTGACTGAGTGTGTTTGCATGCAGCCAACATTTCGTTCAGCACGGCGAGAATCTGTTGGAAAAGCGGATGACCCCGAGTGGGGAACAAGGAGATTTCTACATGATCCATGTCAACTTGAAAGAACAGCTCCTGATCTATGTTGAGACGTGCAAGTGGTTCAGTGCAAAGCTACATGACAACTGGTTAGCAGACACGAGCTGGCAACTCTCTGGAGACAGAAGACTAACGATTGATGATTCGGCTGGCCGAAGTCTGTGAGTCTTGTAAGACGTCTTGCGACTCTCACAATAACTCCAGATCGGGAAATGTATATCAAGCTGCCTGAACTTGTCCAGGGTGTCTTTCAGGATGCCCCACTTGTCGCAATCTTTCAAGGCCGTACTGACTTCATGCTTGACCAGCGGGATATGCATCTCAAGCGCTGCGCACTTGAGACACGTAGTCTCAAAGGTCGCAGGGCTGTGATTATGGATACAGCCAAAGAAGAGAACACCGATGGTGCTTTCAAAAATAGAACTGAATTCTGGATTTTGTCTTGCGGACAGAAGTGCCTCGTAAAAGTCAGAATTGTTGCCCCATAAAGGTTTACTAAGCATTATACGACCAACTTGTTTGAGTACCATTCCACCAAAACTATGACATAGGAATACCAGTGGTCTGTTCGTTTCTGATGACCGTGATCGTTGATGGATGAGCCCGTACAATAGTGTAGTCCCTTCTCGAAGGATTTGCAGCCAACAAGCTTCCGCTGCTGGCGGCTTTGCAAAGTTGTAGTGGAATAGGATGACTCGAGCAGTTGGAAATTGATGGGTGAAAACATCTCTGATCCATGATTCCTGGTCTCGAGGCTGGTACGAGGGTAGAAGTTGTGGCAAACTAGGAATCGACACGATGCTGTACAGCAGTCAGCAATGCTGGCTAGTCGTGCGTACAATATGCACGAACTCGACTGTTGGGCCTTGCACTCCGCTGCAGACGATACGAAGACCACCCTCAGGGAGTTCTGACTCGATGGTCGTCATTTTTCATGCATGTGCCTTTTGTCCAAATCCTCGGCAAGCGACGCGATTGGGAAAACAAAATAGGTTCAAGAGAAAGGCGAATGGGCCGGAGTTCGAAAGCGGCGCAGGATGACGCCTACGCTAGAGATAATCACCGAAGCAAGACCCTGCAAGACTCTACAGGAGGGGTAAGGCTTTGGATGGTGAAGGCTGTGTCACTACACGTGTTTCGTTGTCCATGATTGGAGACCTGATCTTATCTTTGAGGCCAAAGACGTGGGATGCTGAGACCAGTCAGCCGTGCAGAACTACCATCGGATCGCATTGATCTGATTGCTTTCGCTTTTAACCCCGCTCTGCAAAGACACATTTCAGATGACCATATGTTCACTGATCGTAATGCTCAGAATATGGGTCCGACTAGGCCAGTACATATAGATTAGGATGCCTGACTTAACAAAAGGCTTGTAACTACCGGGAAGATTACATAAAGCGCTGAGCTTTTAGGGGCTCGTTCAAGCCAAGGTTGCCAGGCTAGGATCGTCTGCTGCGGAAATACACTCTACCACGAAGAAGGAAAAGTCAACGAGCTCTGAGAACTAGCCATATTTCGATTATGAGACAAAGGCGTATCGGCCTGTCTCTACCTCAACGGGAAACTTAGCACACCTAAGAGCTTGAATTGCGAGGTCAATAAGCACAAGATCACTCCCTGCCATGTGTGAGTGGAATATATCAGCCCTTGGTGCCTTTTGAGCATGCTCAAAGCTATTCACTAACCGTGTGCGCCGGCAATTGAGCAGCAATAAGGAAAGCTCTCCTTCCTTGCTGAAACACGAGAATTATACTCGATTTGGCCGACTGGTACATGGATGAACTTAGCTATTAACTCGGGTCAATTGTATGCCGAACATACCTGGTATAACAAGCTGAGGTAATCTGAGAAATGCTGCAAGGCCTAGGGCATCGATACCAACTCTTGGCGCCGGCAAAATGAAGAGGTCGCGATAGTCGGGCTTCTCTGGGCCGACTGGCAAAACGAGGATGGAAGTGGTGCCTGAGATTTCGTCGGGCCGGAGGACTTCTTCAATAAACCACTCCTGGAGTACCTTGAGCTCCTCATGCGATTTTTCCAAGTCAGGCGTAGTCACTTCAGCGCCGCGGTCCCTCGAATAGCTTTAGTATGGGCCGTGCAGAGTCTGTATATTTCTTCGCGTTACATACCACCTCCATTGCATGCTGGGTGAAACGTAGGCTTGGCTGCCGAATTTTGTGAGGTGGTCATCCCGAAAGGAGTCGTATTCATGATAGATGTCATGGTAGAAAAGGGTGTACCCAGACTAGACTCGAATGTTAAGCATGCTTTGCAAAGGGATTTCGTAGGTCGGGAAGGTACCTTGGACGCAAATTCAGCAAGGGATTTGCCCTCAGCTTCCTTCGGTGGATTTCCAGCCCACCGCTCCGCAATACTGAAGCTAGTCTTCTTAACGCCGAGGAAGTCTTCTAGAATGCTCACGAATTTGTCCCTCAACCCCTGCTGTACCGGATCGGTTTGGGGAAAGAAGTCCGTAGGATAGAGAATGCTGCGTGGGAACTAGCGAATATTAGTAGACGCAAGCTCCTATGAGACATACACACCTTCTTGGATTCCTTGATTGTAGACTTCAGAGTGCGCCGAGAGAACTGTTGCAAAACTTCCAAATTTCTGCTCAAGTATCCCACCGTATCAAGAGGTCTACCGCTAGTTAGCGCTTGACGGTGTCATTATATTTATGGGATTCACGGTGAACAGGGGTATAAGCCAGTTTTTGGACCCCAAGCATCCGTCGAACACCTGATGCCGTAAACTCCGCATCTTGCAGCTGGCTCTCGCACACTTCCAGTAGCTGGCACAATTAGTTCAGCATACTCAAAAGGCGGAGTGAAGTGCATACTATCGGTCCCAATGCACATATCCATCCAGTTGTAGGCAGCCGTGGCTGCGGCCGACCCAGTAGAGCTCGCGCCGGGTTCCAGATGGGCATCCCCACGAGGATTGAACGGACATTGGAAATCAAACCAATCGCACGGCTTCTCACCACTTGCGAAAGCAGCCATCTTGGTTTTGCCCACGATCACAACACCGAGATCGATGAGTGTCTTGATGAACGAAGCCGTGTCCTTGTCCTCATCGTACGTGGCGAGGAAAGAGCGGTTTCCTAAAGAGCTCTTGGTCCCAGCTAGCTGAAAGTTGTCTTTGATGCCAACTCGAACACCATCAAGGGGTTTGGCCGCAGATGGCTGGGCGTATAGGCGGCTTGGAACGGCGACAGACTTTCCGGTACCATTTGGGCCTATGGAGTCCAGATTCTTGAAGCTAGAGCCGGTTAGCAGTCACCTCTCCGAACCTCTAATTATCATTGATCAAACCGCACCGATAGGGGTATTGCGTAGGTAGCACAGTAGTCTGGAAGCATGAGGAGCGGTCTACATAGAGCTTCCAAGCTTGGAAAACCTCATTGCCGCAGAGAAAGTACGGACCACTGGGGACATATGCCTGTGAGGCAGAAGCAATCACGTTACAAACGGTACCTACGTGCCACCGGCGCCCGTTGATATTGGCATCGCCTGGCAAACCTATGTGCAATCCCTCGAAGTTTGACGCGCAATTCCTTGCGACGAGAAGAATGTCGGTCAAGAAGCCTTCGTTGAATACGTCATCCTCCTCTTTAAATCGTTGTATGCGCTCCGTAACTACCTCATATTCGAGGCGCGTATCGGATGCAGAGATCAAAACGACAGGTTGGGGATGGTCGAAAGGTCTGCTGTAGGCGACGGGAACTCGCTAGGGCTCATAGTTAACGATAGTAACATACACATAGCGGGGCAGCACTAACCAACCCCGTAGCAACTAGAGCGTATTGATGCTGCTCCACTGCCACAATCATAGTGGTAGAATGCGGGAGAAGATGCGGAAGAAGAGTCATGTTTGGAGTCTTGAAGATAACTTCACATGAGGTGGGGTGGAAGCCCGTGGTACTTTGTTGCAGTTTTTTGCAGTCTGTGTGATAAACGGATTTCTGGGAGGAGCCTGAACCCCTCAGAGCTCTGGAACAGCTGTGTGTGACAGCAGCTGCTGGCATTAGTTCGGCTGAGGAGGCCAGGTTCGTAACCCCCATGAGAGAGATAGCATTGAGGGGTTACATCCCATCCGACTGGACTCCAGGCTGACTTGCATGCAGCCACGGTAGGGGCAAGTTCTGATCGCTTGAATGATGATGGCAAAGCTCCAAACTTCACTAGCCCAACTCACACATGAGACACATTCAATCCAGATGCTAATTAGATATTCACTCGAATTAGTGGTATACACCTCAAAGGGGAAAAGAATTCATGTACGTGAGCTTACCAAGCTGTCGACATTTTTATATTGCGAGTAACATGGTCCTGGAAACTTTCGATGCACACCCTAAATGAGAAATGGAGTCATGATTACTTATACATATCTAATGCATTGTTTAAGATCCGCTTCACGAGGGTCCATGTTCTCTTTGGCGTAGGCATTACCTGGCGCGCCCGTCTGCGCCTTTCAGGATGCCTACGTACCTATCCAGGTACGAGCTTCGCCGATTCGGACCGGATCTTCATGCAAGTCATCCCTGGTTCCTGCGGCAGTCTTTGAGTTCTCTAGCACCTATAGTCCTGTGTGCTTCTTCTGCTTCTTTTTACTAACTGCATGTATAGGCACTTACGAAGCCACCTTGGAATGATCTCTTCTTCACAGCATACTTACCATGATTTGTAATCTATTGAATTTAAATGGATTTATTAGAGATTTATCTCACCCAGGATTTGGTCTCCGTGAAACCCGCAGATGAGGTGCGGTCATATCAATACCCCCGCAGCGACCCTCAGGTGGCCAAAGGGGCCCATCCTTTGCTTTGTTCGCAGTTCCCGCACGTTATCGAACTTAGCATCGAATATCTTTAATCAGTCTGGCTGTGGAGTTGCCCCACGTCGGCGTCGAACTCCATCATCACCTTGAATATACGCTAAGCTGCCGGTGGATTGTATGAAAAGGCCAGGGTCTTTGATGGCAGGCCGCAAGAACAACGCTGACGGCCTCGAGAGTCCCGCTGATACTATCTATTTCATTAGTGAAATCTCGCCAGCTTCGGTTCGTTCCTTGTCCCGGTAACTATGCCGCCCCAAAACTATGCAGCATACACCGTCGACAAGAATAGCAAGCGGCTCGAGGTTCGCCTCGCCCCGTATACTGCACCTGGCCCTGACGAGCTTGTCATCAGGAACAAGGCGGTCGCGATCAACCCTGTGGATATAGGCTTACAGATATCGGGCAGCCTTATATTTCCGTGGGTTAAGTATCCTCTCATTATAGGCAATGACGTCTCTGGGGTAGTGGAGGAGGTCGGGTCTGGCGGCAGGGTGAACAAGCTATTCAAGCCTGGCGACCGCGTCGTCGGTCATGCCGTTGGCACGGACAAGCGTGCCAACAAATCCAGCGAGGGCGCCTTCCAGAAGTATACAGTGTTACGATGCGATCTGACGTCCAAGATCCCCGGAACTCTGTCTCACGAACAGGCTAGGATTCTTCCGCTTGCACTGTCGACAGCGGCCTGTGGCCTTTTCATGAAGGATTATCTCGCAATGCCGATACCGAAACCTCGACCTGAGGGCAGTGGCACAGCGTCCGTCGAACCTCGCGGTACTGTAGTCATTGTGTGGGGAGGGTCGACCAGCGTGGGAAGCAATGCCATTCAACTCGCCCGGGCTGCAGGCTACGAGGTCTTGGCCACTTCGTCGCCAAAGAACTTCCAGTACCTGAGGAGCATCGGTGCATCCATGGTCTTTGATTACAAACATGTTGATGCAGTTCCGGATATCATTGGTGCCTTGAAAGCCAAGACCTGTGCTGGGGCCGTGGCCACTGGTGTCGGGTCTCTTGAGGCATGCATTGATATAGTCGCGGCCGTGCCCGGCCGCAGATTTGTCTCTCAGGCAAGCAATTCCATGGACATGAGCGCCTTGCCCACAAGCTCGGTTGGGCTTATATGGACCATGTTGAAGCTTGTGTGGTGGAACATCTCGGTTTGTTTCAGGGCCAAGTTCAGGCGTGTGTCGATAAAGGTCATTTGGAGTAGCGACACTATGAGCAACGAAGTGGGCCCAGCAATTTATAACGATTTCTTACCGGACGCATTAGCAAAGGGACGATATCAGGCGAAGCCCGACGCGATACTCGCAGGAAGTGGACTCGAACATCTCCAGAACGCCATCGATCTCTTAAAGAGGGCGTCTCTGCTACCAAATTGTTGTTTCTCTTCCAGACGCTGCTGATTGATTACAAGACCATGGGAAATTGTTAATGGCATACCACCGATTCCTTTGGTACAAGCGTATTGGGGGATAAAAGACCTATGAGAATCACACCCCCAACCCAAAATACTTGAATTGTTCTGTTCGTGTAATTTTACCTGGCTGATACTCAGAGTCAAGCGCGATGGCTTGGGTAAAGTATATAGTCTTCCATATGGGCATCTATAGTAGCAGCCTGATTTAGCCACTAGATGAAAGCAATGGACCATACTGTTCGAAAATGAGACGCTCTGAAGTGGTTGCAGAAATACTGCCTCGCAACCTATCGTAGGCATCCTCATGATGTGAACTGCTGGTGGATAAAATGAAGATGGATACGCAACGGATGGGGGGATGTGTCTGTCAAGACATCTGCACTAGTATTATGCGAATGAGTTTCAGACAGTGCCAGTCAACTGTAATGACTGTAAATATTCTTGCGTCTATAGTTATAGGCCAGAGTTGTAAATCATCTGTCTTAGGATGACGTCTCACCGTCTCCAGTTAAAAAAAATGGGTAAAAATGGGGAAAGAGACCAAAAAACATACAACACCGGGTATTCGCTGGTGGTCACCCACCCAACTACTAATCCAGCCCTTTCCAGTTTATCTATGGGAGAGCGGACGGGATCCCGAGTTCTCTAGAAGGTATGGTCGTATGTGATTGATTGTTGGAGTATCAGGACATATCACAGAACCACCAGCCGGGATAATCCCACTAGACAAGGTAACAGCAACAGCGGAAAGCTTCGCTCTCCAGTATTAGATTTCTCACTCAACATAAGGTATATAGCAAGCCATGCCTTCATCCTATACGTGGCGTGGCCACTCTTGCTCTAATTGCTCCCGCAACGTGATATCTCCCTTGCAACTACTGTGCAAGTGTCAAACTGAAGTTATCCACTTCGACTTCGAGTACGCTTTGTGCAGAGCACACCACATCCACCCGCAAAGAAGGGCCACTGCCGTCATACGTAAAGGTAGTAGAGAAGGTGGTATAGCCTTGTGGTGTCACTGGCCGAACAAATTGGAGTTGCGTGTTGCCGACAGAGCTACTGAGAAAACAATTCGACGCCGATTCTTGCACAATCGAGACGGCAAAGTCGTACGCAATATTATACGTCGCACCTGCGTCAAGCGCTATCGTCTGGAAGAGGCTGGCGCCGGAGGGGAAGTTCGGTCCAGCTTGAGCCAACAGGCGCACGGCGTTGGCCGAATTGCTGCCGGGCTGCGTGAGACCGGCAAATGTGGTCCCGTCTCCATCACCCGAAGCGACATTCCAAGGCGGGAGGGAGCCACCCCCGTCCTCGAAGCCAGGGTTTTGAACAAGGTTGGTAACGATGGGACTGTACCGTAGTCAGCGATGGAACAGGCTAAAGGATGTGTTCTTGAGACTCACCCTACAGATGAAGTTGAGGTGCTTGAAGTTGAAGTGTCAGTGGTCGAGGTTGAGGACTCAGTCGTCGACGTAGAAACCTCGGTGGTCGAGGTGCTTATCGTTGATGTTGAGATGATTGTGGACAGGGATGTAGAAGTGCTGGTGTCAGTCGTCGAGATTGACGTGGTCACCGATGTAATCACCGTGGTCGGATATGTGGGTGTAATAGTAGAGGGAGTCCCGGTCGTGGTTGAAAGTACAGAAGAGGTGAAGCTGCTGCTAAACGGTGATGTCGAGGTTGCTGTCAGAGAGGAAGTATTCGGGCCGACAGAACTGGTCGATGAAGGTGCAGACGTGCTTGAACTTGAAGCCGGGCTGCTGCTTGTACTCAGGGGCGAGGTAGTTGGGACGACATAGGAGCTAGGCACGCTGCTGGAACCAACCGGCACTGAGGTTGTGACTGCAGTCGAACTGGCGTAGGAGCTTGCGGGAGCTAGAGAGCTTGTCGATGTTGGGGATACGGACTGGACACTGCTGAGGCTTGAGGAGGCCTTGTAAGGGGGTGATGAGCTAGTTGGGCGGACGCTTTGGGAGGAGACCGGGAAGCTGCTAAGGAATACAAGACTACGTCAGTATCGTAACTAAGGTGTTTAGAATGGGGGTCGCATATTTACCTGATCTCGATTTTACTACTATATTGAGGGACTGTGGCAGTGTTGTCTGGGTTTATTGTTGTTGCAGATCCATGATCATCGGTTAACGAGCATGGCTTCGCGTTGGCGAGTGCAAGCCAGAGAGCAGTAAAGAGGAATGATACTTGCATATTGCCAGTATCATCTCGGCTTGACGGGAACAACGGGCAGAAGAAGGCAAACACAGTAATAGAAAACCTGGAATGGTAATCTTTTTATCGTGAAGAGCACCTCGTGTGTTATCACAATTGAGTCATGGTAGTCGAGACCCGTTATTGAACCTTGTTTTGTGTAACTTGTGATAGGCCTATCATATTCTGTTTTGAGAGTCACTCGGAATTATTCTGAACAACCACGCAGGCGTTACCGCGAGTCCAAATTAGCAGCCACGGCTGGATCTAGCGTTGACTGCCTGCACTAGTTCAAGTTGGTGCTCAAGCTCACCCGTGGGAGCTTGCTGAGCTTCCTGGATGGCATCCACTGACGAACCATGCGCCAAGTATCTGTTGCCAACTCTTCCTGCAGCTAACATCGGACTCCTCCAAAGCAGCCTTAAAGAACGACGTCTTGGTCCCAGGTCTTTGAATACGGCGGCGGCTCTTGCACTCTAGTGGGCCGGTGCTTTCCCCGTAGGCTATACTCCTGCAGGCGTTCTTATGTGTTAACCCTCGGCCTGACTCGGCCTGGGAGCAACTCGGCCAATGTTGTGGGTCTATACTCAACTCGTAGTTACTGGGTTCTCTACTCAGGCGGCTGGCGCTGGAATCTGGCAGACGCTCACCCTCGCTCCGAGTACGGTTCACAACAAATTGTTTCAGTATTCATAATTAAATCGACTGGATGCTACGATAGTAATGATGCCGTTCCAAATTGTTTATTTTGATTATAAAACCAACACAGGGTAATGCTAACAGGCGAGCTAGAGAAACGTACAGTACAGGCTATTCCTAATTACTACGTATGTAGACCTGGCAGGGGTGGGGCTTAGCCTCAGGTACGATGCACGGGCCACACGGCAGCTCTCAGAGGCTAAGGGAAGCTTGACGCGTGAGGCCAGCTGCCTGCCTTGGGGACCTTGGCCCTTGAGAGCTCCAGCTAACTTACGGGCCAGGCCAGCAACCAGCAGCACGTAACGCAAGCAAGCATTAGGCAAGCCTCACCAACGTCAGTCAATCCCCATCCCCATCCCCATCCCCCATCCACGACCGCCATACCGAGCCCCCATCTCCATCCCCATCTCTGTCGTCCATCGACCTGTATCACCACCGCCGGCCCGCCTGATAGAAGTCACGCTCATTCCGATCATCGATCCGTTGGCTGTCTTGTTCCTTCCGCATCCCGTCCCCACGCCTTCGAGATGGATACTCTCGTAGCCCGCTACAGCCGCCCGGCAGCCCAGAGGGAGACCTTCGCCGACGACCAGCACGATGATCTCCACGACGATACCACCAACAGCATGTCTCTCAAGTTCGCCATGCCCCCCATAGCGCAGGTAAGCTCATCTCCGGACCTCTCTCCATCCCTCGGCGTCGTGCCGCAGTCACAAAGAGCATCCGCCGTCCCGCCGTCCTCGTCCCTTGGCTGTTGCTGACCCTCCATCTCGCGCAGCCCTCGGCCTGGCTCCGCGCAGCGACAGACGACCGCGCGAACCCGCAGTGTCCCATCAAGATTGCCCACGGCACCACCACCCTCGCCTTCCGCTTCCAGGGCGGCATCATCGTCGCCACAGACTCGCGAGCCACGGCCGGCAACTGGATCGCATCCCAGACTGTCAAGAAGGTCATCGAGATCAACAACTGCCTGCTGGGCACCATGGCCGGAGGCGCCGCCGACTGCCAGTACTGGCTGGCCTGGCTGGGCATGCAGTGCCGCCTCCACGAGCTGCGTCACAAGCGCCGCATCTCGGTCGCCGCCGCCTCCAAGATCCTCGCCAACCTCGTCTACCAGTACAAGGGCATGGGCCTGTCCATGGGCACCATGTGCGCCGGCGTCACCAAGGAGGAGGGCCCCGCCCTGTACTACATCGACAGCGACGGCACGCGCCTGGCCGGCAACCTGTTCTGCGTCGGCTCCGGCCAGACCTTTGCCTACGGTGTGCTGGATGCCGAGTACCGCTACGACCTGAGCGAGGAGGAAGCCCTGGCCCTGGGCAGCAGAAGTATCCTGGCCGCCACCCACAGAGACGCCTACTCGGGTGGTTTCATCAACCTGTACCACGTCAAAGAGGACGGCTGGGTTAAGCATGGCTTCAGCGACACGAACCCCATCTTCTGGAAGACGAAGCTGGAATCGGGCGAGTTCACAAACGTTACCAGTGATTTCGTCGGCGAGAGGGTGTAAGCTATGATCATGCATTTTTGGGGGACGGCGATAGCAGCGTGTCCACAAGGTACGAAACCCGGTAGACACTAAGAGCCACAGAAGACAGTGGGAGGGAGAGAGAGAGAGAGCGAGCTATTAGACTGTGACAATAGTCAAGGGGTAAATGCATTGCATTGGCCTGGGAAACCACTATGTAAATGTAACAACAGATCAGGCGTTAAGCTGCTTTCAAAGACGGACACTCTGATTTTCTATGTTTGATGTGATACATTGAGGGTATGTTCCTTTTAGGATGTGTATGCTGTTCTACTTTTTACAAGGTCAGTCAACATCTTGGTGTGACTAGCCAGTCTACTTCGCACCATTGATGTGGTACACAGTATATCTTTACATCTTCTTCACATTGACCCAGCCTTCTGCTCCAAATATGCCGCCGCCCTCGGCCCTCGGGTCGACAGGCCACTTCCGCATGGCCAAGACGTCCATCTTGCTCCGCCAACCGGCCTCGTACATCTCCATGCCCGTCCACGCAATCATGGCGGCGTTGTCCGTACACAGCGCCGGCGGCGGCGCGTTGATCTGCAGGTGGCCGAACCCCCGAGCCGCCAGCATGGACCGGAGAATGTGCATCAGGTACCGGTTGCTCGCGACGCCGCCCGCGACGACGACCGTCCTGACGGCCTCGTAGGCCGCGCCGCCCTCGGCCCTGAGCACGAACAGCAGCCGGCTGGCCAGGTGCTCGAACGCGAGCCGCATGGCGTGCTGTGCCAGGAACCGCCGCTCCTCGAGCCCCATGTCCGGCCGGTCCTCCACCACGCGCTGCACCTGGCTGTTGAACCCGGCAAAGTCATACGCCAGGGCCGACGTCCCCGACAGCGGCGGCGTCAGCGTCCAGCCGCGGCCCGAGTCGAATACCTGGATCTCGTCAACGCGCCTCGGCGGCGCCGTGTAGCCGTACGCCGCGGGGTAGTCCTGCCCGGCGTCGTCCGGGAACGCGAATTTCTCCAGCAGCGGCCCGTACATGACGTTGTCGACGCCTGCGATCTGCGACGCCGGGATGATGACCCGCGCACACTTGTCCAGCATGTCCCCGATGGCGATGTTCTTGGCCTCGGCCAGGATGCGGTGGTCCGTCAGCGAGCGCGAGTGCACCAGCAGCGTGTGGCCGCCCGAGACCAGCAGCGAGAGGAAGGGGAACTGCGGGTCCTGGTGGTCTACGTCGCCGCTGCCGCCCACCGCCGCCGCCATCCTCCGCTTGGCCACCGTGGCCAGGCCGTGCTCCGGCCGCCAGCGGGCATCCTCCAGGGCGCCGCCCCGTGCGAGCGCGGCCACGAGGCGCGGCGTCAGCGCGTGCGCCTGCATGTGGTTGACGCCAAGCAGCGGCACGTCCCAGGCGGCGGCGAGGCCCTTGGCCGTGTTGAGCCCCGTGGCCAGGTTGGACGTCATGCCGGGCCCGCGGGTGACGGTGACGAAGTCGGGCTTGAGACGCACGGCACCGTCGACCCACAGCAGCCGCTTCCAGGTCTCGTAGCCGCCGATGGGCACGGCGGGGGCCTCGGGCAGCGCCCGCAGCGCCGCCTGCACCAGCGGGCCCAGGTGCGCCGTGTGCGACACCACGGCCGTCAGCGGGTGCACGCCGCGGAAGTGCCGGTTGTCCGACGTCACCTTCTCGTGGAAGAGCAGGCGCGCCGCGTCCGAGGAGCGCGAGGTGGGCGACGGCTTCTGCAGGACGGCCACGCACGTATCGTCGCAGGAGGACTCGATGGCGAGCGTGAGCAGCGTTCTGCGCGGAGAGGGCCGGGGGAGGAGGAGGAGGAGGCGAGGGCGTGCCGCGGTGGCCCGAGGACTATGCGCCGCCGGTACGCATGGCCGGATCGTCGGGAACCATGCCAGCCTCATCAAGTGTTCTGTTTGACGAAGAACTGGTCATCTGAGGTTGAGACATGCTATAATACAGAGTAGAGCGGTCTTAAAGGAGCTCCTGGCCTGGGGATTTATTTTCTTATCTTATCGGGATTGGAACTGGGGATCTGTAACCTATAGTAGAGTGCCGTATGTACCGTACTTAGGTACATAGGCCCGTACAGCTCGAACTTCCATCTCTGAAAGGCATACCTGGCCATTACCTGCTTACCATGTGTGCTGAGTTTATTCATACATACACAGGTATATAATCTCCAATTCATGAACAGAATGTTGTGCTCGTGCAAATCACGTTGTTCGGACTGGGAGCTCAAGATGTAGATGTACTATACATGTATCAAAGTCAAACACTCATAGGTACAGAAATCCATCCCTTATACTGCAGCAAAGCTTGGTTGACGAAGATCTTTCACATGCGGGACGTTTACTGGTCTCCATTGAGACACTATACACAAGTGATGTAAACTTGAGCTATACTACATAGATACACTGGCCTGTATCCAGTCGGCTGCTCGGTACGGGCATTTCAGTGTTCAGGGGTGTAATCAGCCGCATTAGCGATGGATCTTCGGCAGCACCAGCGGGCGGCGGGCAGCAGGCCTAGGGGACCCCAGCCACCAAACCTAACGTCATCGTGAAGCTTGTCCGTCCCACCCACAGGCACATGCTTCTTCCTACCACTTCAGGAGATTCGACTTGCCGAGCGTTCCACTCCCGAGCATCGCACGGGCAACTCTTTGCTGCTAAACACGATCGACTATCCTCCGGCTTTCTTTCGCTTCTCTTTTTCTCTTGCTTGACCTTTCACTAGGAGTCTGTTTGCGCGCTATCCCGGTCCAACATGCAGCCGGGTCAGCAGTAATTGGCCTCGACCCGTTCAGCTCGCAAACCCTGAGCTCTCGCTTGAAACTCTATCCGCAGTACGAGCATTCGTAGCATGGAAGAACTGGGCAACAGTAACGACACCAGACCACCTCAACCTAAATCCCCAGGTACACCCGATCACAAGCCGCAGAGGAAGTTCTATCTAAGTAGGTACGCCCCTGACCTGGTCCCTACAGTCCCATCCCATCTCTCTCCGTCGCCTTCGCAGACCGATATTGCAGTCCGGGTTGTAATCATCGGAGACACTAAAACGACATCTTCCGTGCGGTATCACAATGGCAGATCATCGACCGGAGTATCCCGATTCGGGGCATTGGGTATCAGAAAACGCGAGGTCGCCCCGAAGCTCCAAGCTGCCCCGGAAAGGCCGGCGGAGTGGAACCGGCAACGGACGTCGCGGCGATGCAAGACCTGGTGCTGACCCTACGTACGCAGGCCCCTCGCGGCAGAGTAGTACCTCGAGTCCTACACCGCAGAGCTACTCACCGACTCAGACTTCCAGTCGTCGTCCAACAAAGAGCCGAGAGCAGAGTGACGACGCCGCGACACTGGTGAACTCGCCGAGGACCAGTTCCTCGCCAGACCTATCATCACGAGCCGAGAAAACTGAGCGGATCTCCAAGTCGGACCGCAATCAGAGATCCCCTAAGTCTTCAAGGATTCCTCAGTTCCCGGGCGCGCACCCGACATACTCCTCGGTTGCTGCGGCCGAAGTTGACGACTCTCACTCCCCTCGTGTTCCTCCGAGTCCGAGTTCTACAAACACCTCTCACCGACTGTCGTCTAGTGTCGCAAGTGCATCAAGTACTGTATGTGCGCATCGAAATAGTCTGCGTGGGTTCTGTGGACTAAGTTTGCTAACATCACCACAGATCAGCGATCCTCCTTCTCCTACTCCACCTTCTAAGGGCACCCGTCGGTCAATCTACAAGAAAAGGTCCCAAGACCTCATTGCTACGATGGATAAGCCAATTGAAGAGAAGACTCAGCCCGAGCAGGGTGCGAAGGATGAGTCGTTTGTTCATGTTAGCGAGGCGCCGACTATACAGATGAGAAGTTCAGGTGCAGATGCACCCAGCAATGCGGATGAGAAGGCCCATGACCAGAATGCCTCTACTGGCAGCCAGAGCTCGGAAAAGACGATGGTGGACTCGACTTCTTCCGAAGTCCATAATGGTGTGAGCTTTGCCGAGGCTCTTATGGATGACAGTGCACATTCTCGCAATGGCCACACGGAGCAGAATGGGCAGCGCGACGATAGCGAAGCTCGTAGCGACGATTCTTATCCTGAACTCGACGAAATGACCATCAACGACATCCACACCCATCAGCCTGCACCTCAACACCAGCCCTACGGCAAGATTCGATGGGCACCCTTCAATGTCCCGGCGAAGCGTCGCTTGCAAACATCTGCAGTCCTCATGCACTGCCTCTCTATTGGGGCAATGGTGTCGCTCTTCTTTGCCTTCTGTGCCAACCCGTTCGCTTGGCCACTCCTGCTGATCTATCTCGTCCATGTGCTGATATCAAAGGCACATGTCGATGGGTCGCTCAAGTATCGATCCGAGTGGTTTCGCAGCAGTTATATCTGGGACCTGTTCGCGGGATACTTCCCGGCACGATTGCACAAAACACACGATCTTCCACCCACACGGAAGTATATCTTTGGCTACCATCCTCATGGTATTATCTCTCATGGCGCCTGGGCGGCATTCGCCACTGATGCCCTTGGCTTCTCCGGGAAGTTCCCCGGCATCACCAATAGTCTACTCACGCTGGAGTCCAACTTCCGTCTCCCGTTCTACCGCGACTACATCCTGGCTATGGGTGTAAGGTCGGTATCTAAGGAGTCCATCGTCAACATCCTTACAAAAGGTGGCCAAAATGGCGAGGGCATGGGCAGAGCCGTCACCATTGTGGTCGGTGGTGCCCGTGAGTCCCTCGAGGCCCAACCGGGCCACATGCGTCTCATCCTCAAGGACCGCAAGGGCTTTATCAAGATTGCCGTCCGCACCGGCGCTGACCTGGTCCCGGTTGTCGCCTTTGGCGAGAACGACCTGTACGATCAGCTCCGTCCCAAGGAGCACCCCATGGTCCACAAGATCCAGATGTTCGTGCTCAAGGTGTGGAAGTTCACGCTGCCGTTCCTGCACGGGCGCGGCATCTTCAACTACGACGTCGGCTTGATGCCGTACCGGGCCCCGCTGAACGTGGTGGTGGGCGCGCCGATCAAGGTGCACCAGTCCAACCACGTGGACGAGAAGGAGATCGACCGCCTGCACGGTCTGTACGTCGAGGAGGTCGAGAAGCTCTGGGACCGCTACAAGGATGAGTTTGCTGGCGGCCGCAAGGAGGAGCTCCAGATCTTGCATTAGTGCCAAACGGGCGGAGCCTCTTCTGGATAGGGTAGTGTGTATGGGTACCGTGTCTTTTGACGTCTACATAGTTGCGTGAGGAGTTGGTCTGCGTTTGTTTTGTCTAGGTTAAAGCATAGAAACTGGAGAGCCTGGTATATAGTTTAGGCAATATATTACTTGCGAACAATACCCCCCCGCCCCAGAATGACCGGTAATATTCACGCAATGCTACCACATTCCACTGTCGACAGTGGTCAACAGGACGTTCTATGTCGGGCTGCTCCTGTCTTTAAGGTCTCTGACTATGTGAAGCTAAATAGAGCGGTCAAGCAACGTTCCAAGCTCATGACTCAAGACGTTGCCGGACTGGAGCCTAAGCCCGAATTTCCGACGTTGCCCTAGGTTGCGTGCATCATAACCGCCTTTCCAGTAAATTAGAGTCCATGGCTGTCCTTTTGAATGTATAGAGACCTATCACTTCACCGCGAGCTGTGTTTGATGCGTTGGCGTTGCCAAAGAGCGAAAAGTGAGCTTCTGCGACGTACAAACGATGGGAGAATGTACTCATGCCAATGCCAAAGACATGCTGTGCACCACAATTTTCTCTCAATTTCACCTCGACATATCGTTGGGGCCTTACGGGAGCTATTACAGTTTATCGATCTTGATGCTGTCATACCTGTGGACCCAGCATTTTGGGGACTAGTTTGATGTCATGGTGATTAATCTCTCTTGCTTGCTTCCTTCAACAGGTAGGGTGGGCTAAGCTTCTAATAAGGCAGCTATGCCATCTCATCCACCTAAGTTATATTAGATGTGCGGGAAAAAAGTGGCTTTTGTGACTCGATCGGGGGGCTAGGAAGCTTGCAGGATTGTGTGATTGTGTGCGCGCTCATGATATCGAGGACCCGAGAATAACTGGAGACTTTGTGTGCCTGTGATTGAGGACGGACCCCCGGATCGACGATGCAGCTCGAGTATGTGATCCCGGGTCTAACTTTAGAGTGATTAGTTAGGGCAATAGCTCGCTGAGCTTGAGTCCCACAAGCACTCGCGCTTCACACGGGTTGCGAGCATTCCGAACACAAATCATGGGGTAAGCCGAGCCCGACGAGTCACGGGAGCGCGGTAGTGGCTGGCATTATGGGAAGCCAGCTTATACCTAATTGGAAGCTCGCCCTCTGAGTCGCCGCGGCAGTCTCTGGGAGCACGAGCCCGCGTTCGCGTGGCCTATTGTGTGGCCGGGCTATAGTCACAATGGGAGTTGTGCTGGTAACTTGGTATACAACTCGGCCCAATAGCTGTCCATGTCAGGCATACCAGTCAGGAACGGTCAGGTTTTCACAGCTTCTGCGGGAGGGGAAGGGAAGGGAGTGGAGGGACCACATGTTTCCCGGCTCGAGACCTGCACGTCAACATGTCCACAGGCCCCGATGACTGTTCTCGACCATTGGCAGCCAAGCAGGGCCTTGGTGAGGGGGCCCAAGGGCCAGCTGATAGCGTGGCATCAGTGGGCCACGGCGGGTCCTCTGCCCCAGGTTTCGCTCGAATCGGGGACTCGGGTGCTGGCCGGGCGAGCGCGTGAGCAGCGCCAAGGATCTGGGACCACGGCGAAAACCCCTGACGAGACGAGACCCCTTCCCGGGAGCGCGATTCTGCAGAGAGAGAGTTTCCCTTCCCCTGCCCCCATGTCCAGCGTCTCTCCCCCAAGCAGCCAAGTCACCCCTGGATCCTGTTGGAGCTGGGTCGCCGCTGACAGCCCTGACAGCCAAGCCCGGCATCTTGGAATTGTTGTTTACGACCGGGATTGGACAAGACACTGACTGGACTGGGAAGAAAGACCAGCTGGCTTTGTTGCTTTTTGGGCTGACGAAGGGCGCGCATGGTTCGGGTTGAGAACAACGTACCTACATACAATACAGTACACTAGAATGCATGAGTGACCGGAGCAGCTTGGATTTATTTACTGGGTCAATGAGCGAGTGTGAGATGAGAACGAAACTGCATGCCTCCACGCCCGCAACACGCACCCATAATTACCCACAACAATAGCTGCAACCAGCAGATCAATCCCTCAGGTGAGCAGCGGCTTGGTAAGAAACCTGCTGCTGACACTGCCGGGACTCTGAGTTGTTCGCACGCACACACACACCGCCGGCCAGCGCAGAAAAAAGACGAGACCCTGGCAGATGTGACCTCAGGGGCGTTCTCTAGCCAGTCACTACCCAAGGCCCGGAGCCTAATCCAGAGGCTAGGCCAGCAAACCCGCAGGAGATGCTCAGCGTCATGTCATGCGCCGGAGGTTAATCCTGTGATTCTGGAAATTGCACACCCGAGCAGGAGGCCACTCACCCCAGTTGCAGCCCAGCCCAGCCAGCAGCAGCGCCAGATTCGAGCGGGAGGAGTCCACTCTTCCGCTCGTGTGCCCATCGACTACGGATACCTACCTTGCCAGGCTTATCCTAGGTTCGGTGCAGCTCGCATTGCAGTGCCGTGCTGACCTGGAAGCAAAAAAATAACATGCCTTCCCCCCCTTTGCCCACCCAGAATATACCCCATCAACACCACCAACACGCTCAGACTGCAGCTTCACCAGCAGCTTCGCCATCCGTACCCACGAGAAGCCTCACCGGCAAGCAGCAGCACAGCTTGAACCCACCACCTCCACCACCCCCTTCGTCCTCGAGCTCCGCTGCCACCCGAGCCGTGACTAGCGTGCTCCCCATCCACACAGGCACCCCGACCCTCGACTTCTCGACGCCCTCGTCGGCTTCCTCGGCGACCACAAGCTTCCAGCAGCAGGAGTGGAAGCCCCTGGATGGTGCAGCCGGCAACCGTCCCCCCGAAGCCATTGAGATGGACCCCATCGCCCCCGCCGGCCACCGGCGACGGCGGAGCACCCTGACGTCCAGCGTGGGCGGCGCCGGCGGCCTGCCCTCGGCCCACCCGGCTGGGCGTGGCCGAGCCCAGAGCATCCGGAACGTGAGCGAGCCCGCCGACCTCAAGATCTCCGAAGAGGCACATTTCAGCGGCGCCGACGCGCCCTCGTCGTCCAAGTCCGAGGCCCCCGATGACGACAGCAGCATGTCAGACGAGGACCTCCACGACGACGAGGAGACGGGCCTGACCAAGAAGGACAAGAAGCGCAAGGCCGCCAAGCGTAGGCGGAACACCCGCCTAGACAATCGGATTGCCAGGGACAAGATCACGGAGGAGGAGCGCAGGGAGGCCGACCAGAACGTGGCGCGGAAGCTGGTCATCAACGTCGTACTCATTGGCCTGTGGTACTTTTTCTCCCTGTCTATTTCTCTGGTAAGTTTTCCAGAACATCAATTGGCACCTACTCCATCTTCACAGCGTCAGGCGAGATGCAGAGGTTCCCTTTACTAACACGTTGATCCGTTTCCAGTATAACAAGTGGATGTTCGACTCCCAGAGGCTCAACTTTGGGTTCCCCTTATTCACTACATCGATGCACATGCTCGTGCAATTTTCCTTAGCAGCATTAGTTTTATATTTCATACCCTCTCTACGCCCGAGCGCCGGGCACCACAACTCCGATGGGGGCCGGTCGAGGCATGAGTCGGAACCGGAACGGCCGGCCATGACGAAACTCTTCTACTTGACGAGAATAGGCCCCTGCGGTGCGGCAACGGGCTTGGATATTGGACTGGGTAATACCTCGTTGAAGTTCATCACCCTCACCTTCTACAGTAAGTGGACTCCGTTGACTGGATTCCGGGATGGTAAGCTGACCGAGATATAGCTATGTGTAAATCATCTTCCTTGGCCTTTGTCCTCATATTCGCCTTCCTCTTCCGCTTGGAATCCCCAACGTGGAAGCTCGTAGCCATTATCGCGACCATGACAATGGGTGTGGTGATGATGGTGGCCGGCGAGGTCGAATTCCAGCTCAGCGGCTTCGTGCTGGTTATCTCAGCCGCCTTCTTCTCCGGCTTTCGCTGGGGACTCACGCAAATCCTGCTGCTCAGGAACCCTGCAACTTCCAACCCATTTTCTAGCATTTTCTTCTTGGCCCCGATCATGTTTCTGACTTTGATCCTGATTGCGATCCCCGTTGAGGGTGTTTTTGAATTAGTGGAGGGCTACCGTGCGCTGAGTGCAGACCGGGGAGCTGTCATCGCCCCCCTGATACTCCTGTTCCCAGGCACCATTGCCTTCCTTATGACAGCCTCCGAATTCGCCCTCTTACAGCGCAGCAGCGTTGTAACACTCTCAATCGCCGGCATCTTCAAGGAAGTCGTGACTATCAGCGCCGCCGCCATTGTCTTCGACGACAAGCTGACGACGATCAACATCTCTGGTCTACTCATCACTATTTGTGCCATTGCATTCTACAATTACATCAAGCTGACCCAGATGCGGAACGAAGCTCAGTTGGATGTACATACGAAACACGGCGCGTATCAACAGGCCGAGTCTGGGCCTTCCAGCGATGGCAGCGAGGACGAAGAGGAGGAGAGTGGGCTCCTAGCTCACGCAGACGAGGATGACGATCACGCTAATGATATGGTCACTATGGATGGCGATATCATACCGAACCCAAAGCCGCACGCTGAGGACAGCCGGGCCGGACGGTCCGAGCACGCAGATTGAAGAGTTTAGACGATTTCATTTTTTGAGATCGAGATGTTGCGTTCAGGAGAAGCCTCCGTCGTCTCCAAAAGATAGGAGCCCGAGAAACTGACGCACTGGGCCAATATAGCTTTCAGGCAGGCCGGCGAGAAGCCATACATGCGGCACGCATCGCCTCCTCAGTGGAGCTTATAGTAGTCGCGGGTCAAAGAAAGAGCCCCAGAGCATGATACCCCTTTGGCTCGGTGACGGAATAGGGGGCCCGGCCCGGTCGCAGTGCGCGGCCGTATGTACAGAATAATATTATCTGATCTATCGCCATAGACCGCGGATAGAGGTGTAGACAATAACAAGAAAGGCTGAGGGATGAAACATTTCAGAGTGCTGCCCGCAACACTGGACCTGCTACCGTCCGATTTACTGAGTGGAAGTGAACAGTGATCATCATTACTGGGGTTGGTTCCTTCTGAATGGGGCTTACCTATCCGGGCCAAGATTGATAGTGAGCTACGTGACGACTGAAGCGATGCAAATGCCAATGCTTCATAGAACTAGATTATGGTAAGAACGCCGTGTTTAGGACTACAGGAACATACACATATCAGGGATAGTGACTACAGCTTGATCAAATAGCATGGCCCAATCTTACCATCTCTACTACAACATTGCCCACTTCTCGCATTACTTATGATTGATATCCTCTAACAACATGCCTGTGTCTACATGAACAACCCAGCGTTCTTCTCCTGCTTCCTCCTCTTCAGGAACTCGACGACAGGATCCCCCTGATCCGGCCCTTGCCGCGCTTGTCCCCCTCCACCCCCCTTCACTCCTCCCCGATCCTTCAGCACACTGTTATTACGACGACGGACATCACCACCACCCTTGCCGCCACCAGCAGTCCCCACCGCAAGCTCCTCCATCTCCTCGCGCAGCCGCTCGACCTCGGCCGGGTCGTCCTCGTCGCTGCTCCCACTCCCGCTGCCGCTGCCGCCGTCGCCGACCTCGAGGCCCGCGTCCTCGAGGATGGCGCGGCACCGCTCGTCGGCGCCGATCAGCGTCTGCTTGCTCTCCGAGATGAGGTCGCGCGCGCGCGCCAGCTTGGCCGCCACGTCCTCGCGCGAGCCCCTGCAGCGCTCGCACCGCCCCTGCACCTTGACCGTCGCCAGCGGGTGGCCGCGCGGGTGCTTGCAGGGCCCCGGCCGCCCTGTTTGCTGCCCGTCCTCGGCCGCGCCGTCCCCGGCCGCTGAGGCCAAGGCCGAGGGGGAGGGGGAGGACGCTAGGAAGGCTTGCTGGACGGCGCAGATGCGCAGTGGTGTCGGCGACCACTGCGAGTGGTTGCACGCCGAGAAGAGGAGGCGTTTGTAGATGCACATTGTGTGGTGCCTCTTGATAGCTTGGGGTTTGAGGATTTCCGCTGGCGACGAGTAGTGCTCTGGTAGTCCGATCGGGAGATAACTTTCTTCTATTCAGGAGGATGCTGTTGGTACGGCGCTGCAATGCGACTTCGCATTTGTGATTCATGAGATAGCTGGTTGGTGAACGTTCATGATGAGACTTAAAAGCCGAGCTGTCAGCCACTGAAGCGACCAGGCTTCCAGTCATACTAGATGGACAGACCACAGCTACTATGGCATTTTTCGTGGCAAGACACAAAGACCGCGGTGGGTTGAGAGCCTTTGACGGGTGTCTCGCGTTTGACACATTCGCCTTGCTGCTTTGTCGTCCGCTGCCTTCGAGAATGCCTTCTTTGTACGAGCTCTGAGCTCTTTCATAACCGGGCTGCCAGGCTTTGGCATGTCGAAGTCCAAGTGGACCAGCAAAGTGGTAGTATGAGCATGAGAGTCCTCGGGGTCGTTCCAGCGAACCCATGCCGTGTCATGAAATCATGCCTTGTCGTGCTTGAACCTAAACAAGATATGCTCCGTGACTTCATCGTAATCAGCAGCCCAAGCACACTTGTTCGGCGTTGCAGCAGATGCCGAAGTCTCAGCGGATACCTCACTGGAGCGCGGCACGTCTTCGCCGATCCGCCTCAAGGTCTCTAGCAGCTTTGAGTCCCCCGTATCCGAGACGACGATACCGCTGGTGGCATGAAGCAGGCACTCGAGGTCGGTGATGGAGTCGCCAAAGTAGTAGGAACAGAGGCCGGGCCCCCGCGGGTCCTCTTCCATGACAGCCCGCATGACGTCCAGCTTGTCGCACGAGTTGGTGAGGTTCCTCAGCGGAGCGTCGGCGCCGCCGTTGAGGAGCTCGGGCCCGACGACCGTCCCGTCCTCGCGGACGTGGTTCGCGATGACCCGGACGCCCGGGTGGTCGAGCGCGCCCTCGATGAAGGCCGTCGACCAGTTGACCGAGATGACGAAGACGCGGAAGGACTCGCGGAGCCGGCGGTCCAGGAACGCCCGAAAGCCCGGCCGCAGCCTGACTCTCCCGGATGCCACGGCCTCCCGGCCCGCGCGCCGGAGCTCGTCCGCTGATATGCCCTTGAACACGGCGCAAGCGTTAATGCGGTCGAGTGAGCGCAGCTCCACGGCCTTACCGGCCCGCAGGAACGCTACCTCGTGCTCGGGGCGGCACCGCGCGCTCTCCTGCGCGTGGTAGCCCTTGGCGTGCCGGTTGTAGTCGTCCAGGTACGCCTTCACCACGGCATCCCACTGCCGGTCCAGGTCGATGCCGCGCTCAGACTGGATCCGCAGCGCGGCCGCGGCAAGCTCGCCTATGGTGTCATTGACGGTGATGGTGCCGTCGAAATCAAGAAAGATTGACATGATGTGTGAGTGAGAGGGGGTATGTAGGATGTCAACAGGGCTTTATGCAAGCCGAAAACGCAGGTGGTATTACAGGCGGCGTGTGGACTTGCGGGGACGGTGTTCGGAGCGGAGAGTTTCATGGATTGCCGGAAGCGGAAGGGGAAAAGGCCCATCGACGAATGGGAATTTGGTAGCAAAAAGTTTTAAATTCTTCATAAAGACACTTGATAGACCAGCTTTCGACTCTGTGTCCCCGCAAGTTCACTCGCCCAAACATATATGGAAGTGGCTTGGTCTCCATCATTTTGGCCGTTAAGTACGAATAGCTGGACTAGTTGCACGTACAACGTGCATAGGACTTGCTTGGCTGAAGTATTCTAAGTACATGAAGAGTGTGTGAAGACTTCGCGGTGCACTGATTGGTGCATTCTGAGAAAACTGTTCAATCAAAGTACAAAGTTTACAGATGAAACCGGAAACTCGATCACATCTTAGGAAGTTGAGCTGTAATGACAACTTATGCCGCAGTCAACTATACCTCAAGGTAACTATACCTCAAGGTGACTATACCTCAAGGTGCAATGGCTATACCAATGACCTGCGTGCTGTGGCTTGTGTATTGCCTCCAAATGGTCGTCCGCCCTCGGGACGGCTATGATTCTTAAGGGTATCATCTATTTTTTACGGAGACCAGAGCTCCAGTCTGAGCGTGACCCTGAATGTTATATTTCCGAACGCCAGAACTCCTCAATTCACAACGATAACAGGGAACATCGCTGGAGAAGGATGCTTCCAGTGGCCTCCTCAGACCACGTCCTCCATCTGAATGTTTTCGTCATCGTCGATATCCATGTCATCGTCGTCAGCGCCTTCAGCTGCGTCTGGCGCAGCTTCGGCACCTGCGCTGCGCCGGTATTCGGGCTTGAGCTCCCAGTGATTGGAGAAGGCACCGCTCTTGTGCATGTTGGCAATGTCCTCCAGGTTCTCCCGCAGCCAAGCCTCGGGCTGCTTCAGCCTTTCCTTCATGCCTCCCATAGGCCAGTACCTGAACTCGTCGAAAAGCGCAAAGATAGCATCGCGCAGGACGTGCCGTTCCATACGGGCAGCCCTTTCGTCCTTCTGCTTCTTGGTTTTCGCTTTCGGATCGACGGTGCGCTGCAGTGGTTGGTCAATAGGCGGGCTCGGAGGATGAAACATGGCAAACTCACCACAAAGCCGGACATCTTCTGGTTGCCCACGGCTGTGCCGGCATGAATGACACCCACCGGGTTTCTCGTGCCGGCCAGCACGCTGGTGGTCGCTTTGGGCTTGAGCGCGTCGCTGGCTCTCATGGCCAAGATGTGCTTCGTCTCTGGCGTCATGACGGGTTGGCAGTTGACCTCCCGACTGAACCGAGCGGCCAACTTGGTCTTCTTGGGGATAGCCTTGCGGTAATACGGCTCTCGTCTGCCCCGGCGACCAGGCTCGGGCTTGCCATTCTCCTTAGGCTGGACAGGCTTGGGCCTGAGGTATGCGGGGATGTTGTTATTGGGACCGCCTTGTGACTTGCCCTTGAAGCCAGGCAGGTTCTGTTCGGTGAACATGAAGGTGTTGAGCAGGTTGCCATCTTTCAACTCGAGAGTGTATTCCTTTGGTACGTTCTGATGGCTGGGGTTCTTGGCGTCGAGCAGGATGGCCAGCTTCTGGACCTGCTGGCCGGAGCGGTCGACCTCTGTCCACGTGCGCACCTTGCCGATGACCAACTCTTCGTCGCGACTCAGCTGGGCCCATTCGTCGTGGAGGTACTTGGGGATGTGGGCCAGGTAGGCGTTGCCATCGGGGTCCTGGGGGTTCTCGGTGTTGTAGAAGTCGAGGTCGCCGGCGTCCTCGTAGACATCATCTTCGTCGAAAGCGGGCGGCACAGACTTGATATCCTCGGGGTCAGGCTTGATGCCTTGCTCACCCTTGACGCCATGCTCGGACTTGACGGACGCCATGGCGGCAACTGCGGTCGGCCGAGGCACTGGATCTGGAGAAGCTGTTCGATAGGCTGCAGAGCGATGCTGAGCTGGAATGCGAAAGTGATTATGCGGCGCGCAAGCGGCGTCCCCCCGTTCGGCTGAGACAAAGGACCTCTAAATGGACCACGGTGAAGGCAGCTAACTCGTACTATTCCGCTTAGTTACTGCAAGCGCTGCTAAAGGTGCTGGGTGCTGGGTGCTGGGTGCTGGGGGCTGGGCTGGAAGCCGACGTCACAGACCAGAGGCTCAGGTAGTCTTCTGCCCGTCAGCTGCCCGCCACCCCAGCCACTGGCGAGCCGGCTGACGCCCCAGGTCTCTCTATATGATAGTTTCAGTAACTTATTGCTCAGCTCCAAAACACGCGCTGCTTAGGAGGCAGAATTGTAGTTTGATTTGCAAGATGCTCTGCAAATCGGCATTTCTACGCAACAGCTACCCTGGACGATACGTACTGGCCGAAAAAGGCCTTGTTATTGGAAAGTGTCCTGGTTTTTACTAGGGCCGACCAGAGCTGTTTGCTTCTGGCGCCTTTCCGTAGTGGCACAGCAAACAACAGAGAAGAATCGTTCTATTGAATTTGCGACTGCATTCCAGCAGACAACGCTAAATAGCTAGGCAGTGGCATTGTTGATGACAGTGTGAATATGGCAACGTATTGGTAACAGTATGAGTCTCGGTCGGGTTCGACACTTTTCATCACTGGACTGCAGTGCTTGCCGTGCTGGGCAACCAGTTCGTGAGCAGGTTCCAAGGGTGGTTGACTGGCGGACTGCCTATACAAGACCAGTTGAAAAACAGCCTCGACCTCTGCAATCCCACGACCTGCAAACAGACGCAACACTCTTTTGTTTGGAATATCCAGAGCGACCTACGTGGTACATCATCGCCTTCACCTCCTGGCGCTCGTTCACGTTGCCGTGGCAGGACAACTGCATAAGCATGACAAAGAGAAAATAACCTTGCTGGGATTTCGCCTCCGTCCGGCCTGGGATCCAGTCGGGACGACCTAGTCTTCGGCGGTGAATGGCCACCACCACCCACCTCCGTTCTGCATCATCGCAAAAAAGTCACCTTCTCCTCCTTACCTGCACAAACGAGCCCTGCGTCACTGCTTGCTCATGCGCCCAACGACGACGACGACTGTTGTTCAACGCATCAAATCTAACATCGCGCCCTGATCAGACTATGTCTACCGCAGAAGAGCAGGAGCTGCTTGCGCAGATCAGCCGACTTGAGGGCCGCATCAATCGTCACAAAGCCGCCCAGCAGGGGCCGCGCCATTCAGATCCTCCAGGTAAGCCACGCGCCCTGCGTCATGTGAAGCTGTCACTGACTTGTCGAGCTCAAGCTCCCCACTATCCCTCGCGCGGATCCTACCGTACGGCACCCTACCCTCGTGGTGGCTACCGCGGCCATCGCGCCCATGCCCCGACCTACCGCAACAAGACTCTGGTCCTGAACGGCCAGTCGCGACCAACCACTGGTGGTGACTCGGCTGCCAGCAGCGATTCGAACTCGTCTTGGGTCACGCGAACAGACCGTCACTTGCAGCTCATCAACACCATGGTCTTCGAGAAGGATACACAGGCCCGCGCCAGCGCCATCGAGCAGACGCAACGGCAGAAGCGCCTGAAGAAAGAGCAGATGGAGAAGGCCCGTTTCCTGAGCTTCGTGCAGAAGAACGGGGACAATGTGCCCTCCGCCCCCTCTAACTCTGTTGCAGCAGCCTCCAAGTACGAGATCACAGTCGACGGCATACGTTTTCAGGTAACGAGACAAGGCAGCAAGCTTGTCCGAGTACCCGGTGCGTCCATGTGCTCCCCTACAAATGTGTTGCCGTACTCAACGTGCGCAGGTGACACCAACGTGTCCTCCACAACCCCGAGGGTCGCGTCCGTCGGTGGTGTCAAGTTCTACCGCACCAAGAACGGGAATCTAGTCAGACACGGCATCGCGAAGGCTCAGAGGTACGTGCTTCGCTTCCGGAACGGTGGAATACTAACTCTAGTGAGCAGGATGGCTGGTGGAATCAAGAAGGTTGACGTGCCGTGCAAGGCCTTCTCATGGACTGGTATTGTCTTCTCCATAACATCACTACGAAACCGCTTGTTCTATCAACGACTTGATGGCGTGGTAAGAAATTGCCCCGATGTGTATACTAACCTTTCGTCCAGGTTCTTGCCACAAAGGGCCGCAATGCCGCTTCATACATGACCCTGCCAAGGTGGCCATATGTCGTGACTGGCTGTTCAAGAACGATTGCTCCAATGGCGACGCCTGTGACCTCTCACACGAGCCAACTGAAGAGCGGGCGCCCCTTTGCCTGCACTTTGCCAATGGCAAATGCAACAACGAATCCTGTCCGTACGTTCACGCTGAGCATTCCCAAGCTGACCTAGTTTGCCGAGATTTTGGTCTCTACGGCTACTGCGAGCGAGGAGCGAAATGCCCCGATCGCCATGTATTCGAGTGTCCTGATTTCAGCAACACTGGCGTATGTAAAACTGAGGGTTGCAAACTCCTCCATCGAGAGCGGGCAAGTCTTTTGCGCAGCAAAGCTGGCACCGATCAGGAGATGGCCGACCTCTCAAGCGATGAGGAGGACGGTGCTCCTGATGACATAGACTCCGATGAAGTGGAAGAGTTCATTGGGAACGAAGACGCCGAAAGCTTGGATTTCTCCAAGGACTACATCGGTTTCTAAGTGACTAACCCCCCAGATTCTCTTTTCGTCTCACGGCGGACCCTTGGTCCTGTACCAGGTGTGCGCAATCTTGCCTTTCGGTTGGAACTGGTGGGAAATAAACCGTGATACCCCATGGTCGCTCAGGCGATTCTCGGTTCAGCATAAGATGATACCCATGTAGATTAAAGAGCATTGCGACAGCAGAAAAGAAGTAGCAATACAGAAAACTTTGGACATCAGCCTGTGCCGCCTTGTGCAGTTTCATTCACCTATTTCATCACCAATTTCGTCGGACAGTCAGAAGCCCACGATGCGGTATAGGCTCTACAGATCATCTCAACCATAAACGTAGGGAATTGCAGTGCTTACGTGCATTTATGGTCCGAGATGTATAAATGTGGTGCAAGTACCTAGAGGCTTTACTGCTTGCAAAGAGCATACAATCCACCAACAAAAGATCTATAGTCGATCAATCACATGCAGCAATGGTCTGCCATGACACCCCTCTAGACTTGGTGAAAAGAACTATATTTCCATATACTCTGTTGACCATTCAGTGCTCTGCGAAACTGAGCAGATCCTTTCATGAGAAGGGCAACTCTGGACGCCGGTTTTATTTGGCGGCATTCCCGAGCGCTTACATGGACCCCCTTGGGCTGAGGGGCTGTCGGCTCAGCCACAGGACCCCTCTGACGTCTGTTGGGCGACGGCACGCGGGAAGAGCGAGCTGAACTGGATAGCATCCAATGATGACGACCGATTTTCTTCTTAAGATGCCAGAGTGCTGGCGACCGAATCTTTGTGCTTCTGGCATTCCTGCCCTTTTCTCTTTGTCCATTCCCTAGGCAGCTTGACGTGCCGCTGCATTTTTGTGTCGAAGTAGCTCTGTGCAAGGTTGGGTCTTTAGCGTTCCGCCTTATTTAAGTATACGGCATCTCAGGCTCAGGCCAATCGTCTCTGCAAGACACTGGAATCTAGTTCGGGTCCGGAAACACCCAGGCAAACAGCGGGCAAAATGGGACTCCGTGATATGATCAAGAAGAAGGACCGGCTGACCGGCGACTACTCGGCCGCGCACGCTGCCGAGGTCGGCCGGCTGGCCGCCCCCGAGTTCACCTTCATCCGCTCCGACACCAACACCCAAGAGATCATCTACCCGCCGACGGGCCCGGACGGCGCGAACGATGACTATCTGGCCGCCAAGGACAGCGGCAAGCCGCGCCGCAGCCTCGACGTCTTCAAGAGCCGGTCGCGTGGCAACAGCACGTCCTCGGTCAAGAGCGAGTCCTCCCCCTCCAACAGCAGCACCAGCAACAAGAAGGACGCCCACCCGGGGGTCGGCCACCGGCGCCTCTCGCACCGGCTGCACCTGCACCGCCAGCCGAGCACGTCCGAGTTCGTGCCCGAGAACCTGCCGCAGATCCGGCTGCCCGACGGCGCCGCCGACAAGGACGTCTCGGAGCGCGAGTGGGAGAACCGGGCGACGATCCTGGCCGAGCAGAACGAGCGCGTGGTGCGCGCCCGCTCCGCCTCCGTGACGCCCTCGCCGGCCGCCGAGGTGCCGAACCCGTTCGACATGACGGCCGTGGCCAACAGCCTGCGCCAGAGGAAATCGGACGGCGTCGTCTCGAGCAAGGGCATAGACGACAACATACAGGAGGCCATCAGGCTGCACGAGGAGGGGCAGCTGGAACAGTCGACACGCATGTTCGGCCGGCTGGCAGACCCCAATGGGGCGAACAATCCCCTGAGTCAGGTCTTATACGGCCTTGCGTTGAGGTTAGTCTGACATATATCATGTCGCAAGCAGCTCTACGTGTTCTCTATCGCAGTCCTACACCTACACCGGGCTTGGAAGTTCATCAGGCGGCAGCAGGGAGATCATTTGGTCGCATAGAACAGGGGCTGACATTCAAGCACGTAGGCACGGATGGGGCTGTGAACCAAATCTCGAGCAAGCTGTCACGTTCCTCTCCGCAGCGGCGTCCAATGCGGCTGAGGTCGAGAACATGGCCCTCAAGGCCGGGTTGAAGAAGGGAGGCGCGGCCAAGGGCGAGCTGGTGCTAGCGATCTTTGAGCTCGCCAATTGCTTCCGCCATGGCTGGGGCGTTCCGAAGGATTCAGTCGCTGCAAAGCAAGTGAGTGTGCCCCTATTCGCGGAGGACCAGCCTATTGCTTTGCAAGATCGGGGTCGGATGAGAGCCATAGGATCGGGTGTTTATCTCGAACGCGTTACTGGACCTTGTGAGCTAACTTTAAATTCAGTACTATGAGACGGCAGCCAATCTTGGTGATTCTGGTAAGTGGCTCAGCCCCTGAGACGCGAAGCATTGCCCAACCGCGGCAGAATGATGGCATGGTCATGGCTGAACTCTCGCTTAGATGCCATGAACGAAGTTGCCTGGTGCTATCTCGAAGGCTTTGGATGCAAGAAAGACAAGGTATGTTAGGCAGGAATCCTCCCCCCTTATCACAAATCATCGCATGCGACCTAAGCCCCGAGTCAAGTCTGGAGACTGGTTCGTCATCCCTTCAGAGTCACGAGCCTCATTGCCCTAGCGTCATAGCCTCCAGGGGACATCGTATCATCCAAACTTGACTTTCTCCTGAGGGACGTCAGACACGATCACGATCAGGCGTTGGGCAGCAACGAGGCTCACGGTGCAAATGCCATCAGATCACCTAATTGATCCCTTCATGGTGGGCTCAGCAGAGAATCACACGAGGCTGACTGCTTCTCTAGTTCCTTGCGGCGAAGTACTATCGGCTGGCTGAACAAGCCGGAAACAAGACCCTTGGGAATACCTGGTAAGTTAAATTATCATATCAGTCATTTTCCTCAGATTGCCCTCCTATCCAATGCTCGTGTGGCGCTATTTCTCCGGCCCGCATGATTTTGGCGGAGCTGCAGTTGGTCGTCACATATGACCTCTATGCACTCGTTTTCATAGGCTGTGGACCAAGCCGGGCTACTTCTGCACTTCCGCCTTACTCTTAGGGTCTAGATTTGTGGCCTCGCGTGCCCCTGGTAACGAAACGGCTTCAATGTCAACCGTAACGGTTCCCCTCTTGGGGGCCGAACTTGCTATTCCGTCTTGGAGCACTACCGTTTCGTGCAACGTGGGAGAAGTCTTTCCCCCCCAACTACCCCTCTGACGCCATCCACCCTTTTGTGCATCATCGTCGGCGCTTCTTATCGGCCGGCAAGGATATCTGGATTTTCTGTTCTTCACATGGGCGTCACTCACTGACGGGTGCGTACAGGATTTGGAAGGATAAGTACGATCCAGAGAAAAAGGCGGGCAAGAAGTAGAGCTGTTCTTTCCACTCCTGCTCGATAGTGCGATATCAGTCGCCACCATCGCGGTTTACCCCGGATCGTAACCAGGCACTACATACTGAGTCGCGGAGTGTTCGTCGGGAAGAGAAAAAGGGGGTATCCGCTACAGGCTACTGGGTGCTTGCATCAGCAATCAGTGCGGAGGGACGGGTGCCATCAGACCGGCGGAGGGGAAACATTGGGCGAGCCTCGCCCGTACTCGGACAGATACCAACATGTAGGACCGGGCAAAAATGGTACTGGGGGAATGTGGAGCACAAGGCGGCGTTTTTTTTCGCGGGGTTTGAATGATTGGCAATTATGTGCCACAGGGACGACGCAGTGCAGGCTTCTCTGCATATGCACAGTACCTCAGCCATTATGTGGTTGGAGGGATGGCGGATTGGATGCATGCATGCACGTATTACGGCATTTGGCCTGATCAATGTGGGAGGGTTGTACGCAGCAGGCCCCTTTCCCAAGTCGGCCTACTTACGATATATACACACGCTTCAGGCGGCTGTTTGGTTGGGTCGGGTCAGGGAAACACAACAGCGGGAGGCTCTTGTCTTTACATGTGCAGATAGGCGTTCGGTGCTGCTAATGATTCAGCGACTAATGGAGGAGTAACACGCAATGTTGACGGCTTTTAATGTTCATGTTACGTTCCTCCTGCAGAGTGAAGTCGAGCGAAGGTATACTTCATCTATCTTTGCTGGTAGCACGTTTCAAGACAAGCAGCAAGCCGAAGGGCTGAGGGTCCTGGGCTTTCTTCACCAGCGAGGTGCATGCATGCGGCAGGGAAATTTATTTCTGAGGCAAGCCTACATATGGCGAGGTTCTGAGCGGTATCATCACCGGGGCCATACCTGCTTGTCGTGACCAAGCCCTGAGGACCAGGTGTACGAGCATCGATGAATGATGCGCCAGCTTGTAAGAGTACATGAGTTGAACACTTGCAGTTTTTCACAGCGATAAGCTTGTCAGGTCTAGGTATCAATGATGTCAGTCCCTCGGTTGCTCCCGTCGTGTATGTACAAACTCGCACGATATCACAGTGTGACATCTTAAGGTCCGCAGGAGAGGACATGAACGATGGCTTAGGCCGTACCAGTAAATACTCTATCCCCGTTATTGCAACAGCAACTGGTGTTTAGGAATGAATATGGTAGGTTAACGGGCCAAGAGGAATGGGATGTCAGGACACAACACAGACATCAGACCAATATCTAGAACAGCGATGAAAAGGCGAGGACAGTTCCTCAAGTGGTCTGATGACCGCGCCAATTTTGGGTCCACGAAGGTTTGAGATGGGACGAGGCTGTGCGACAAATGGATATCCAGATAGGAAGATAGGAAGGAACCGATCTCGCCTGTACGAGGCCAGACGCGACAGAAGGAAACCAAGGCCTCTAGATTAGGAGGACAAGAGCAAGCCCTGAAGGGCTGTATGGGCCTCTGCCGGTGCATCGGGATGCCGTGCTCATTTTTGCCGGGGGCACTGCCTCTAATCCGTCCAAGTGTTGCACTGCGGCCGATGGCGTACGGAGGGAACCTGGGGACGCGTAAGTCTCCCTAGGGTAATGCTCTTGAAAACCGGGCATTGAATAATCACAAGCAGCAGGGGACGACGTAAGGGTATTATAACGTAATGGCAGATAAGATGCTTGTGGCAGTGCAGTGGGACCGAAGTGTTCGACTTGTTTGGCCCTATACGCCGCGGGCGTAGTATAAGCGGGACTTTCGACTCTGACTGATAAGCTATTTCTGGCAACACCGACACACGACGAGCTAACGGAGCCGTCTTTCTCTCGCTATTCGTCTGTACAATAGTTAGGTCCTTGGCTGGAGAACATTGCAAACAAGTCCAGTGACCTCGGGTGGCTGTAGTCGTGAGGCGTGGCTTTTAGACTTTACGCAATCCTCCGAACCCTGAGGGCCTATGCGGCGACAGACGAGCCCCGCGCTGATCCAAGGAATCAGAACCCTGGACACGACCGAAGTGCAGCATGTAACTGTCAGCGCTGGGACTGAGGCCGCGGCAGATGGACATTGAATACAGAAAACGCAAACCTAGTATGAGATTCGTAGGCAGTTCAGAGGAAGAGAACAACATCGTGCGTATTTTGAACCGTATCACCAGATGACTTACACGGCGTGTGCCCACCCACTGCATACTTGGTCCCAAGCATCTGGATAATCGGCGATAGTCTATGCCGATCTAATCCCTCCCCATCTTCGTTTCGCGATCACGAGACTACCCAAATAGGCAATTCACGTAGGTCGCATCTTCTTTGAACGACTTCTGCCTGCATTCAGACCATCGTCCCACACACACACCCATATACACACAGGGAGGAGACTAGAGAACCCAAAGATCCGCAACGCTGTCACCACACCCTTAACGCTCTTGTCATCTGGTACAGCCCACCCCCAAAGTCTCCCTCCCCTCCTCCAACCCCGAGATCTTTCTTTCTCCGAGGGTGTATAGCTGTGCAGCTCCACCCTCCACGTTGGAACATAAGCGAACTCGACGGTAAGGAACAGGAATTTGAACCCCGCACGCCCGCCAGCGGCACCACGAGATCGCATCACTTGCACTCGTGGGGGGGGGGGAACACGATCGATAACGAGATTCGCACGAAGTACCACCCGGGTCGGACTGCACCGGTCTCGCTGGTGGTCTGGGGCTGATCTCGCCGTGCATGCGCTTGACCAGGCTTATCCCGGGGCGCGGGGGGTGGGAAAACGTGCAGTGAGTAATACATAGCAAGTAATCGCTGCAGGCAGGACTAGTCGCTGTAGCTGCTGACTGCAGCTGCATGGTGTGCCCTGCGCTCTATCTGAGACAAGAAAAGCTTACAGAACACTCCCTACCCACAGTAGGAACGTGGGACGTGGGTGGCACCCACTAGAATTACCTGCGGACATCATCGTCTCTGGCCATGCTTTTTCTAGCCGTTCACCTCGTGTCTGTATTAGTGTGCAATTTTGATCTATTCTAGGGTGTATAAGAGAGCCTGTTGTAGGCGGGCAAAATGAGAAGAAAAAAGCATACCGCTTCTTGGACGTTTTTCCAACAACACGGGGCCGAGTCGCTCGTGTTCCCGTGAGACATGCTTGACCAGACATACCATGTCAGGGCTTTGTGTGTTACAGCGATAGAGGGCTATGGAGGGGCTGGGAAGGCAGAAGATTGGTAGGCGCGCTGAACGACTCAACAGGATCCTCTAAAGGACGGGCGTTAACAGGCTTCGAGAAGGACAACGGGTATTCTTCTACTGCCGCAATGTCTGGGCAAATAACGCACATTGCATAATATAACGTAGTGAATGAGACAAAGGCTACAATTACGGAGAGATCGGAGAATTGATCGTGCTCATTGACAGGTTGAGAATTGCTAGCTACAAGATGCAATGGAAATGGTCTGTAGAGTGACTGGAGCCATGCCTCCCATTAGACTGTTACTGTTGCGCTGATTGCTGTCCTGTTGGTTCCTAAAAAGGGATTCTCGTGGTTCTCATGTGTCGAACAAAATAAATAAAGAGCGAGCCACTGTGTTGAGCTCATCTGCTTTCAGTCATCGTATCCCGTTTCGTCACCTCGCTGCATTCGTGCAGTCCATCTTGTCGTGAGACATTATTCATCATGTTTCCTCCATGAAAAGCCGACCACCATCTCATGCTATACATAGATCCTGTGCGATCTCTGATGCAAGCGTGTAGCGTGTAACCCGAAAGAAAGGAGACCAGCGTCGCGAAAGCCGTAGCGAGACTGACTCCCTTGTGGTGTGCCCCCAACCTCCCCGTGCCCAAAGAGTTGTACAAGAAAGAAAAATGCCGGCTCAACCGCCACCCAGGCACCATCCCAAACCGCCATTTTCGCCATGCACAATTCGATCCATATCAAGGTGATATATCGAGGGGGAAAAGCAGATAAAGAAATCACTAAAAATCAATGCTGGCTCGCTTGCTAATTTCGACACAAATGTAAAGGATTGGAAAACCGCTGGACAAAGCAGACATGATACGTTCGACGTGCGTGAGCAACATTTGATGTATTGCGCGGTGAGCGGCGGAGAGTGTATTGATCAGCTGATGGAAAAGAAACAATAAATTTAGAAATCGCTGCGTAGATTCTGACGTGCTGATTCGTAGTCGTCATAGTTCGTTATCTCATGATATCGCGTTACTGCCGGACTGATGCTCATTACGAGTATTGGCCTCGGCCACCATTTTGGCGAAGTTTCTGACAACATCGCTAGGGATCTGGTCCCAAAGGAGAGATCTAGTGTAGACTTCGGCAGCGGACTGCTTGTCGTTGCTGCGCATTGCTGCCAGTGAATCTGCGAGGTTTCGTCGGCCCTGGCCTGTGGGCCGAGGTGGTGCGTTCTGTAGAAAATCTTGCGACGTTACTCCGTTGTACTGTGCTGGGGTCATGGAGAACAGCTGTTCGTTGGCCTGCTCTTGGGTAGGTTGAGTGAGACGATCGCTCAGGTCACCCAGTGCCGACGGCGCGATGCCGTGCATACCACCACCGTGCATCGGTGTAGGAGTTGACGTGGCCCAACCGGTGCCAGACGGGCGAGGAGCGGCGGCGACGACGTTGTCCGGAACCTGCGCTACGCCGGCATCCTTGAAGATGTTCTCGAGAAGGGTTGCAGAAGCCTCGCGCACATCCTCGGAGACGCGAGGGATGCTTGGAGTGGAACGATTAGAGAGCACAAATGCACCAACAAGGAAGAGCATGAACAGAAGTCCACCCTGAGTAGAGGGCTTCTCAACTTCAGCAGCCAGGTTAATCTCGGGTTTCTTGGCCGGGACCATCTGCAATTCGTGCTTGACCTCTTGCTCCATCGGGAATTCTCCCATGAAGCCCATGTTCTCCCACGAGGGATCCATGGCCATATCCATGTCGTTGAAGGCGTTGGTGTAGCCGGCGTTGCTGGGCATGTTTGCGGTCTCGAGTCTCTTGACGTGGTCAGTGAGGACACTGACCTTCTTGCGCAACTCGCCAGTTTCAATCGTGTGCGTCTGGATGAGTTCTTCCTTCTCGATTCTCTGGTTCTCGATGGTGTTGTGATAGTACTCCTTCTCGCGGAGGAGCTGGTCCATCCTCATGTTGAGGTCGGCGATAGTCTCTTCCATCTCGCTGATCACAACAGTGTACTGCTTCTTCTCGTCCTCGAGACGCTCGGTATGCTGCTTTTTTCGTTGCCTGGAGTCAAGCGCAGCTTGGCGATTCCTCAGAAGACGCTTCTGCTGCTTCAGCTCCTTGATCTCCTGCTCATCGGTAGATTGGGCTATCAAGTGATCAATGTTGGTAAGGTTGCGCTCAGCGGGAATGTCGAATCTGGCGTTCTTTTTCCTGATCCCGTCACCACGTCGCAAGTCATTATGCGATCGAATGCTAGGGCTGTCAGGGCGCATTCGCTTTGCCATGGACTGATGGTTTTTGAGGTCAGGACCCATCCAACCCTTCATCGGGGACGTTGGTATCGAATGGTTGTTGGAGCCCACTGCGGAAAACAAGGGGACCTGTCCGGTAGGGTTGCTGAATGGTGTCTGCGTGGGCATGGGCTGTTGGAAGACGGAGGCGTTGCCATCGTACTCGGCAGCCAAACCATCGTACTGCTGTAATGGTGTGCAGGTACCTGAGCCATGACCGAGATTCCACTGCGCCTGAGGGGTGTAGCCTTGCTGTTGGTCCATTCGCATGAAGGGGTTGTTGTTCTGCGGCTCCAGGAACGGATTGTTCGAGGGCACAGACTGCATGTCGACTGATTGCCAGTCCTCAGTTTTGGGCGAAAATAACGACGAGGAAACAGCGAAGGAATCCCGGCGGCTGTTGGCCATGGGTGGCGACATCTCCAGACCCGAGTCCAAAGCGCTATGATCCATGATGCTGTCGTCGAGGATGCTGTTGCTGTCCTCCTCGAAGTACTTTTGGGCTTGTGTGGTGTCGACTGTCAATGGGTTGGGCCTGTAGAAAGCCTGCATCTGAAATGTCGAGACCATTGCAGGCTGTGATATATTTTGTTGAGTAGTGCGACTGTACTGTGACAAGTCTGCACGATATCTGAAGAATTCAAAGCGATCTAATAGTCGAGTATTAGTGTGCTGCAGCGGTGTGGACCAATTTCTAGGCTTGGGCTCGATCGCGCGAGGGTGGCAATAACTCGTGCGCAACTTCTGAAGAAGTTGGATACTTCTTGAACCAAAATAAACACTCGTCTGGGTAGTAGTCGTAACTCGTGATGAAGGAGTATGCTTCAGATGAATATGGAGCACAGAATACTATGTGAGAGACAATGGGAGGGGGAAGGTCTCGGGGAGCAGGATAAGGTTGCAGTGATAAGAGGTTGGGTGACTTTGGTGGGGAGAGGGCGGGAAGCGGGCTCGGGTTTTAAACAGCGGGTGGGAGAACTAGATCGACTCACACTCTTCCCGAGGTCTTTGCTTGTGGCCTTGATACTTCGCTCTCAAACTCCTGACAGGACTCTGTTATACAGATCGCGCAAGGAATGTCCGACCGTGAGACTGAGGTCGCGTTGAAATGGATAATAACAATGGAATATGAAGTGGTTCTCTACCATGAAATGGGGGCGATGTAGAAGGGTCGGGAGGAACAGTCTTGTACTTAAACAGGATGGTCAAGGGCCGGCCTGGTCAGGTTCTGACTCCCAGGATCCTTGAGTTAAGGAAACGGAGAGGTACAAAAATAATGTCACTAACTAGTGGGGAGCAAAAGCCCGCGAGACCAGAAGCTGACGAACAGGAAGTTTTCTTCAGGTTTAGCGAGTGGATAGGTGGTGTGGGTGGGCGTGGGCTCTTCGCCGTATTGGTGTGAGTCCAAGGTTCCCGGTTTCCGTACTGATCAAAGGCCAAGATACCCAGTTACTCAGGCGCCCGCCGCCGCTCACTGTCTGCCCTGCCTGTGGAACGACTGGTCGTTCCAACCCCCGTAACGTACGACCGTATCAGGATCTCTGCCAAGCCCGCCCGTTTTCCTGGCCCACCCGAGATTTGAACGGTGAACAGAGAGCGAACCCAAGGAGGCTTGCGCCCAGGCATTGGGTTTCGTCCAACCTGTAGCCGAACAGGGCCTGCAACAGTATGTAGGGCAAGGACGTAAAACAACCCCTTCGGCTTGCACGCCCATCCCGCGCATGGCTGTGACTGGTGGACGGAGCCCATAGTCTGCCAGAAGGGAAGAAACGGATCCCGCGCTACTGTGACGGACCGCCCGTCATGGAGCCCATGTTTTCCCAAAGGAGCAGGGGCTAGGCGACCGTTGGAAGGAGAAGGGCAGTGACAGAGAGACTGACAGCCAGCCCTGCCGGACGTTGGGCATCAACCCATGGCTTGGGGTGCAATTGATACCTGAAGTCCTTGGTGACCATGCAGCCAAAGCGCCCACGAGCCCTCATCCGGCACCCACTAACAGCCACTGGAAGGCATGTCAAGCATCCTATTGCTCAGCTGGTGGTGGGGTGACATAGACCACTGCTGGGCACAGGCAGCGAGCGCTCGCATAGCAGGACCAGCCAGATGGCAGGCGGTCGATAGCGGTCTTTCGTCCCTTTCCAGTGGTCATTCATCAGGCTTTCGGGCACATCATTGGCGACGTCTGGAGTGAGATGTGATGAGTTTAGAGCGTGACGACGACCGACGAGTAGCGCGAAGACGGGCGATGGGCGACGGGCAACGGGCGTTGGACGCTGGTGACGAGATGTTTGGTAGGCGTTGCAAGCTCCCCAGAAAAGTGGGAGACAGCCTGCCGGAATGCATTCCGGAACGGTTTTGGCAACGACGACTCATCAACACCAGCCTGGGTCTGGAACCAGTACAATTCGACCGCAACGTCAGTTCTCACATGGTTAAGGCTCAAACACCCGAGTCTTGGTGAGGCCTGCTCTGTTTTGTGATGTATTAGGTGGGATACTATGAGTCGGTGAGGGATCGATTGGCGCGTTGGCAGCCCTAGGATTGCTTCAACGTTATTCATCTCACTCAAAGTCTATTTACTCGCAAACAACCTTTTCACTGAAGCTTCCCCTTCGAAGACATACTTCGAAACTACGCGATAATCTGCTGAATTGCGAGTTGTCACGAGTTCCGCTGTGACAGGTTGATCGCATCTATCTGATACCTACCCGGCCACGATGATACTGTAGATCTGCTGCGTTTTCTGGATCCGCAATTATCGTGATCTGGTAAATCTCGGGACGGACGGGTACATCGTCAGAATGGATGCGAAACCGGGAGCCTGGAGACGATCCTGTCAAGACCCTGCCTGAGGATCCAGCGCCGGCCCTCTCAGCTTCAAGTATTGTCCACCGCCAGATGTCTAAGAATGGAGCAAGACGCGGTTTCGCGTTCTCCCGCCGCGTTGATTGATTCCCGCAAGGGCTTTGCACCGACGGTTCTCTCTCATCACGTCGCATCCGTTACTTACGGGCTAATTGCGAAAGCGTCTGAACTACCTAGTCGGTCTGGTTTACAGAGTCTACCAAGTGGGCATCACATCGGCTTCAGAACAATGAAAGAAGAGCGCACGGACAGCGGAGCCCGGGATCGCTGCTTCTGACAGCTCTCGCAAGCCTACCCTGACCAAGCAGCCAGGGCCCAGGGGACAGGAGCAGGGTTGCTACTTCTTCACCGCGGAACGGCAATGTTTCCTGCTCTCTTCGGTCCTTGGGTATCAAGGTCCATCCCAACATGGCGCGCCCTCTGACCGCAAGGCTTGATCGAAGATTTCAAGGCACAGCTCAGCCACATCGCATGATACGGCCGATGCTAAGACCTTCATTGCTCTCTGGACGCTGAGCTATGACGCACAAACTCTGAAGCTGTATCAATCATTTCCCGGGGCTGGGAAGCGTGAGCCGCCAACTGCAAGCGAAGCAGAAGAGCAATACGGTAGAGTCGAGATCGAACCATACACATCTCGCGCCTCCTAAAGTACAGGGAGAGGACCAAACTTCGAAAGACGGCCCAGAAGACCTTACAAGGAGCCCTTCGCAAAGGCGGTTTAGGGTGCCTGCATGGGCGACTCAAGAGTTATAATCAAAACAAGGCCGTATTCTAGGCCTGCGCGTCTCGTCCGATGTCACGACGATCGCGGACAGACTCGCTTTACCTTGCCGCGCTCAGGCAAAACACCAACGCGCGCTGTGGCTTGAGAGGGCCGCCAAATCTTCAGTCTAATGGTCGACCACTCGGGGAACATATCTCTAGTCTGGTTTTCGTCGCGTATGCAGAGCAAGGTGCAAAGTTGGGCAGGATTTACCCCCTAGCGAGTGGGATATCCAGATTGTGCACATGTGAGGGCTTGGATCAGCTAATCCAGTTGCCAGCCTGAAGGGGACCTGCGCATCCATTCCAGGGACGTGGGGAACGCGTGGGAAAGGCTGCGTACTGCTCCTCTCGTGACTCGTAGATGGCTCGTAGATTCCCACAGCCGACATGCTCCGTCGCTGGGTGTGAAGACGAGCCCGCCTCGATTCCGATTGATTGGCCGCAGACATCGCGACCTCTGGCGGGTCTGGCCCAAAGCTCGGCCCAGCCTTGGGCGTTTGCGCAATGCGACGGGCCAGCATTTTCCCCTTCCCCCATTTGATTTCGACGATGGTGATGCGAAAACCAGGTAAGATTAGGAAACTATGTCAGGCTCGTTCTGCCGGCAGGCAGATACCAAGAAGCGCCAGAACTTTCAATATAGATGCTAGCGCCTTGTTAGGTTTTTCGTGAGCCACAATAGCATTAAGATCTACCCATATGGGATATTACTCATGACGCAGACCGCAAGAAGGTCAATGCCAGGTGGGAAAGTGAAAGAAGGCCCGTTCAGAGTGGCAGTCAAGTGGGCGAGCTTCACTCTTGCGCACGGGGAACTCTGCGAGCGACCCGCGGGTGGACACTCGGGGTGCGAAGCAGGCGTACACACCGACTTTGGGATGACTTTTCCCGAGGTACATGCCCAGATAGAGACTGGTTATATTCGATTCCTCCCTATTGTAACGACGGTGGTGAGACAATGGCAGGAGGTCCGACGTGGTTTGTCCATTCCTGGGCGTTGGGCATGAACGGCCGGACAAGCAGATGGATCAAACGGACGAGTGGCCGGCCGCGAATGTGATAGCGGGCCGGCCGTTTATGCGGCCAGTCACACCAGGCGACTATATCACGCCCAGTTCAGGCTCAGATCTGACGCCCCTCACATCCATGGGCCCAGGGGGAGAGAGCATGGGCCGGGCAGGGCAGGCAATCGGAGATCTCTGGCAAGTGGGTTCGACAGCCAGAAGAAGAAGCAAAAATGGAGCTGAACAATAGAGAGGCTCTGAATGGACCAAGATTGTCCAATTTGAGTCCTGCGAAGCTGCGCGTTAAGGGTCGGTAGCGAGGGAGGTACAGTTGCAATGGGCGGTGAGCGTGCAGCTTCTGATACCTCTAACAACCCTTGACACGCTCACTAAGCCAGAAAGGACGCCAATGTGTGGCTCAATACGCCTCCAGACAGTGACATGACGAGATACCTCGAACTCGCCAGTTGTGGGAATGGAGGTAGGTGCTACGGCAGTTGGGGAACCTGTTTTACTATCACGATGCAACTTCATGTGGCGCTTGCTTGGTCATGACAGATGCACTAGCAATACTAATCGTTGTAGTTAATGAGAGCAAGTATCACTTTCGGAAGACTAGGAGGACTTGGAAAGGATGCTCTCCAGCACGGCATGGCTAAGTAACCTAGGCTGGAATCTCATCATGCTAGATCCCATAGGTTTCTCGCCAGGCAATCATGGTCTTTGCAAGCAAGGCTTCACGGAAAGCGGCAGGTCTGTGTGAGCGAAGGGAGGCACCTGGATGTCCCCACTGAGTGCTGGTGACATCAGCTCTGGCAAAGCTATTCTTGTAAGACTGCTGCCATGGTTGGAGTCATCATGACTTAGCAATCACGAGCATTTACGGGCTGGCCCAAATGAGCTGGTAGCCGACGGTCTGCTTGCTTTTTTTTTTCCATCGAGATAGATCCCGTTTCGTTTTCTTATGACTTGTCAAGCTAGCCGAAATCGGTGTTTGCTATAGTTGGCTGGAGTTGTGAAGGAGCCCCAGCCTCGACGGACATGGCGGTGTAGAACCGGCAGGCTGGGAATTCATTCCCATGGCGTTTTGGAGCCAGTATCGCCCTTGAAACCCGCAGATCCAGTCCGTCGTTCAAATCCTTCCACAGGCCCTGGACCAGTCATCGCTCAGAGACTTTGGACTTCTGAAACGCATCCATTCTTGCCCAACGTCAACCCTGAAAGTAGTATAGCTGCCCCGTGCTACGCCCTCCAAAGGTGACTTCCAACACTGTGTATCCTCCAAAACTAGGAGTTGATAGGATGACGATGCCATACCTTGCGCCCCAATCTAAGTGACCGGAACTCGGTTCCGGCCGTATCACGCATCCCTAATAGTTCATGGCAGGAACCCTTGATCAGCCCAACAATCTGCTGTCAACCCAACGGCTGCGTGGCCGAGTTGTCTGCGCTTATCATCTGACTCCATAGATTATGTGTACGATTATCAAAGCACTGGAGCATCGAACAACTCATAGCCCAGACTCGATTGACTCGTTGTCGGTAGCATGTGATGTAGGCTTTGGTATTCTGGTACTGTCTTGCCGACTGAGTTGAATTCGGCTGGTTCCGCGGTGGGTTCTTGCGATAGCTCAGACGCCAGCTCGCATGTCAGGGGAACCTGTATGACACCAAGAAAGAGGTGGCGGTCACCGCTCATGAGGCCAAGTCCGGAGCTCAACAACCAAATCAGGTACTAGTTTTATTCCGTATCGAGACGCTGAAGGTGCCCGGCGACAAGACCTTGGAATAACATTGTCAAATTGGGCAGACTGCTTCGTAGACTGCACTCTATGACACAAACACCCTGCTGGTGACATGGCCATGCATCGTTTCTGGTACTACTGGAAATCCCACAACTTGGTGATGAGGTTGTCCTCTACTCCGGATGTTGGGTCATGTGGCAGAAGGATCCGTTTTGGTATCATGAATTCCACAACAGGTGCCTTCTTGATTTGCTTTGAAAGCTCGGCATCCAGTAACTAGAGAGAAAGCATTAGCGGCGAGAGATTGAGGTGCAAGAGTTGGCCGATCGACTTACACTGCTATACGAATGATCAAGGAAGTCTTCAATGTTGTACGACTGCTTAGTGAATTGCTCTGATATGATCTTTGCAATCGTGGCAACGTTGGGATGGTAATGTGACTGTAATTGCACGACTTCCCACAAGCAACTGTCGATGGCTTGCGTCTCCATAGGGTCCTCTTCCTCGGCATCGAAGGGGTCAGCCAACCCCTCGTTTTGGATCAAGTCTTTCTCCTCTTGTGTCCGAACCTCACGGTGAATCATGAAGGTACACAATGGATGTTTTTTGAACAAGTTGTAAATCCAAGGTATTATGGCAACTATGGCAGCTGGGGGAGCGTTCAGGCACAATCTCGCTAGCCGCTTGATGAAACTTGCAACCAAGACTGCCGGCAAATGACTGGAGCCAAGGAAAGTATCCAGAAGTCGGAGAAATCTTGACCTGTGCTTCGAGTGTAAGATTTCTGCATCGATGAGTGAGTACAGCTTGCGGTAAAAGGACGGGTAGTCCAGGTTTCTATGCTGGATGAGGTAGAAGACACCCGAGAGGGCGAGCAGCGATATAGAACCACCGGCGTTGTACGAATCCGTCAGGAAGTCGGCCAGCAGTTCAGGCTTCGTGAACCAAGGAGCAATTGACTGTGTCATAATCTCTAAGACCTGTTTTCTTTGGGCTCGATCGGGGCCGAGGCGTAAAAGAGCAAGCCACGCTTCCTGGCCTTGCTTCTTTTGTTGTGTAAGTGAGGCGACCGGGTGGTTCTTCTTCTTGGGCTCACTGATGTAGAATTCGCCGAGGTCCTCAGCCGAGTCTGGCACATCCTCAAAGAATGAAAGCATGTCAAACGCATTGTCAAAGAGGTCCTCCGGCGTACGGCCCTCAGCATCCTCTGTGAGAACGTCCTTTAGAGCTTTGAAGGTGTAGAAGCGCACATCGCCGAATTCAGCCATGAACTTCTCACAGAACTCTTGGCGCACGTCCTCCGACGCTCTTCTGACCAGAGTGCCCACGATCTCGGTGAGAAAGGCCTTGGGGAAAGAGTACTCTTCCTTGCTGCTCAGGTGTTGCCCCTCGGCTTTGAGAACCCGCATCGCCAAGGTCAACGCCGTAGACGCTGTATCCTCTTTGGCCAATGCAGCAAGCGTGAGCTGCTTGTACTCTGAAAGCTTTCCCTTGAGCCACTGGACAACCACAATGTCCTTTTCCGACTGGCCCGGAGTTCTCGCCAGGCTGCCGGCAGCCAACAGGCGCAGGAAAACTCTGCACAGCGACACGGTCGCGACGAGGGCAGTTTCCTCATGTTCCGTGTCTTGCGCAATCTCCAGGAGCTTTGTGATGTTGTTGTAGTGTTTCTTGGACTCTAATATCTCGTTCTCGAGGAGCAGGATGTCGGCCTGCGGATCGTGGTCGTCGCTGCTGGCGTTGCTTTCAGACCGGGCACGCTTCTTTGGCTGTTCGGCATCCTTGGACCGCTTCCTCTTGAGAGGAGCTTCCGCGATTTTTCCCGGCATGGCGATTTTCTGGGAGCTCTGCAGGAAAACAGCTGATTGCACTGCGACGGGTGGTGAGCGCTGGAAATTTTATTTTCACTTGGGAAAAATCCACAGCCTCGGACGGGGGATCCGCAGGGATCGCCCGACAAGGCTGACTGCAGCTGGCAGGCAGCCCGCGGGCGGGTGGAGCAGGCCAGCTGCAAATCGCTTTCTCCCGGCCTCCCCATTCCCCCGGCAAAATCAGGAGCGGGCGGGAACTGGGAAACCTGGGAACCCGTGGACAGCAGCTCGTCCAGGAAAATTGGTAGTGCCGAGCGGCCGACGTCCCAGAAGGCGACCCGCAACGAAAATAACCTCAGTCCGATCCGAGCTACAGCAATCCTGAACACCCGCAATCCCCATCACTTCTCATCGCACAATGGCCTCCCGCTTGGCACGAAGCGCCGTCGGTAAGTACACACCTCTTGTGCGCGCCCAATTGGCCCCCGGCCGAGCTCACCACCCTCCCCAGGGGCTGCCCGCCTCCGACCGGCTGTCTCCCAGCGCGCTCTCCCGGCCCTGGCCTCCATCAGCGCAAGCCGCCACGCCTCCTCCAACGTCCCCGAGAAGGCCGACCCCAAGACCAAGGCCCAGTCCCTCATCGACTCTCTGCCCGGCAGCTCGCTGGTCTCCAAGACCGCCATCCTGTCCTCCGCCGCCGGTCTGTCCGCCTACGCCATCAGCAACGAGTACTATGTCGTCAACGAGGAGACCGTCGTCGCCTTCTGTCTGCTGAGCGTCTGGGGTGCCCTCATCAAGTACGGTGGCCCCATGTACAAGGAGTGGGCCGAGGCTCAGAACCAGAAGATCAAGGGCATCCTGAACGCCGCCCGTGCCGACCACACCCAGGCCGTCAAGGATCGCATCGACAACGTCCAGCAGATGGGCGGCGTCGTTGACACCACCAAGGCCCTCTTCGCCGTCTCCAAGGAGACCGCCGAGCTTGAGGCCAAGGCCTACGAGCTGGAGCAGTCCACTGCCCTGGCTGCCGAGGCCAAGACCGTCTTGGACTCGTGGGTCCGCTACGAGGGCCAGGTCAAGCAGCGCCAGCAGAAGGAGCTGGCCGAGAACATCATTGCCAAGGTCACCAAGGAGCTGGAGAACCCTAAGGTCCTGCAGCAGATCCTGCAGCAGAGCGTGGCTGACGTCGAGAGTAAGGCCCCCGTCGTCCCCAAAATCACACTCAGTACTGCGGAAACTAACGCATCCCCAGGAATCGTCTCGTCAAAGTCCCAATAGACGGTGGAATAATGGATAGAGAGATACTCCCGCGAAGCAGAGACAGAGTTCCCTTTGTTGTTACCCACCCGTGTGAATAACACCCTGTGCCATAGTCCAAAAGAACTTTCAGATTTACTCGAGCGTTGACGGTATCCATGTGACCAAAGGACAGCAGGTTTTCAAGGGCATGGCCACTAATGCTCAGCTGAATTACTTGTTTTGGGCAATTGCTACGCGTGACTACTCGTCAAGTAAACGGAGGCTACTCTCATGGAGTTATTCCCTACCCCTTTTCGATGATGAAGCCTCAAATCTGGCCCTGCCATTTCTCCAGCAACCCTACAGTCCACTCCTTGAACTGCCGATCGCGTACTGGCAAGAGCGCACTGCTTTGTTGTAGAAGTCCTTTGGTCCCTTCCACAGCCGGGCGAGGCAGGGAGATTTCTTGGACATCTGACGTCAAGGTCTCGCTTATCCGATCTGCCTCATCCCTGCCAATCATACGATACAGGACTTTGATGGCGGAAACAGAATCATCACCCCCCAGCTCTGTCGACGTGAAGCTGATGTTGCTATTGAACAGCCATATGTGCAAGAGCGGCCCGGACGGGGACGGATCTCCCGCCGGTGTTATGATCGATTTGGAGCAGCCGGAGCGTGCGAGCGTCGCCATCAGCATCGAGCTCACACAGTTGGCGAGACTGGGCTGGGGCTGTGCAGAGGTGGACAGCTGCCACTTGAACAGAGTGGCCGACACCAAGTCCTCGTGGAGGACACCCAGCTCGGTGTTGCATGTGCTGCAGTGAACAGCGGCGCGGTTCTTTGGTGCTGTGTCTGCATGTCCGGAATTTACAAGGTCTTTAGGGTGGCGGGTCTACATTGTTTTCATTAGCCTGCGATGAGCGCTGGGTAGGAGCGGAGTGACAACGAAAACATGGGTTGGTCCGCAGCAAAGAATGTCTATTAGAGGTTCAGGGTCTAAGTACATAGCCAAGATCGTTTCACAATGCAAAATATGCCTCTACTCAATCCCAAGAATTCCACATCCAAAGAAATCCCTGGTGGATTGTGGAGGCTAAGTCCTTAAGCCACCAGATGCCGATCCCATAGCCGGAAGCCAGGGTTCGACAACCAAAGCCGTTGATAAGAACTCCATAGTAATTCGATATAGGGTATGAGTATCGGTGACCACGCCACTGGAGGCAAGCAGAAGTTGCTGGCTTGGCCACCTTCTATATACCCAAGGGAGCTATCCTCATGAAATGCAGTGACATACTAGGAAACGAAGACTTACCGAAAGGTTTGTGCAGTCCTTATCCAGAGATAGAAACGATGTCAAGTCCACGAAGCCTACGCCTGCCTGTGCCGAGATGCGTGAGTTGGCACCATACCCTCTGCCAGCGAGGTCGCCCTCGGCCGACTCATCATGGTCGTGGCTGTGAGGTTTGTGGCAGTGCCAGAACTCCATCATCTCAGCCCAGTTCTCGCTCGGCAAGTCCTTCCATACCTTGACAACTCCTTTTGGGAGAATGACAGATCCGCACGACCGACAGTTCATAGCGCACCCCGCTTGGAGTTCGTTAGCCGACCACGGAACTGCTTGAGCCTCCAGACGCGGGAGCGGCATGGTACTTGGCGCAGAAGCCAGAGGCAACCTCCAAGAGATGCCCAACGCGCCTTCAATATGAATGGGCAAAGTCTGCGACGCTGTGACGCGCCCGGGGAGCCGCACCGATTGCTGGTCATCCTCGTGCCGGATGGTGAGGGTCAGCCCATCCACAGACACGTCTGCCTTTGTCGTGGCCGAGCATGGAGACGGCAGTGAACATCCCACCGAGACTTGTCGTATATTGGAAAGAAGCTCGGCGTAGATCAATATCCTCGGGGGACCTGACATGGTTGCGGTTGAGGTTAGCAGTATACCGCCTATGCTCGCCCGCTGATGAAACATTCAGGCCTTGACGGTGAGGCTGGCAGCAAACGCGTCGAACGTTTAAGCAGTCGCACTAAGCCTCGGCAAGACTAGCGCTCCCGCTTTTGCATCATTCATCCCCACTTTACAGATATCCCAAGCTTTGGGGACATCAGCTTGCAACTCAGCATCAACAAGAGCGAGTTTGTAGAACAGCTCGGAAGGGTACCAAGGCCGGAGATTCCCTGGACCAGAGCGCAATATGGCTTCTCTATTCTCCTACATCCCAATCGTCAACCGCTTTGTCGGCGGCAAGGGACCGCAGTCCATCGACATCTCACCAGTTGAGGTTCACAATGTGGAGACAGCTCCAGAGAAACGTCCCAGGACGCTGAAGCACCTTCTGAGAGCCAACCATGTCAACCACTCTATCCTGTATCACCACTTGCAGTACCACAATCATCTACCCCATATCCTGTGCTCGGCGTATCTTCTTGGAGCAAACGAGCAGCAGTTGCATGAGATATACAGTGTCGAGGCGAAAGAGCTCGAGCCATGGGAGCCGTCACCTCAGGAGGTCACGGAGGGCGACTGGCGAGATTTCTTGGGTGACGAGAAGTACCAACGGGCGTATGTGGATTTCTTCGAGGACTCCTTAGCTATGCGGCACAAGTACGACTGGAAGAAAGTTGTGGATGAGTACCTGTTCCACGGCGAGAAGCCCTTGGTGAACGGCCTCATTGGCGGAGGTAGGTTCTCCCTCTGATGTACACACAAGTTGCAGACCTAACATTTTCCAGTTGGGCATCCTCTGATTCATTTGGGCTACGCTTTCGAGATGGCCAGTCAAGAAATTGCCATGGAGGCTTTGGGACTGGCAGCCACGCAGTACAACTTCCTCCACAAATATCTAGACGATCCGGCCTATACGAAAACATCCTTGATTCAATCGACATCACCCATGGAGCTCTTTGAGAAGATGGCCAGTGATAAACGTTTCGACGGCCTCTTTAAGGAGCCGGGTTACGAGAACATCGCAGCCCTATTTGACAAGCATGAGGATTTGGTCTTGGAGTACTGGAATGCCTGGTCTCTCGAGAACCCTGTTAAGCAATTCCAGGACTCACAGGAGGCCGCAGTGGCATTCCTCGTTGCGTCAGTCCCGCCAGGAACTCACTCGTACAATTTCTTCGTCTGCCATGTGCTTACCACAAGCCACGCTGTGAGGATCTTACTGCCTTTCACACCGAAGAAGTTCCATGTAAGCTTGGTTCGACAGTGGTGGCTATTGACCATTGCCGTCTACGTTGCCGAACTGAGGCCCAAGATCGACCCTGATTATATCCGACCGGGGGACGTTGCGGGGAAGCAATGGAATTACGTCGAGGACAGGGCATTGAAAGGCCCCTATTGTACGGATCCTCATTTTGTGAAAGGTATGTCATAGCGCCGAGAAGCTACTGAATAGATGAAGGACTAATATGACTGCAGCAATCCGAGCGATGAAAGAGGCGGCCAGAACTTGGGGTGACGTTCATGAAAAGTACCTTGCTTCGGCCGTTAGGTTTGTTGATGATTTCCAGGGTTGGGCACATTGATTCTTGTTGGCATTCAATGAACACAAAATGTCTCTTGTGGCCTAGTCGTTTTCCGTCCAGTTTTGTAAATACAGAATGCATGAGAGTTGAGAGAGTGAGATTAGGCTCACCAGCTGATGTCGGGGCTTCAGTTGTGTATGTATGCTCAGCCTAACCAGAATGCGACCAATCAAGCAAGTGTAAAAAGAAGAAGGCAATTGAGGTTTGCAAAAGAACCCAGTTTGATATTCGTCATCAATATATATGCACCCGGTGGCGCTGTGAAAAGAATACATAATTGCAGTTTAGCCTTGTTTAATGGGTGATAGCCAATCACCTGACAACGCATCTCAGAAACGGCAGCGACGACGCGTCTCCGCGGTGCAGCTAAGTGGGCAGCCACCAATCGACACCCAAACCACAGCCTGAAACTGTCGAAGACGTTCCCGAACCATCGCATTGCAACAGAAAGCCAACAATTGCCATGATATCTGCCTAAGGTCGATCCCCACCCTGAGGCTGGCTGTATTCCCCTATCAGTTGCGCGCCTTCATGCGAACTTCCTTCCCAGCTGGCCCGCCGCCGCTGAACCACCAACAAATGCAGTCACCTGGCCATTTACTGGTTTGCGATGCCACCGCCAGCCAAGCGCCAGAAGCGCAATGTAGTCACGTCCGATGACGAAGGGGAGACGAAATCAAAACCAGCAAACACCCTCGCGAATTACCTTTTCTCCTCTCCCGACCGACCCGGGTATTCTACGTCGAACGGGGCGAGACCGGCATCGGCATCTCCCAGTCCAGTCACGAGGAAGGCACAGAGACCGACGTCCAGCACCGGCAGTCAGAATGCCAGATTCGCAGTCAAATCTCTGCAGCCGATGAGCAATGGCTCGGCTAGCAACGGGAAGAAGAGTGCTAGCACGAGTCCCGAGAAGCCGCGAACTCGAGCGAGCAAGACAAAGCCCGAGGCCAAAGGCAAGACTGCAGACCTGAAGACGTTGTTCTCTAGGCAAGCCGAGCGAGCCCCCGCAGCTTCACCGACCAAACTGGAAGACATCTTGAGCGACCCGATATCCGATGACGATGATGGGGTTATGGAGCATAGGGCCGCCACTGCGAGCCACATTGGGAAGAACGCGCAGAAGCGGTTTAAAGAGACAGCACAGAACAGCTTGGAATCATCTCTGACAGCAAGCCAACGATTTCTGAAGCCTCCGCGGCTTTCGCAGCCTTCTCGCAACCCGGCGTTAGACGACGACCAGAGACCTTGGTCAGAACGCTTCGGGCCTGTAAACCTCGACGAGCTCGCAGTGCACAAGAGGAAAGTGGCAGACGTGCGTAAATGGCTTGACGACGTCATGGCAGGTAGGATGAGGCAGCGGCTGTTGATTCTAAAAGGGGCTGCAGGAACAGGCAAGACCACCACGCTGCGACTGCTTGCCAAAGACATGGGCTGCGAGCTGCTTGAGTGGAGAAACCCAACATCCTCCGGTGGCCTTGGATTTCAGTCCGCTTCAGCACAGTTTGAGGAGTTCATGGGCAGGAGCGGGAGATTCAGTCAGTTGGAGATCGACTCGGACTCAATGCCAAATTCAGGCCCCTTGGCTGGCAAGGGCAGTAATAACTCTCGCAAGATCGTCATGATCGAAGAGTTTCCCAATACATTTACGCGGTCGTCTTCTGCACTTCAGTCATTTCGGAGCGTCGTCATGTCGTATCTCGTCGCCAATACCCCGTCGCTAGCTGCGTTCGGACAGCCGTCGGCAAAGGATCCTATTACGCCTGTTGTCATGGTAATATCAGAAACACTACTAACAACGACCTCGGCATCAGCAGACAGTTTCACAGCGCATCGACTACTTGGTCCTGAGATCACGAGACATCCAGGCGCAGGGGTCATCGAGTTCAACGCAATCGCCCCAACGCTTCTTGCAGCAGCTCTGGAGCTTATAGTTCAGAAGGAAGCACGAAAGTCTGGTCGGAAGCGCAGTCCAGGGCCTGTGGTGCTCAAGCGACTGGGCGAGATCGGAGATATCAGAAGTGCGGTCTCTTCACTCGAGTTCCTGTGCTTGAAAGGCGACGCCGATACGGATTGGGGTTCCAGGATCACGTTCGCCAAGCCTAAAAGGAGTCTCAAGAGCAACGTGGCCTTGACAAAAGCCGAGGAGGAAACGTTAGAGCTCATCTCGCAGAGGGAAGCGAGCTTGGGCATTTTTCACGCCGTTGGCAAAGTAATGTATAACAAAAGACACGAGGCACCAATGCCAACGACGACTGAAGAAGGCAGAGCTGAGCTATTGCCAAGCTTCATGGCCCATCATTCTCGTTCCAAGAAGTCAGAAATCATTGTCGACAACCTCATAGACGAGACAGGGACTGATACCCACACTTTCATATCCGCCCTACATGAGAACTACGTTCTGTCCTGCGCTCCTACAGGACCCGCTGATCTCTCCTCATCAGTCGACTACATCAACGAATGTGTCGAATACCTCTCTGAGAGTGACCTGTTGTGTCCGTCGTCTGATATATTCTTCGGCGGAAGAGGGTTCGGTTCTGGGGGCTTTGGTGGCAGAGACTCGGCAAGCCATATATTACGACAGGACGAGATCACTTTTCATGTCGCCACACGTGGGCTTCTTTTCTCGCTGCCGAATCCCGTGAAACGGATCGGAACAACTTCACATAGAGGCGGAGGTGATGCATTTAAGATGTTCTACCCTACCAGCTTGAAACTCTGGAGGGACAAAGAGGAGTTGGAGAGTGTCCTGGATCTCTGGTCCACAAGGCTCTTGAAAGGGGAAGAAGAAGGAACGACACATAACCTTACAGATGGAGCCTCAGCATTTCGAAAGCCTAAAGCAACCGACGTAGGTGGCTGGATCAACAAGCAGGGCTCGCAGAAGCCCTTTGATCAACGCAGAGAGTCTACCCAGGAACAGAAGCAGGCCGCTCCTCTTCTGTCACTCGGAAGTGCTGCCCGGAATGAGCTACTTCTTGAACGTCTCCCTTATATGACACATATTGCCCGACGTAAGAAAACCCCCACAAACAGATTCGAGCTGAAGGAACTTGAAAGAATTGTTTCGTTTTCCGGCATCAACGGAGCGGGAGATGATGAAGCTGTCGAAGGCGAGGAAACGAATGCCGCTGATGGCGAAGCGTGGTCAACAGATAAACCTACGGAAGAGTCATCCCCAAGGAAAAGAATGGGAATCCGCACAAAGAAGGAAGACACGGTGCCTGTACTTTCTGTACAGTCCCTGGTTATAAGTGATGACGACATAGAGGATGATTGATGACGGAGCTGAAGTCAGGAGGAGTCTGCAGTGATCACTGCGATATATTAATTAAGTTGCTAGGTGTAAGGTCGACTGCTGAAGGCGGCGTTCGGTCTGCGGTTTGCACTCACGAGACCTTCGTGCTGGATATGGCTTGAAAGATTCGATATACATCAGTGGTGTCTACTGTAACATGACAGGAATTGAACTGTTGCACCGCTCAAAATAGTCATTTTATGGCAATGCCGTCAAATGCTTGTCGAACATCGCATTTTATCTACATCGTCATGTGATCCCCTGGATGTGCCATTGTGCAAGTAGGCTGACACATGATAGAAAGCATGCTACGCCGCTATATGTTGTACGACGCGGTAAAACATCAGAACATCTCCCATTTCCCGGTCATGTACTTTGCAAGGGATAGATGTCTCTGAACTGATCACCCCAACTGACTTGATCTTACAATTGAGCATAGGCGGCGAAATCGAGGAACGCTGCACTCTTAGTGGCTTCTGGTGTAAGACAGTTATAAAGTATACTGCCTATGGGCCACTGATTGGATACTGACCACCCTTCGCCTTGGATAGTTACGGTCACAGGCCATACAAATCAACTTGCAATGGCCTCTACGAACAACGTCACACCTCCAAGTCCTTCAACGCCTACAACAACTATCATGAATAGGATCTTCGGCTAGTGAGTCTCAGACAATCCCATCCGCGTGCCCCTGGTTAGCTTCCGGGCTCCGACTATTGTACTCTGGGATTCTTGCTCTTGTTTCTAGAGCAGGTATGGTTCACGATGGGTGGCGTAAAGCTCTAGTGGCTGGGAACAACAGACACACCACATAGCTGTTGATCACTAGTACCAAGATGGGACGGGACCTACGGCGGAGTATGGTCCTCTTAGCCGCCACAAGGGAGCAACAAGCTTTGCCGAATTCATCGCGAGCGGAAAGATCTCACAATAGTAAGCGCCTGTCTCGACCCGCGAGTCTCACTGAGATAAGTTCTTAGCTCGTCTCCCTCGGTTCGGCATTGGCCCGAGAGAGCACCTTTGGCAAAGCTTCCCCCTTTTCCTCCCTCTGCCGCCTCCCGAGGATGCTGCTGATTAGGAAGAGAAGCTGGGTGGAGCATTGGGCGAGGGACCATTGCTTGCGCGGCCTAGTAAATCCCGCATTCCAGAGCGTGCCCGGAACAGGCTCGTGTTTCCCCAGAGGCACGATGGGAGAGGAAGGACACCTGCTGGTCCGAGTTTCCTTCCTGCCCAACCACCGTTTCCGGCTTCCGACCTCTCCAGATGGTCGGGAATGAAGCCAAGCCCAGACGAACGATCCCTGGGGGGGAAGGTCCCGCCAAACCAAGCCCCTCCGGGGGGTTGCTGGTAAAATTTTGGTTCCAACTCTATCACCCATCTGGCCTAACTCGCGAACTCGCAAAGCTCACTAAACCAAAAGGCACCTCGCTAACCACCCCGAAGACCCTGAAAAAAATTCGCTAGCGGTCCCTGAAGTTTTCCACGCGTCCCTGGGTGATCCGAGTTCAAGGGTCTTCTCTCCCACCAGCCTAGCGATCGCCTCGAGCTCTGCTCCCTGCCCGGTCGCCGGCCGTTTGCGTTGGATGCCAGCCTCCTACCCTCCACTATTTCCTCATCCCTCGTTTGCGGTCGTCTGCGGAGCGCGCGAGTTTCTATTACCATTCGTTTTCATTCCGTTTCTTTTCTTGCTCCTAGTCTAGTATCGATATGGGCGCACGGGGTCTGGGGTAAAACGGGATCTGTCAATGGCCTGAGACAGCAAGCCATCCGTGCCCTGCATAAGGTGATGTGCAGCTAGTTTCGGGTCAAGCGCTGGAGAAATGCGCCAGAGCAGAGGGGCAGAGACAAAGCAGCTACTCGTCACGGACAGTCGTTGGAATCAATAATTGCAGACAAAGTTTGGAAAGATTGGTGTTCTGATTCAATCGATCAAGAAAGTGCTCCCATTCGATCATGAGTAACTAACTAGCAGGCGCACAGTGCGCGAAATTGGGATATCATAAGTGCTTCCGGTCCGTATCCTGTTGGTCCTGTAAACCTGAACGCCTTGGTCTTCCTTTCTAGAATGAGGCTGTGGTGACCTTCTAAATTCCGATGAAAACATAGTAAAAGAAACATCTCGGTCCAGTAATAGAAGTGTAAACGAAACGTAGCCATCACCGCCAGGTTCCGTGAATCTTGCCTCTCCGACTCCTAGACTTGAGGCCGACATCCCCATTGACCATGAGACTCTTCCATCTCCGACCAAGGCTATGTCTGTCCTTGCCCAGGCTGCGTGCGCAGTCCTGCCAGTCCGTCTTTGTCAGCTTGAGCTTGTCGAGAATTAGCTCGACCAGAATCCTGTCCTCCTCTGTACTCCACTCCTCTCCATCCACCTCCAGATCGACCTCTTCCGTCTCTGCAGTGCTGTCTGGTCGTTCTGTGGTGTTTTGTAGGTTGTGGAAGTCGGCGCGCTCGAGGCCAAGAGGTATCACCTCTGGCGCAAGACGAGCTCGCTTGGGTGTGCGCGGCCCAGAGGGTGCCTGGTCTGCAGTGGCTTCATTGTCGGTCGCATCAATGTCGAGGTCGCTGTCGATGTCATCATCGCGACCCATATCGTCATCCATGGCCCTGCGCCTCTTATTTGCTCCGCGGGGTGGCGCGGCTGAGCGCTTGACGACCTTTTTGCGACCCATGGCGTCGCTGTTGGCGTCGGCCTTGCGCGAGCGCAGACGCAGCTTCAAGGGTGGCAGCTGCGCGTGGGCCATTGGCGGTGTAGGGAGTTGCCTCTGGGGGGCGACATTGTCGTTGTGGTTGAGAGTGCTTGTCGCGGGGCCCGTCAGCATCGACTGCAGCGCGCGACACGTGCTGAAGATGTTGCTGATGGGATTATGGGCGGTGGTAGGTGGGCTGGCGGGAGGCGAGGAGAAGAGAGCCGATTGAAGTCGGGGGCCAGGTTGGTGCGACGAGTCGCAGGAGAGAGCGGACGGCATCAACATCTTGTCCAGGGTGTAGAGCAGCGCTCCCAAGTGTCCAAGAGGCGGTGCGCGGCGAGTAGTGAGGTGTAGGTCGAAGGTTCGTAGTTTTGCGACACGGGCCACGGCGGGAATGCGACCGATGCGCGACGCGACTTTTTTGAGTTCGAGCGATGCAGGTCGCAGATGAGCGTAGCCGGGTGTTCTAGAAGGCTTCAAGAAGCGCGGTCGACGTGCGACAGCCTTGCGACGAGGAAAAGGGCAGAGCGTGTTGTTCTGTCATGAACGGGTTGGTCGAGTAACGGGTCGCAAGTGTGGGTTGTAGGAAGGAGAGAGGCTTTCTGCGGGAGACGTCGGGGCGACAAGGACTTAATGCGCCTAATAAGAGACCCGAGGGCCCCCCAAGGAGCCTGGGAGCCAGGCCAGGCCAGTGGGCAGGGGGGTTGGAAGGGTTGGAAGGGTTGGAAGGGGAGCTGTCATCCCAGCCTGCCCGCCAGCCTGCCCGCCTGCCCGCCTGCCACGCCCCCTAGGCAAGCCCATCGAGGGGGTGACGAACGGGGCGGGAGGATCCAGCGAGGTGTGGTGGGCCACAGAGGGCCCCAGGGCCTTGCTCGCGCTACTGCCGGATCGGGTGCCAGGGAGCCAGTGGGCCAATAGTGGGAAAGCCCTGGCCCCTGACCGCTCAGGTTTGCGTCGCCGGTACATGGTCGAAGGGTTACATGGCTTGCCAGGGGGGGCCTGCACACTGCCTGCTTGACTGGAAGCTCTTCACCTGCCTCACCGTCGACTTCGTACGAGTTACCAAGGTGCCTCTTTGCGCGACTCTTAGCCAGCTCGAGCCCAGATAGCCCACCTGGATGGCTGTCTCGACGGCTCGTGAGAGTCATGGCTTCATCCTAGCCTGCATTCACCATCCGTTTTCGATAGGGGGCAGAGGGACCAGAGGGATCAGAGGGAGCTTCTGGGCTAAATTCTGGCAGCTGCCTCTGGATAGTCTAGTAGATGGCTAGCAGATGGGTAGATGGGCGCCGTCGGAAGACAAGCGACTACTTTGGCGTCCGGTCCAAATTGCGCTGACCACCGGATCGTTCCTAGGCAATTCTACGAAATTCTCCAGACCGACTCTCTCTCTCTCTGTGTGTGTGTGTCTCTGCCATCAGGTTTGTCATTCAGAGGCTTCTGGCGGCAGCTACTAAAACGATTCCATTGCCCGCTCCCTTTGCCTGGCCGGCCGATGTTCTGCTCTGTCACGGCCTCGCGTGCTGTGGGTATCTAGGTAGTTACATATACTCCGTACTCACCTGTCTCAGACACCTTGCCGGCCCTTGGGCTCGCTTTGACGACACCTGACTTTCGGTGAAGCAGCCGAGCCAGGTAAAAACGGTTTTCTGTGTGACCCCAGGGTAGAAGCGACTCGCGCAACAGGCAGGGTTTGACAGATTGCTAGATTACCACTCACACCCTACGACTAGTCTCGCTTGGGGGACCATTCAGGCCCCATCGCCCCGTGTGTGATCTCCCTTATTTCTCCGATGGCCAGACCTGCTTGAACTAAGTCGGTCTCCGGGCCCTTCGTCGTCATAGGCAATGTCATACGCCGGGATATCAACATGGTAGAGGATTCCAAACCAGGTCTCGAGGCAAGATCCAGAGGCGGATTCTCGATCAAGGCTTGCTTCTGCATGGCTTCCATCCGTCGCATAGATGAATCCTTTGATAGTGATAGTCATATACTATGGTATGATGTGTGCGTCATTGTTTCTGAATCTCTCTTTCTTTCCCTACTCCCCAAGAAGCAAATGCACGTCCGATACAGATCCAGCCCAGCCCGTTTGCCCTTGCATCGTGATGATACAGAAATGAGATCGATGGTGGGGTAGCAAGGCAAACTTCATATGAACGGCAGCAGTCTTCCAGACATTGGCTTGATCAGCGACAATGGTGCCCACTCCAACGGACGGACCTGTCTACAAGTGTGACCATTCGTGGAGTGCTTGGGCATCACGAACTACTGCCAGATGAAGATGTCTCAGCTGCAAGTCATGAAGAATGCGGCACACCGAGATGATTGGCAGATCTGCCGCATTCTGCGAGCACTTACTACTTCACCACAGATTGCCCTCACGGCTCGAGAATCAAGTGCCCTTGGTGACAGAGCAGGAGGAGCGCGATGGAGGGGGGCACCGCTTCAGTCTGTCGGCTGGCTAAAAGTGGGAAAAGAGGGGCAGACGACGAAGTTGAAGTCGATTTGACGCGTCGAGACGCGTCGAGAGCGCGTCCTGGGTCACACGCGTTTAATTAGATGCAGCAGGAATTGGCCAATGACTCGCGAACTTACTGTGGCCCCCTCTGCGACCGAGCTCTCATTGGCTGGCCACAGTCGGAGCCGTTTCTAGCTTCACCGTTTCCCAATATCCCGTCACCATCTTCCAGACCTGGTGACCCGCCAGTGTGCCTCCACAGGTCGTAGTCGTGTACTGCTTCTATCTAAAGTATATGCGTGGTGCTCTGGCTCAACACCACCTGCTGACATGCACTCTCGAGAGTGGGTGGAATGCTGGTCACACCCCACAAAGAGGAGAGAATCTTAAGATCCCTGCTCAATCCCGGCAGCCGCATCTTGGTGCAGAGTCGGTGGCAGAATCTTCGACAAACCTGATCGAAAGAACAATGCGAGCCTGGCGGTTGGCCTTGCTTTTATCGAGACTGCTCGGACCAATATGCCAAGACTGATATGAGTTCCGTGAGCACTCCCAAACTCCCATGTCACCTGCCCTGCAGCTCGGAGATCGGCTTCGTTTCATCTACGCAGGCAAAGCAATATATAACCTACCGCGGCAGGAAAGCTGAACAAATCCCCCGCTTAGTCACACGGCGGCAGATTGAGCCTCATTTCACCTTTGACCACGGGCAATTGATAGTTGGCGATATGGCTGTTGCATTGTAACGCCACGATGAAACGGAACCCTGTTCGATATTGGTGGGCGTGGAGCGGCTTCCATAGCACGGTGCGCGTACTGTGCAGTGGGGTTTAGCTATACTCCTATTCGGATCCAGCACTGAAGCTATCCACACACCGCACAATTCATTTGAAATCGGCCTCTCCATATGAGTGAAAGACCCAGAGTCCTACATAAAGAATCGAGCTCCAGGGTGTGCTATTAACAGGATTGAATCGTTGGCAGAACACCAAACTTCATTTCCGTGCTCACGCCAATCAAAATTGTTGGAGGACCCCGTTACAATACTCACTATGTTGCAGGATATAGATAGGAAATGGTGGTCAAATTATGGCAGTCTCGCACTATCAACGAGGTTCGAGCACATAAAGAATCTGTCTTAGCCTTGTATGAACTCACGTCCACGAGGACACTCCCCGTGCCCGTGAGGAGCAGGTCGTCTATATAGTCATTACCGGACCTCTTCCAAATCCCCTAAGTCCAAATGCGCAAGAACTTCCCCACCAGCACTGTGAGAGCTGATGCTGTGGTCTGAGGTACACGAGGAACCTTGCCTTTGGCACAAGCCGCCTCGCCAGTGTACGAAATTGTTCAGAAACATAGGTGATAGTTAATTCGTGTGAGTTTGCGCAGATCCGCTTTTGTTGGCCGGTTTGAGTTGGATCCGGAAAGGTGACTCCAAACGCCAGCTGGTGATTTATAGAAGACTTGGCTGCCCACTTCTATGTACCATTGGGGTACGCGCTGTCCACATACAATATAAACGGCGAGGGCAAATATAAGGCCTTCTCAAACTGTGCTCCAGACAAGGATTTGCCCCCTTAACAAACGTGGAGCAGAGCACGCATGTCATGCTGTCGCCGATGGCAGCATTATTTTCCTTTTGTCAAAATCCCTTATTGGCACAACGTAATAGAGCACGCCGATATGGTCGTATACTCAGCGGTAGTTAGCGTTGCGAGAATCCCGAGAGTCACCGGGCTCCTGAGAGAAGTCCAGATCCTGTTCACCTTGTTCACGTTGTGCAACGAGCGTGGACTGTTGCTGAGAAGAGCCACCACGGGAGCCACCACGAGAGCCACCACGAGAGCCACCAGCTTGACCGCTGCTGGTCGCAGGAGATGACGGCTGAGCCTGCTGCTGTTGCCAGGTGTTTCTCTCTGCCGCCCGCCTCTCGCTTTCTCGAGTATATCCCAGCCACTGTCTGGCTGCTGCTCTCCAACCGGCCGGCCTTCGCATACCCTGAAGCGCCACTGACGACTCCAGTTGCTGAAAGGCGGCGGAAACTCCCTCGTTCTGCTTCGTGGCCAGGATATCGGGATTCGTTGTCCATTGCCGCCTCAGCTCATCATGGACCATGAACCGGTCCTGGCGTTCGAAACTCTGTGCCTGAGGTAATGCCACGCCACCACATGATGCTGGGCCGCTGTCCGAATAGGCGGCAATGGTTTGGTCGGCGCGCAACCTTGCAGAGGATCGAATCGGCTGATCTGAGATGGTGTTTCTTCTCTCACGCGGAAATCCTCCTCTTCCACTTCCTCCTTCAGACATTGGTTGTCCACCGCGCGGCACACCATCGGCAGGCGGGGCCAAGACATGTCTTCTCGGCTCGCGCACAAGTCCTCTGCCATCGTCGTCCATTAGCGGTGACCTCGACTGACCAGACAAAGCGCCAGGAAGCTGTGGCCTGCCTTGCGGCACTGTGCCAGCCGTGGGCAAAGAACCAGACGCCTGGCCGGGCCCTGTGTTGTTCGCTGCGCTGCGACCAACGGCCCTGCTCCCACGTGGTGCCGTAGAGCTTGCTGGGGGAGTAGCTTGACCGCCCGAGGTCTGACCAGCCACCCAGGACGCTGCAGGGACCCCAACTGGCGTCCAGTCGAGATCAGCTCGGGCTGCCAGGTCGTGATTCGAGTCGTATCTTCCGGCCTCGTGGCAGGTGGTGCAAGTGCAGAGGCCGCAGCCAACGCATTTTTGCATGACTAGAGTAGGTCGGTTAGTAAACCTTTCCTCTCCGAGAGTATGTTTGTAGCACAATGATTGGAGTTGCAATGACGCTGATGATAGCACAGTAGAGGAAGATGATGGTTGATCTACAGTAGGTACGGTGATCGTGAATCAAACGACTCATCCTACATCGCCATAGCCCTCTTCTTTCCGACAGAATAAAGATGGTATCGGTTTGGAGAAGAATGGCCAAGCACGGTGTGTGCATACGCCTTTTGGGGGATTGACAGATCCTTCGGACCAGTATATTTACCTCTCTGGTTACGTCGGTTGCAGAGGTCGCAATAGGCACCCCTGCGGGTCACCTTGGTGAAGTTGGTGTGAAGACTCATTGTGGTGATTCAGCTCCTTTTCTGTTAGTCAAACTGGAGATTCTAACCGTGGTAGGTGGCAGCTTACAGTAAATGGTGGTAGTACCAGGACCCCGACCGCGCGGAGGCAAATCTTGGTATAGTGAATGTGAAGAGGGGCGGGGTTGCTGGTCTTCTGCGTTGCAATAGCTTCACCTGGGTGGGAGGATTTGCGTTGAAAGTGAGGTCTGAATCTATACCCCGTGCTGAGCGGAAGTCGAATTCGAGGGAACCATGTGATATGGGGTGTATGAAACCCGAAGTGATGAAGCCGATGATGTGTGATTCGTGACAGAAGAGATCGGATGCGACTCGCGGGCATGCATTGGTGGTGTACGACCACTCACATCTAGTTAAGCTGATGATGCGAGGTCGACTGAAAGGGAAGAGGTGGGAAAGAAGAGAAGAATACCACCAGGGCCCTGCTTTTATAGTTTCTCCTGGCATTGTTGGTAGATGTAAACTTACGGAGAGGACTAGTGAATAGAGAACAATCGGGTGGTGGCGAGACTGAGGACTGGTGAATAGAGAACAATCGGGTAGAGATGAGATTGTGTTTGCTTACATTGCATAGGCCAGTGAATCCACGGGATCAGATGAAAGCCCACGGGATCAGTTCTCCTAGTGAAGAGCGATTGTCACATCCGTTCTCTTCAGGCTATTGGGGAAAGTCCTACTCATTATTGCGCAGGCAGTACGGAGTTTAAATATTTTCCAATTTCAGAGTAATAGTATGCCTGGTCAACAGTCACAGAAGGAGACTTGAGTGAATCGGAGTGAATATTGATGGACATATCAAGAGTTGCAAGCAGGGCAGGTCATTAATCTTCTGACACGGTTGTTTACAGATGTCTGATTATGTGAATTGTTGTCCCAAACACGGCAGAAGTTCAAGAGATATTCTATCAATTACTTTAGCCGTAATGATTGATTTGCCATTTCTAACAACACGTAGAGAGGCACTACGACGACAGGCTTTCATGAAATCGTTTACAGCACAATATATACTAAACAGCCCATCGTTGCAGTACAATAGCGGTGAAGATACATATCCGAATTTGAAAGCCGGACCATGGGTTACAAAAGAGTGAAGAAGCATCACGGTCTTAGAATAGCGCTAGGTGGAAGGAACTGAGGTTGGAGTACAAATCACATGGGACGTGCCGCTCGAGAAGGTATTCAGGTACCCAGAAGTCAAACCTGGCATTGAAACTAACTCTCCCGATAGTAGTTACTAAATTAAACACGCACTCGGTGATCGTCGCCAAACGCGCAGGGTTTTAGTTCATTGACTGTCATTTACCATTATCCAGCACATCCATGCACCAATTGTTGCGGCAGATGAACTCATCTAATCAGCCTACCGAACACTACCCTTCGATACCGACTGGGCAGTGGGTGAAGAAATATACATTGGTAAGCACAGTAAATGGGAAGGCAGCGGTTGTCCTATTTAACGCACATTCTCTAACCAAGACTTACTAAAGTGGCAAAGTTATAAATGTTCAGCTACGGTTGCGACAGAAAATCAGCTGCAGAAAGTGACTGTGTTTGGCCAAGGGGCAGAAGAAATTGTAGATGTGCGCCAATCTTCAAGTTAGCGCATATGGACAGAGCGCATTCAACTGAAGACTATGAGTCAATGAATCCAGGTTCTTGCTGCCAAAAGTCTCTTGAAACATTTTGGTATGCATGTTTGATGTGTATGTTTCAAGAGACTTTTGGTATGCATGTTTGATGTGTGAACTGCATTCCCTGATTTGGGCCTCAGGTCTCGACATTGGCTACGTGATTGGCTTAATACAGTACATAGCTAGACTGACCGCAAATCAATATGGCGAATGGGACCGGTCATGTTGACTAAGGGGTGATATACGGTTGAGAAGTTGGCACATTCGCAACTCTGAGAAAAGTTGCTTGTTTCTGAGAAGTGATATGAACTTTTCTTAGCCTACCTATCCGGTGCCACTTCTATAAATGCTGAAGGATTCTTGGACCGTGTCTGGCGCGGCCAACTGAATAGCCCTGTGCAGTGGCAAAAGTTATGGATAAACTCTCTGGAACATGAAGATGATTGGATGACAATATCAAGCAAAATCAAGGTCCTGGGTAACGTCCAACGAACGTTGCCTCCCAAATAATACAGAGCAGTAATGTCTCGGTACTACCAAAGTATAGCTTCACTACAGTGCGAAGAATCAGTTCGTAAGGAAAAGACGTCATAGTAAAATTTGCTTTGGCATAGCGATATCTATATATTATCTTTCTATTAAGGCATCTCTACCGTTAGCCATTAACGATGGTGCCGCCGTTGCAGTGAATTGTCTGGCCGCTAATTGATGAACTGTCTGGCGCCGCTAGAAATACAACAGTGCTGGCTATCTCGCTAGGTTGAGAAGGTCGTCCCATCGGAGCAGTGAACTGCTCCTGTGCCTCTTGGTTCATCGTTGCGGGGATCAACGGCGTCCAGACAGGGCCTGGGGCAATAGCGTTGACACGGATTCCCTTGCTGACGAATTGATTACTGAGTCCACGAGTGAAGGAGATGATAGCACCCTTGGTAGATGTGTAGTCAAGGAGGTCAGGACGGCCAATGTACGCGTTGATGCTTGCATTATTGATGATGGAAGCCCCTGATTTCATGTGCGGTAGCGAGTACTTCGACAGATAGAAGAAAGGGTGGATGTTGGTGTTGAATGTGTGAACCCATTGATCCCTACCTCGGTTAGTATCCAAAAAAGGGGAGGACGATTAGCACTTTGACTCACTCCGACAGTTCCGAAATGTCGTTCACCATCATCTGGTACGCATGGTTGTTGAACAGGATATCAATGCCCCCCATGGCCTCGACTGCCTCAGAGACAACTTTTTCGCAGTTCTTTCTTTCCGTGAGATCAGTCGGGAAGAGGTGGCACTTCTGGCCTCGCTCCTCTACCAGCTTCTTTGTTTCGTCGGCATCCTTCTGCTCGTCAGGTAGATAGGCAATGAATGAATCTGCGCCCTCAAGAGCAAAGAGAAGAGCAGTTGCTCGACCGATCCCAGAATCTCCTCCAGTGATGATAGCCTTCTTGCCCTTTAACTTCCCGGCGGCCTTGTACTTTGTGAAACCACCCTGACCATCGGGCAAGTCTTCGTATTGTGCTTTAACAGGTAACTTGTGCTCCTTGCCGGGAAATTCCTGATCCGTCACGGGGGGTTTCCAACCTGTGTTCGGCTTAGGTATGGAAATACTTGAGGATTCTTGGAAATATCATGTCCTACCTGTTTGAAACTGTTGAGATTCTGACGACATAGTGACGATAGCAGGTAAGTGGTGAGAATGCTTAGGCGAAGAGTGTGGTGGTCAACAACGAATGTTTGGCCGGAATCCCTTTCGGTTTCTGAGCAGAATTAGATAGTTTTATTATGAACAGAGCCACACTATTTGGAGTTTCGGTTCAAAAGTTGTGTCGATGACTGCTTGACGTGGTTCATCGCGATGATGGGTCTCATTGGGAGTAATGACATCATTGCGAGGTAAGAGCCGCTTTTCGTGTTTGCACCTCAGATGTTCCACGCATCGCTTCAGGACCAATTGCTCCGATGCATAGCGCACAGAAGGCAACGCGGCACGCAGAAATCCTTTCGGACGGTTAACTACTGGCAAACTGGAACGACGAGGACTACGCTTGGCTCGTGGTGCAGTTGCACCAGGCGCTGATTGGCGACCTGGGCAGGCCCCCCACAACCACATCACATCCAGGCGGAGCCGCGATCGTTACCCTCAACTATTGCCTATGTTGGCTTGAAGTGATGCAGAAGCTTTGTTTCAACTTACCCCGATAGCTTTCCTCGAATTTTAGTCATACTGCCCTATTCCTGATAAGCTTGCTTGCCACCCAACTCAGTATACAGGCAACAGGCGCACAGTGCTAGCAGGGGATTAAATTCACTTTCTACGACTACAGAGCAGCACTAGTCTCTTCAGCCGCGATACTCTGAATTTCCTCGAGAACCTTTCCTTCAGGACCGTTGTAGGTATGTTGTATTAATATGCAGCCCCGACAGTTTCTCATTTCCAATTCAGGCAAACAAACGTTCGTAAGCCCACCAGGCCAAACTTAGATCCCGACAATTTGTCAAAGCAGACCCAGTTACGTGTTGGATGTAGCTTCATCACCAACCTTGGGACCGAGAATTCTTCAGACAAGCACGAAACCAAGAATCCAGTACAGAATGCTCCATTTCAGTTTACAATTGGCTTCCACAATGGGTGTATAGTGGCAAATTTGAAGTCAAGCGCGGTTTCTCTTGTAGCAGCACGATCGTTCATGCCGGGATCAAGTCAGTGCGCGGCCAACCCTTTCGAATCTGGTACTGCACACACTTGTGTTGACACAGCTATACAACCACCGACCTTGGGTAACAGTCCATAGTTGAGTATTGGGTCTCGCTAAGATCTGAGACAGATCTCGCACGCGACCCCACAGGCCATTTGAAGGCCCTGTTCCCTCGTGGGAACCACAATGTGACAGCTCAACGGCCGGACGCGCTTAGGGTGGGATTGGATTACTATCACAAATACCTAGACAAGTTGGTGCCCACAAGCTGTAGATTTGAGCCATATATTTGAGTTCATCAACGGAGCAGCTGCTACTTCCAGGTAAGAGCTACTGCCGCACCATCTACCGACCTTGAGTATGGTACGACGATGCCTGCCAAATACGTTGCTTCTTCAACATAAGTGGATAGTGAGAGTAAATTGACTGTCATCAAGTTGCATAGTGGGTAGAAAGACATAATGTGATTTTTGTGGACGCAAGAAAATGGGCTGGTGGTGGAATAATACAGCTACTTGATCATTTTGCCACACAATGAAGGGTGACATGAGTGTCTCTCAAAGTCGAACGAAGCAACTGGGCAATCGTATGGTTCCGGGCTTTCAAGAGAGATGTGACAGACTGACACGCCGGGGAGTGGTTGCTTTTTCCCTTCCACTCACTCAGAGGGCCTGTGCGCGCTTCAGGAACGCCGGGTTGAACCAAGGGACACACATTCCTCGGTATAATCGTAGCTTTATTTTAATTTAAATTGATCAGTCATCCTGCCAAGGGTCTCGCTTAGTCTCTTGGGAGGGGTTCTTTCGAAGCGAGCTATGTGATGAACAATTCCACCGAGCTGCGCATTACCACCAGTTATGCACCCAGCCTGCCCCTCGGTCGACTTTTCTTTTTCCAACGGTAGACGACAAACTTAGGTCTTCACCAAGCACCCTGGAAAGATCAGCGGAGGTGAGGGGAGTCACGATCACATGCATTGCAAATTGTCTCACGCGGCAGATTGAGTCTGCTAGCAAGTATCTGAGCCTGGCTGGACTATAGGTAGCGTAAGTGCCGCACGTTCATACAATGGACTCCTGGTTGTCCTCCAGAAGCAGAATGAACCTTGCTTCACAAGACTTGACATGTTCCATCCCGCCGTTCCGGACTGCAGAAGAAGCATCAACGGGAGCATGGTTCCCAACCAGGGCTCGGGATCTTGGCAGGCAAGAAGGAAGGACTCACTGCGGATATATATCAGAACAAGATTCCTTGACACTAAAACATTGCTCTGCCGTTCGAGATATCGTAAAAAGACGTGGCCGTGTCATTCTCAGGACTATACTAGTGATGACCATGTCAAATCGCAACCTTGGGTTCGACGTCAACCCTGGCGGCACACGACTCGTTATCGGCCAGCTCGTCTTCTTGTTCTTTGCATGGATAGTGTGCAGCATGCGCGCCTACGTCAAGCTATTGATGACAAGGAATGTGCTAATTGATGACTGGCTAATGCTAGTCGGCTTGGTATGTTACCTCTCACACCGATATCTTATGAATATATGGTCCGGCTTACAAATCTGGGCATCAAGCTAGTATACACTGCGTACGCCATCATTGCTGTATGTGGAGTAGCTATGGGAGGAACGGGTAAACACACAAGCGAACTGACGCTGGACGGCGTCGCCATCGCGTTACGAGGATGGTATCTCTGCGAGGTTCTATACGCACCGCTCTCGGGCATCATTCGCACCTCCATTGCAATTTTTCTACTGCGGTTGGTCGTGAAGCCGTGGCACATATGGGTAATCCGAGTCAACCTGGGCATCATATGGGTAACTTCTTTGGTTTACTTCTTCCTTATGACTTTTCAATGTGTGCCGCCCTCCTATTTCTGGGAAGGACCATCCCGCCAAGCTGGGTCAGCGGGTACGTGTATGGATAACAACGTTGTGCCTATCGCCACGATAGTTCACAGTGCCGTTAGTGCCGTATCGGATTGGATGCTAGGCTTGTTGCCGATAGCGATGCTTTGGAACGTGAGCATCAACCGTCGAACCAAAGTCAGCATTGCCATTCTCCTGAGTATGGGACTTGTGTAAGTATCTTCTGTCATCAGATTTGCTTTCGCCTGCTAAACTCATGATGCATTTAGCGCCGGGTTAGCTCTGATGGTCCGCATAGTCTATGTCAAGAAGATTGTAATTTCTGCCGACTTTCTCTACGCGACTATAGACCTCGCTGTGTGGTCGGTGATTGAACCATCGCTAGGGATCATGGCAGGATGTATTGCAACCATCAGGCCCCTATTCAAGCGCGCCGGGTTTGGATCCACGGGCAGCAGACGATACGGGTCGGTGGGTCAGAGCTCGCGCTTGAAGCGATGGTATATCACGCGTCATGTTCGAAAATCCGAAGCCCACCCCAACCAAGTACTTCCACGCTCGGCCGACTCAGATGTGGAGCTCCAACCCAACAGAGCTTCTGTGGAATATGGTGCAGCGCACTTACAGGGGCTGAGCTGGGATGTTGAGGGTGGAGGCCATGAAGCTGCTGAAGTAGCTGATGGGGTTAACGTCAGGACAACAATCGAGGTTGCCTCATCTACGAGGAGCAGAGAAGGACCATTGGCCAGTGAAGGCTGATAGACAAGGCGACTACGAGGATTCAGTTCAAATCTCTGCAAACTTAGATTTCCATCAGATATACAAAGTCCTTGAATCATTAGTGCTTGCGAAGAAGCGAGGCTGACTGAAATTGGTTGCATTCCATTACAATGAGTCTCCACTGTTTCTACATCAAATACAAGTTCCAGTGCCACTTCGCCAGCAACTTGCTTGGAAGTATACCTCGACGACCCTTTCTATACACTGGGGTACGCCCGACGCCGTATTTGGCCGACCCCTCCATATCGCCGTGGCGGACGTCTAAGCTGGACGACGGGTTTGCCGACTTGGGTCTGAATAGAGGCGCGGGGAACCGACTCTCCCCAGGGACCTTCACCAGCTTGTAGCAGTAACCGATCGCTCATGCGAAAAAGCACTTAAAATGATCCTGAACGCCGTGTATTTCCGAATGAATGATCTCTAAATCCCACCTAACCAACGCTCCCGCCCTACAGCGCAATGGCGCCCCTTCTCGACTCCCGCAGGTGCAGCATGCCCTGCAGACCACAGAACACCAGGAAGCCCTAAACATAGATATATCAGCACCACGGCCCAGCGGGGGACCCCGTCATGTAATGCAGTACGTACCGCATAGACGATCACGGCGATGAAGATGGTGCCCGCGATCTCGCCACGCGCGTCGAGCGCAGGGTCCTCCACATCGCCTGTCATCTCATGATGTCCGCTTCGAAACAGGGCGCCGATGACCGAAAGGATGAGGATCGCGAATGCCGAGATGACGACGCTGCGGAGATGTTGGTCAGTCCCTGTTGTGAACGCGGATGCAGGTGTGCCGGGAGTCCTTACCAAGACCATGCTTGCATGGAACCGACAACGGGCTTCATGGCTGCGGAGCGGTATCAGAACGATCCGGGGTTCGAGTGGAGGGAGGGCGAAGAAGCTTCCTGGTCGTCGTCGGTTGTCTTGCTGATGCCGCGATAGCAAAGTGTTGATGATGCTGGGCTTTAGAAGCTGGTCGTCGGCGATGAAGTCAGTCGGTTCCGGAGTGTTGGGTGGCCCAAGCTCGCTCGGCCTTGGGTGACGAGGTGGGCCTCGTGCTCCTTGCTGTGCCATCAGCCTCATAAAGCCAGACAGAGCACAGCGCGCTCGAGTTACCACCGGACTCGTTCAATCAAAGTGCAGACCAGCCGTTTTGCGTTCACGATCCGTGTATCCAGTCAACAATGCTACAGCATGGGGAGGCCTCGTCCGCATCTCGGTCTGCTTCTTTTGTTGGATCCCTGCGCACTGTATCTTGGTCGCACAACACTACGGCGGTTGCTGCCGGCCACACCCCATTCTCACATCTTCTCCTCTACTTCCATGTAGTGGCCGGACAACAAGTCGCTTGAACGGCAGAGGTCACGACAATAGGAAAGTAAAATTTATTGGGAGAGCCCCGCACTGTAGCTCGGGTGAGGTTCTTGTCCTGCTATTGAAAAGTGATCATGTGCCGAGAAAGGGTCCATGGCAGCCGCGTCTACAAATGTTGTTCCAGAGTCGATTCTTTGGTGCTTGCCTTGAACAACATATGCCGCCTTAATTAAATTGTCTTCATCTGCTGCCGCTTGCTGTCACAGGACTATATCACCCGATGAGTTCCTCCGATGCCACATGAGTAGCTCATTTTGACGGGATTCCATAGATGTAGAGCACAAGACTGAAGACCTCATTGGCAAGGCTTGAGTACAGTTGATGAACGTCGATCGCGAAGGCACAGTCACCTAGTTCATCGAAATGGCCATTCAATGTTTCTGAAACGGGGCATCTCGCTTGGATCTACGCAAGGAACGTCATCGCATAACGTTGTAGACTTGGGTCGGTCGGCAAGCAGAGGGCAGCCGCTTGGCGGCAGTGGCCGGAAGGGGCAGCTGCATCGTGCATAGCAAGACAGCCAAATGCTCAGTACACTTGCACCAATACCCAGGTATCTTGACAACCCGTCCACTGCAATTCCCACCTATTTGGGGCATTGAAGAGCGCCGATGCGGGTTATTGTCTTAACAGTCACGGGTACCGGCTCCTGTTCTCCCGGGCGAGTTGCACCACGACGCAAGAGCCCAGTCACCGACTGGGCAGCTTGTGTAAGCGGGCAGCATGGGCAAGGCAGGCAGCCAAAATAAGGGCTGACAAGCAGAAATAGAACTGCCAAATTTAGGCTGAGATTTCCAAGGTTGTCTCCAGGGTCTGTGAAATCCGACTGTAGGCGCCAATCGAAAGGTGTCATTGGCGAAGAGCGGCCGGGCCACTGTCGTGGAACACTGGCATCGATGGCGCAGGCCCCTCGGCAGCAACGGCGTGGAGATGCTTGGCGCGAAACAATCGCTGTTGAAACATTTCGCAGGAGAGAGCCCGGCCATCCGGTTAGGTTCCTCCCATCAGTGAGACAGCCAGGCGACCTTGCCAAGAGGCTGTTGGCTGACAGGCTCAACCAAACAACCAGCGGGGGGGCTGAGCAGCTGCAGCCCCGCGAAAGCGATGGCTGGCTGGTACGTGCAGGTCTAGTTCTAAGTGCCCTTGATCCAGGGATGCCGTTGCCAGGGTCCAGGGGCACTTACAGGGAGGGGATAGTTCAGATCTGCGTCAACCAAGCGGCAGACCAATTTCAGTCTTCAAGCAAAGTTGGAAGTCGATCACCATCATCACACGGCACTGTTACCCGCATCCACTCTCATATGACTCCCTTGTTGGAAGACGCAAACATCTATCAAGTTTGTCCTTGGCTATCAACATGAATCACGCCAGGTACTATGGTACGCGTCCATGGCTCGGCACACAGGGAGAATGTCGTTGACCTCGTTGGCCCCCAACCTGGCAAGCTACATGTTGCCAAGTTCTCCGAAAAAGCGCCCGTGGCTGGCTGGCTGACTGACTGGGGCTGGCTGTCTACAGCACAATTTCAGGGCTAACCTGCAGTTGCTATAGGCTACAAACGAGTGTGAAACGAATGTTGTACTTTGAGCTCTCAGCCTTCGTGTCCCGGACCGGCCTCAAGCGGCTTCTGGATCTCAGGTACAGGTAGGCACGCTCGGACGTCAGATATGTGTTCTCAGTTCAATTCATCTGATGTCTACCACACCGCACTCGTAGGTAACCTGGATTGGGTCGACGGCCTCAAAAGGCCAAACGACCAGTCTCAGGGCATGCTCTGCGATGTCAAAGCCAAGTGAGCCATGGTGAGGTCTGCTACGTCCGCCAGTTCGGATAAAGGCCAGGGGCAACAGGCTTGGCATCCGTTCTCCATTAAGACATTGATTGACTTGCGCCTCGCTTGTGATTCGTCGGGACTTGATTTCGACTGGCCTTTTCTTTGTGCTATGCATATTACGGTAGCATCCTTCGTCAATCGATGATGCAAGGATCCATAGTGCTCTCATCATTGCGCCTAGATCTTGCAGCTGCGGCCAATTTCCCCAGCCTCGCCCCCCATGGGACAAAGAAACCGGTAGGTACCTGACCCGCCATGTGTGCAGCATTTCGGGTGGGCGTTGTTGGATAGCCTAGGTTGTGCTTCGTTGTCCCGTGAATATAAGTCCTGCCGGCCCCCCGATGCTTTGGCCCAGGTTGTCCGTCCTTGCTTTCCCGTTCTGTCAGTAGATTCACCCGTCCCTTCCCATTGATTTACACTGTCCATCCCCATCGCTGGGACCATTCACTTCTCTTGTCAAGTATTACAAGCAGCAAAAGCATCCTCATTTACTCACCGCGATCCTAAGAACCATTCCTACTGAACTGATCAGCAACTGTGCCACGCTCCATCAGCTCGATATTGTCACCTAGTTCTACGGAACACACTTCCTAGTCCTCGAAGATACTGCAGTAACCCGGAAGCTCGGCAATATGCGTGTCTCGACAATCGCGTCCCTCTCGACCCTCCTGGCCGGCAACGTCCTTGCGCAAGGCCCGGTCACTGGTGTAAGTCATACCAAGATGTTCCTGATACACAGCACTAAGCAAGTGCACACAGAAACTTGGTAACGCTACTGTCGTCACCAACAACCCTGTCGGCAAGGAGATCAGAGCCACTCTCCCCGAGCAGGCATTTTGGAAGACTGGTAGCCTCGATGGCAACGTCAAGGGATCCATCTCCGTCAAATCGAGTCCCAATGGTGTTGGCGTTGAGTACACTGTCAAGTTCTCTAACCTCCCCAAAGAGGGCGGCCCTTTCAGTAAGTCAAATCAATGGCGCTCCACTTGCGAGTTCATTGCTAATCTCACCCAGCGTACCACATCCATGACAAAGTAGTTCCCGCGGACGGCAACTGTACCGCGACCGCAGCCCACCTTGACCCTTTCGTTCGCGGCGAAGACCCCGTCTGCGACAGTAAACTTCCCGAGACCTGCCAGGTTGGTGACCTCAGCGGCAAGTATGGAAAGATTACTTCGGACCCGTTCGAGGCAAAATATCACGACGAATTCAGCTCTCTCAATGTCGGCGTGAACAACTCCATCCCCGACCGTAGCTTCGTCATCCACTTCTCGAACAAGACGAGAATCTCCTGCGCCAACTTCGCTGGATCTGGCTACGGCAACAGCACTCCAACCTACGCCACGACTGGGGGGATTAAGCCGACCACTCAGCCATCCTCGCAGCCCTCGTCATCCCCGATCACTGCCGGTGCGGTTACTCTCGGTTCCGGAGTCCTAATCCAGAGCTTCTTCGCTGTCGGCGTTGCGGCCGCCTTTCTGGTCTAAGCCGGTCAACACTGGAAGCTTGAATGATCAGAGCACAATTTTGTATTCTCAGGAGATGCTCGGTTTTTGCATGGGATGGCGTTTGGTTGCTGGGCATGACACCCAATTTGTCCTGTGTTCAAAACTCTATTATTCGTAATTAGAGATAATGACTTCATGTGTGCAGGTTAGATGATGGACTGGAAAGACTTCTTTACCGGGAAGACCACCTGCAAATTTGGCACTAATTTGTTGATACTGGCCAAAAAGAATTAAATTAAAAAATTCCGACACAGCTGAATTGTTTCCACTAACAGCAAAGAGACCGTGATCTATGTTGTCTGTGCACATACTCAATTTATTCTATCCGTTCTGCTATCATCTACCGTTGCCTGCCATGAAAGTCCCGGCATTCCTTGCCGCACGAAGCTGGCTAGGAAACCAGGTATCAAGATTGCTAGGCTTGGTACCGACAGCTCCCATATACACGCTAACTTAGACTTTGTCCTGTGTAATAGTTCAAGGGGACGTCGGAGAAGGAGCTACCCCTGAACTAAACCCTTCAAATAAGCTCGGACGATCTGCGACGGGCCCCGTGCCAAGAACCGGCGTTTCATGTCAAACTATAAGGCTGGCTTCCGGCTTGTCGGTTGCCGCGTAGAACGCCTTCCGGTCAAAGCTCCATCAACGCCTCCCAAAACGAGTAGCCCACAGCCATTCGCCTCGTCGACAGCGACAGAGGGGCCAGGAAGGCAGCGTGGAACCCGGGACAAGTATATCGATAACCGAAAGCTCTCACGAATGATGTCTGTTTTCCTGCAGCAATCACATCTTGGGGTCTCATTAGGGTCTAAGCTTATGGGGTCATCCCTCTGTACGCACTGTAACATTAAAACAGGAGTGGGATATGTACGTGCTGTAAGGTCACCGGTGAAGGAAGCTCATCTTGGACTCTGTGACTGTGTGAAGGTTGATTTACGCGTGGGGTTAGCGTTGCATCATATGTTCGTTCAAGGGTCACTGCAAGACCACGTTTGGTGTGGTCACCAATTGGTAATTACCCCCCAAATCAACCACGACCAGCGCTACCAGGGCTCAACGAGAAAGTAGCTGCCACCACTCCACGATACTGCTTGACGTCTGCGCATTGCATGGTCGTATTGTCAGCTTTGGACCAGCAAAAGTTGCAAGGCCCATGCCGCGGAAATGCTGGCGGTATGCAGCGACCCGCGAGGATGTGGTGTTAATGGTTCGCAAGGCACATATAGTGCTTGCCCGGGTGCCATTGGTCATGTACAGATCCAATCAAGAGTACATGGCGAGCGTTGAGGGGACGTTCGTAACCTGTGCATGCAGGGCGCTCACCTGATAGTAATGGCCAACAAACCAAAGAACGTCGTTTAGGCACTGTCTTGTTCTTTCGACGTCAGTTGTTTCCCCTGCGACCCAGCGCTTATGGTTATGGGCCAATACCAACCACAGCTGCCGGCCGTAATTCCCGCCCACACCAGTTGCGGCTTGAGAATTCCGAGGCTCCTACCAGTTGTTCAATTGAACACGATGGTCCAAACTTGGCTTTGGCTTGAAAATATGGCCGGCGATCAATGCTCCAAATGGCCGTTCACAGCCAGCCACCTCGGGAGATGCAGGGGTCTGACGGTCCCCTTGCTTCGCAAAAGTTTCCTAAGCTGAACCCGGCAAGGACGATGTTCATCAAAGGCAATACTCGGTTCATGAGGCCGGGGAAGCCTCCGGATCTTCTAAAGTAAACTAGATAGCCAAGACGTTGGTAGGTTAAGCAATTATTCATAGAGTAGTTGGACGTATGTGATAAGCTGTTTCTGAAATTTGGGAATTACAGTCTACGATAAAGGTGTCAAGTTTTACCTCTTCAACAACTGATCTTTACAAAAGCCATGGACCAGTATAGAGACACGCTTCAAGCCCATTAGTGAGAGCGCATGACTTGGGTAAAATCCATCGCCTATTTCCATTGGAGCCTTGCCAAGAAGCCTCGATCAGACACATCCGCAATAGACCCTAATAGACCATAGGTGAGGCCGTCCCGATTAGGCGACAGGGCCTGTCTACAAGGTGTCATTCGCTCTCTGTTCCTAGGATCTTCTTATTTGGGTTGAGAGTGCATGTTACCCCGGTCTGGTCACATCTCCGCAAGAGTCATCGAAGCTTTCCTGTTGGATGGCGCAGCGTGTTGAATTTCCGTGTCAATCAGGAGACGAGATGGGGCCATGCCTGATGCTATCCGTCCAAGGTTGTAAAGCGATATCCACTGCACCCTAATCAGCTCTGGGTCTCCATGTGGTGAGTCGCGAAGAGAATTCGACCTTGTGTATTGTTGACTATCGTTTGGTGTTTTTCAAATTAATTTGATGTGAGTAGTTGTCCTTGAAGCTGACCCGAAGGTTTCGTCTATGTAATTTGGCTCGTCAATGCTAAGATGACCTGATGGCTGTAACTCACAACATCGTTGGCACATCATAGTATGACGCCTCCCAGCAATGCCACCGGAATGTGTGTTAGTTGGTACAGCCGGTCACGCAATCAGGCCAATGATATATTTAGGAGGCTCTTCTGGCAAGCGAATCAATTACCAAGACAGCGTTCGGTGTAGAACACCTATCGAAAAGTGTGCAAGACGTTTCATTGTGGAGAGCGATGACGAGCCCGGAACTGTGGGTAGCTCAAAGGTGGGTGAGACACTTATACCCGGATGCGGCTTAGGCATCTGATGATATCTGACTGAGATCATATAAATATTACAACTAGGCTTAGTCTGTGTGCTATACGAGTGGTGCTTGGTGGCGGCTTGCTGCTTACACTGGTAACTTTCCTACGGTTTCAATTCTCTTCTACCAGTACAGTATCCTGAGTTGAGGGTACCCCAGCAGGTAAGATTGGCCAAGTGAGTACTGGCGCTATCTGTGTGGTAGCAGAAGGCCCCATTTTAAATACTATATGTAAGGCCAATCTCGCGTCCGTTTGCATTTAATAGTCAGGAAATTATCACATCACTATTGCGCCCCATATATGAGCATAACCTCTTTTGGAATGAAAGACTGTGACACTGAGAGATAAAAGGCCCCTCCACGTCGTCGTCGAAGCGTTATTTTTAGCTTCCACTTGAGAATCATCAAGCTTATCAGAAATTCACCATGAAAGACACCTATGGCGACAGAGTGGAGGATATACGCCTAAAAGAGTATCCTCACATGAAACATGGTGTGTAACTCATTTCATCATGCTCTCGAGCACAGAAGCTGACATAGTCATCCAGGGGTTTACTTAGATCGTGAGTGTTGACTACTGCCTTGAGCTTTGGCGTCTGTCTTCCAAGCTGGAACCACAGATTTAGGCCGCTGGCCATCCCAAAAGGAGAATTTATGGTTCTGTTTGCAGCGGAGGATTTTACTCACCAGACATGTTAACAGATAGCGGTGCTACGATGTACGCTAAATCAGCGATAGAAGGATTTACACACAAGATGGCGTCTAATCTCTAGGGTGTAAGCCCTTCCTTCTTTTGAGCCTTCGAAATGCACAATCATATGTACTAGAAAAGGGGCTTTAGGTCTCACCCTTGCTACGGCGATCTTGTATTTGCTAACTTTGAGCTTTTCAGAATCCCCATTCGGAGAATCTTCCCGCCAAGCTCTCGGGCACGATGGTTGACGAAGTACGACAAGATATGTTGTATTTTCTAGGTGCGGATCCAAAGCATTTCGACCTGGTCTTTGTTGCCAACGCAACAGCAGCCATTAAGCTCGTGGCAGAGTCTTTCAGAGATCTCGCTGAGAAGTCCCAATCCGGGCGCTTCTGGTACGGATACCATAGAGATGCACATACTAGTCTAGTTGGCGTGAGAGAGTACACGCATGGGCGACATCACTGCTTCGGAAGTGACACAGAGGTCGAGAGGTGGCTACAATCTCCCGGCACTGCTGGCATAAATCACTTCGGAGAGAGTGACCTTGCTCTATTCGCGTATCCAGGCCAGTCAAACATGTGTGGGAGGAGGTTGCCACTGTCATGGAATGGCCACGTGAGACATTCAGAGCATCTACAGAACACATGTATGTAACCCCTCTTAATTCTCTGTCTCCTGACTTCCGGCTCAACACAGACATCCAAGATACCCTGTTTGATGCGGCTGCTTTGGCCATGACAAGTCCCATGAACAAGGTCTTTGGCAACGTTGATGAAGCCCCTGACTTCACTTGCTTATCGCTCTACAAGATTTTTGGGTTTCCAGATCTTGGTGCGTTGGTCATTAGAAAAGAGTCGGGTCATATCTTAACACTGAGGAAATACTTTGGTGGAGGTAAGCCAGCCATCAATACGTGGACCTGCGTTAACTAATGCAAGTAACTCAAAGGGACTGTGACCATGGTGGGCACGATGGGCGGCCAGAGTTGGCATCGGTCGAAAGGGCCACAGGTTCTTCCGTATAGGCTTCATGATGGCCTCGAAGATGGGACACTCCCTTTCCACAGCATACTTGCGTTGGGTGAAGCCTTAACCGTCCACAGGAGGCTTTTCAAGTCTATGGAATTCATCTCGATACACACCTCGCGTCTGACTGCCCGCCTTTACAGTGGTCTTGCTCGGCTGCAACATGTTAATGGTCGCGCAGTCTGTCGTATATACTGCGGAAGTGCACAAGGCGTGAGCGACTCAGCCAAACAAGGCCCTGTCATTGCTTTCAACGTCAAGACCGCCAATGGTCAGTACGTACCGTATACAGAGGTTGAGCGTTTAGCAAACAATGCAGGAATATTCATCAGGTCTGGTGGTAGGTGCACAAAATCTGGAAGTTACATAGGAGACTGACTTATGGCTTGCAATGCGAAGGCGTGTGCAACCCAGGCGGCATATTCTCCGCTCTGGGGTATGAGCCATGGATGACGGAGAGGGCTCTGTCTGCTGGCCATCACTGCGGCCCGCATGGGATACCAGTCGTACATCGGCTACCAACAGGGCAAGTTACTTATTTACAGCGATTGCGCATCCAAGGCTGATATTTTGAATCCATAGCATTGTTCGGGCAAGCGTTGGTGCAATGACGACCACACGAGAGGTTGACACATTTCTGGGTTTCATGCAAGCGACCTTCATTGATCCTCCAGTGGATCAGATAGACTCCACGCGGACTACACTTTGCTCGTCAGGTAGCGACGAAGGAGCCAATGATGAGCCATCTTCCGCGTCTTCGAAGTGGGCAGTTAGGATATATTCGTTGCGAAATTTATTTCGACGAGATAAGACGGCAGTCCGATAATTGCTCTTGTCCAGATCGACTGATGAGAAAATGTACTGACTAGAGCGAGGATGACTACAAATGGCGATACCCAAAACTTTAACCCAGGTGAACTGAGGATACAGTTTGAACGGGACGTGGCAAGCGGTTTGACAATGGTTTGATAACTGTATTGCCCCAAGATCAATAGATGAATGCACCGTCGGGGGTATTGGATTATTTACATCGGACAACCATCTTGTATTTCGTGTGCTTTCTCAAATGGAACTCAGAAGAGTCAATTTAACCACCACATATAGCAGTGATAGAGGCGAGGAACGCTAGGATGCTATCGACTGACACAGGGACCTCCACATCGCGAAGAGACCGCCTCCCCCCAAGGTTTCAGAGCAGCAACGCAGTCAATGGCTTCCGGAAAAGTTAGACCTCAGCGTCAACAATAAGTGGAGGTCAGCGTGATGCAGTCAAGTCATCAACTAGGATTGGGTAGGTGGGCTGGCAGCAAAGAGTGGTCCTGAACCCGTGACAAGTGTTGCGCGGTACGTATCAACCCCAGGTCAAGTCAATGCTTTCTGTGGCAAGGGATTGTTCTCCTCGTGAATACGAAGGGAATAGGCTTACGTATGTGCTTTATGGCCAATAAACCCACATGTAGCCAATTAGCGTATAGAAGGCGTTCTGAGGATATCAAACTTGTCATCGTAGCTTGGTTTTTGTCTCGGTAACTACTGCAGTCCACTGCATTCCGCTAGACCATGGAAAGTTTGATACTGTGCCACTGTCTATATATCGCCTAATGCCCAGATCCAGCTCCGGCAAGGGAGAACACTAAAGTATCATCGTAAGACACTTATGTCAAAGGTCCCGCCGCCACGTGTATTCCCTTGCTGGTAGATACCACCCTGGCGATGGAGATCTCCGTTCGGCTGGGAATCTACACCAAGGCCTTGTCATGTTTCTGCAACGGGAGTATCTCGAGTCGCACATTAGTTTTCTCGAGGAGTGGGATTTAGTCGACAGGGAACCCAGGTAGATTACACTCGGGACATACTTCCGAAAAGCCCCCATCCGTTCATTGTTATTTCAGCCTACACATTACCAAAGGCTCCTTGGAAGTCCCGCCAGCATAGAGCCTGTGACCATCTAGCTACGGTAAGTGAATGCACTCAGCTTTACTGATTGGAGCTGGGCAACATCAAAACTACCAGTGCCGTCATCCCGTTCGAGTTCCATGTGGAAAACTGAAAGGGGGGTTTGCAGTAATCTGCGGTCCCTTGATGCATTATGAAGTGGCATGGCTGATGATCCCTTACCTGTTCCAACCTCACTAGTCGAGGGACGGACAGGACATATCCGTATGGGAGAGGCTTATTCCTTGTTTTTAGTTTTGCTTTTCTCACCGTATGCTGTGGCGTTACCTCACGGAATGACGGACATCTCTCAAGCGGTCAGGCCTGTCCTGATTAGGAGGCCCCCTCTAAATAATCAGGACAAAATCCTTCCCAGTCTCGGGCCGCTCACCGATTTTCCAGATGCTGGTGCAATGAATTGGCGAACGCCTCTCCAGGGGTATAGATCTCTGTTCGCATTCTGGCTAAAGGGTAATCAATCCAGAACTCAGAGAACAGGAAGACCTAGGTAGACTGGGGTTTGGAGAAGTCGGCAAGCAGACACGAAGGCACAAGTAAGGTAAGGACCTTGCTTTGTCGACAAGAGTTGTACGTGTGCCATGGTACGTACAGCACAACAGACACCCATCACCAGCCTCGTCACTTTGTGCATTGCCTTGGCGAGAGCAGGTGTCATGCAACGATGATTGACCAACGCGCTGATCTGCCGCATGTCACCAGGAGTTCTTCCGAGGAGCCGAGGCCGTGCGCCAAGGACGTCAGGGGACGAACGATTATGCGACGAGCACAACATCCTAACGGGGCGCTCTGGGTTCTCCCGCTCCCGTTCCCAAACAACCAGACAGGCTGCCGAACCTCGGTGCGGATGGCGCAGGATTTGCCCAGGTCTTGTAAGGCAAACTGCGGACCAAAGCAGGCGCCAAATGCAGCTCTAGGTTCGATCTCGGAGATAGTATGCTGCATACCACACCGCACCGCCTATAGAAGTTGGTGGTTGGTGCATACATGGAGTGGTGGGGGCCACTAGCCGGCGGCGCCGCAGAGTCTTTCTCCCCAAGATCCCAGTTGTAGCGGGCTTCAACTTCCAACGCTAGTTGCCTTCTCAAGTGGCTACTCTGCATTTGTATTTCCTTTTCTATTCAGAGTCACATATAAGGTCATTACAGTTTCCCTCCTTTATTTCCGCTTTGGAAGGCCCACCAATACGAAACCAACGCCGCGCCCATTGGGCATGAGCCATAGAAAGGGTCCAATCGGCATACTGGGCGTTCTACTAACACGTTAGACCCAAGTGCTGGCCTGTCGACCTACCAACAGTTGAGCATTCGGCGAAGAAGCAAGGAGAGTGCTGCATGAAGATCGAGGACTTTACTCATGCGATGTGGCTTCACATCCCTTACTGGATTTCTGAGGATAACTCGCGAGGGGAGTAATCGCTAGGATCGCAACGTTGAAGTCGAGTTTGATCGCCGACCACTAGATCCACGCGACTTGTAAAGCTTCAGCCGCATCTCGCACATCGTGCAAACCCAGGATGCGATTTGCCAAGTCAACCCTGATCGGTGCCACAATGAGGCCTCCCCATGTTGCACATCACCTGATCGACACCCAGGATGAGGATACCTACTGTGCATAACAGATCGGGTTCGTCTTATCTTGCAGGGAGACTATGCACTTCCTTCTAGAGCATTACGATCTTGAGCACTAACTCGTGGATCACGCAGCCATGCTGTTACATGACCGTCATCAGACGACAGGCAGTTCGGACCCGAGTGGGGTTGTTGTCATGTAACTATTGCAGGCCACATCCTATAGCAAAACCAGCAAAGTTCAGATGCTGGGAAGGAGTGTGAACTTAAAGCTCATCCGACTGGTGTCTGTTACAGGTGGACGATCCGAATCGCAAGCGGGTACAGCCGAGTGCATGCAATTGTCTGCTAGTCACAACGGACTGCGACGTCGGATCCCTACGTATGTGACCTGCCGGTAGTGCGGTTACCACTGCAGCGTTGCATAATCTGGCGATCAAGATCTGGCTTCGAACGCCTCCAGGCATTTACCAACCTGCTGGAACCAGTGCCATCTGTTGCTAGTACCGTCCGAAGTTGCTCTGATGTATACACTAGGCCAATGCTTCGCTTCGGGTCGCATGCAGCAGCAGAGATTTGTGCCGCGGCTAGTGTGCAAATTGAGCAACGCTGTATAACTAGACCTTTGCTGCTCAGAAACCGTATTTCTCAAACAGGCTTCGCGGCCCAAATATGAGCTCTTTCTTGGGGGCACTCTGTACTCGCTGACTGGCAACGCGAATGGAAAATGCGGAGCACGTAGACGACGTCAGAAACTGACGACGTGCGGATAAAGCCATTCGGTCCATCTGTGGTCGAGCCATCCATATCACATAGATTAAATGTCAGGAACAGGTAGTGTCACTACAGGCAGGACGGGTTAATCCAGAAAAAGGGAAGCTTGGTACGTACCCTAGTACGCCAGAGGCTCATCGGCAGAAGCAATGGTAAATGTATCTTCCCGGGTTGCCGCCGCGTCCCAGTCTCTCCAATGGAGTTCCTCCAACGCGATGTCACTGGGGCCATATCTCTGAGCATAAGAGGATGGCAGTTGTGAATCGGAGCAAGGGGTGCCATCTCGAATGGCAGCATGGCAGGCAAGGCCGATTTGGCAGGGTTTCTTCATCCGATGTGGGTGCTTTGACACCTTTCTGGCGCCGGGATCAACAGGCTTTGACAGGCCTTGAGCAGGGGTTCAGTTGCAGAATTGGGAATTGACCTCATGGAAGAAGCCCTGCACCCTGAGCGAGATGTCGAACAAAATAGACTTCTCAAAAGAAATGAAGCGAGGGCCAGTAACCACCGACCAACAGCCACGCACCAGCGTGACACCACAGGAGGCTAAGGAATGTTATTCTTAGCTTGATACTCAAAATACAAGCGCTTCGGCCCCCAGTATCACCCGTGGTCACATTTGGCAAGTCGATGTTACGGTAGCGCGTCCTAGTCCAGGGTCCCAACCTGGGGCGATCTGAGGCACATCGATCTTAAAAAGATCAGATGGAAGGGATATATCATGATGCGGGAGTTCAGTACATCCGGCAAACTCCACACGAGTTTATCTGGCACATCCAGTACCCAAACATAGCCTGTCGGGTACCTCTCACCCGCATAATCGTCGTCTAGGCACATGGAGACTAGCTGGTGTCCATTGGCTATTATGGGACGACCGGTTGTAATAGAACAGGTACCTAGGCGACTGCGAAGGATTACCCCATGGTCTCGAGCAACCGTATGATCGATATCAAGTCGGTTAATTCTTCTAGATGCTCGTTAGGCCCGGACATCATAGATGAAGGGGTTGCTGTAGAAGCAAGAACCTCTCAGTCTCTTAGCCTTTCCAATGAGCTACTTTGTTGTGATTTTCCTGCGGTTTCAGCCCTCGAAGTCGAGGCAAAAGGATAATAGGAAATAGTCAGTCCAAGTTCCAGGGATCTGCCAGCTTTCTTGCCATAACAATGTATCCGTCCAAGATGCACATTTACTAGACTTTTATCGGATCTTGAATCGTTTCTTTTTCTTCTCGCTCCTTTGCTGCACGTTGTGGGCACTGCTGCTCCCAGAGTTTTCAGTTGAAAATTGAGCACGCATAGTCCCTGTCATTGCTCTTCGGGACGGACCTTACTACCTATCCGCAAGGAAAGTCCGCCGAGGGGCGCAGGAGTCGGACCAAGAGCCTACACCATACTCTACAGGACTCTTGTATCTTGTGCAACACCGCTTTCTTTGCCTTGAGGCTTGCAAAGCCATCCGACGTCAGCCAAAAACGGACCGCTCCTTCACTGCTTTTGGATAGACCACACGCGCCTCCCTATCGCGTTACAACAACAAGGTCTTCGAGCTTTTCCTAGTTCGAAACATAGGCTTCTGAGTGGCGTAAATCCAATAACCGTCGTCGTCTACTCATTCGTTACGTGATACCGAGTCTCAATTGGATCTTCGCCGCCAAATAGCAAATCCCAACCTATAGCATTGGAGAGAAAAGAAGAACAGCGTTCGCCCTTTATTAATCTTTTCGACTCTCCTTTGCGAATAGAAGTTTGGGACGACCATACTCCTCGACCCTGCAGATGGTGCTTCAGACTTGATCAAGCATCAACTCCGCTTCCGAGCCGCCCTGGACCAACGCTTCCAAAAACAGATATCGCAATATCCTTGCTGTCCAGTTCAGCAGTGTCCCAGGTGCAGCGATTTCTCAAGTGTGGAATAACGCATGCGCTGTCGTATCATACACCAAGTCGTGCCGCGTCAAGCAAGTATCCTTGCCACTGCTCTCTCGAATGAGAGCTGGGTTATTTTTGTGTGGCCGCTTCCAAAGTCTGGTTCCAGTACTGCAACCGATCTCGCGAACTCTATTGGCTCGTTTCTCTCACTCTCCGCCGTCCTTCGGTGCATTTCCCCTCGAGGATATCCTCTTCCAAGCTTCCAGGTCCTAGGGGACAACCAGGGCATCTGGCGAGGTTCCTCCAAAAGAGGTGTGCCATCTCCATACACCGGAATACCAACAGCCCGAAGTTGCAGAAGTTTGGTATTAGAGGCAAATTGCCACTGCCCATCTTCTGCAAGAGTGTGGGCGGAATATCACTCCTGCTCCCCTAAGGATCCTTGCGCGACGCAGTATCGTTCATGGCCATCGCCGCTCCGCTACCATCCCAGGCACAGGCGCTCTTCACCCCGTGGGGAGCTACCATTAAAACCAGCAGTGATCCTCGCAAATCTCTAGGTCTGATGACAGACATAATGTCGTATCAGTATCCGCCTCCGCCGCACCACCATGGCGCCGAAATGGACCTTCACCATCCCGGCTACCTGTCTAGCTATCCAGCCTCGGCCTCTTCCTCCATGGAGGTAAGAAACCAACAAGTCCCGACAGTACCTCCCGCACAGCCCGTTATCCCATCTCGGGAAAGCATCATGACCCTCGCCCAACGCCGAGATTCTCTGTCCAAAGCCTTCAAGTTGAAAAGATACAAATCGACCCCTAACGTGAGGCCACAGGGGACAAACGAAGCCGACCATGGCCAATTCGGTCCTGCCGGCGATAAGAAGCGTAACAAACTCGGCTACCATCGAACTTCGGTTGCCTGTGGTAAGTTGCTACCTCCCTGACCATCACTGATTGCTTGGTGGAAGTGTGGCTGAATCGCAAGGATGAAGGCCATTGTCGTCGCAGGAAGATCAGATGCATGCCACAGCCAAACGACGTTCAAGGTCGCTGTGCGAACTGCATCCGATTGAAGAAAGACTGTAGTTTCTATAGTGTTGGCCAGGAACCCGCTCCCGTTCCCGGACAAAAGCCAGGGGCAAGGCCGCCCGCGGGAACTAAGATCGCTTCGGCATCATCTTCACCCGCAGTCGCGACCGGGCACCCACCTGATGTTTCGTCCCATCAGTCATATGCGCATCTGGCGACTATCCCCTCGATCCAGAACATGGGTCCTCCCTCCTTGAAGCCGGAAACATACCCAGCAGATCCTAAAAGTAAGTGACCCTCCCTGGACGTTCCAAACACGCAAGCTTCTTGCGACAGGTGCTAAGAGACCTCAGTGTCTTCAAGTGCTTCCAGTGGTAGAACCTTCGATTATGGTCACGGTGTGGCCAACTGGATCCCAGCAGACACGAGTCCTAGCTCCGTGAAGGCTCCTGGGGATGCTGGCGCTTCATGGAGAACCTACCCGCACGAATCCCCTATAACACCGGCCTTCTCTCCCTACACTCCTCAGCATCATTCTTCCGGCTGGCCAGCAGCGCCACCAATTGGCACACCAGGAGGAGGCGATGTCGCCAGTTCTCGACCCGAAGACGTGGCTTGGGCGCCGTATCCAGGGGCACCTCCTGCAAGGTCCTTATCTTACGGAGGCGAAGCCTCGCAGTCGTACACACCTGCGTCTCAGATAGGAGAACCGCCCGGCAGGTCCTACGACAGAAGAGCATCTGCTGCCTCCACCATGTATCCGACACCCATCACCACGTCGATTCCACACGTTGCAAGCGTACCAGGCACCACCATGGACCCTCATGCATCGCTTTCAGCCGGTGCTATTCCACCCTCGAGCTATGGAACCTGGCAGCAGCCATATGCTTATTCGAAATCCGGTGACGGCTACGACGCCTGGTATGGTAACACAGGCCATAACGAGTCTTCGGGTGGCGATCATCCTCACAGCGGCTATTACGGAAGCAGATAATCCCTCGGGACTTTGTATGTCAACAGCAAGGGTAAATGTTGCTTGCCTCTCGCATCGAGCCATGGACGCACTTACTGGACAATGTCTTGAGGCAGAGGCATTGCTTTTTCGAAGGCAACTGACGTTGTATTATCTCACAAAATTTTCTTTGTTCTTGAGTCGGCTTTGGGGAGGAGCAGCGTGCATGATAATTTGAAGCATTGAAAGGGGGCGATCGGAGCCCAAGCGCAGCACAAATTTGCGACGCATCGCGATGCGAAACAGGATCTTCTACGCGGGAACATCAAAGCCTTTCAGTCCCCAACCGCGCCTGAGATTTCCTAGGACCTGGAATCGGTCAGACCCTCGAATGAAACACTCGACTAGCTGCGCGACCACAATCGCAGGTTCGATACAGCCAACCACTTTTGGCGCCACCCGAAATTACCGTTCCCGAGACGCAGACGATTGAACGGCGCGAATCGACGACGAGAAAAGGTCCAAGAAACTCTGTACTGGGATGTACTTCTATGGGTTGCAAATCGTGGGAGCCGCCTTCAGATGGGACGTCCTTTGGTCTCCGAGTGTAGGCGTATAATCATGTGATTGATTGTGACTGCTCAGGCCTAAGACGGACTAAGACTCGCAGTCCCGTACTCAAAAGAAAAATATCTACAGAACGGGAGATTGTGCAATAAAGACAGGGAGAACATGTCTATTGTGGAATACTCTTATGCGGAGAACCTCGCCGACGTCGGGCCTGAGCGACGTCAATGGTCAGGATGTGATCAACTTCGGCCAATGGTGCCAGCTACAGCCACTTATAGAGGACGTGTCTGAGCTGAGGGGATTGGTCCAGTAGAGAAGATGCAGAGGCGGCCAGGTTCTGGGTGATCCCGTCCTATCGGTCCCGTCCTCGGTAGTCGTTCTCCCGCCTCTTCTACTGTCGTTGGCGATTGAGAGGAGTGCTATTCATTTATTTTCCTTAAGCATCCATTGGGTGAAGGGGGCATAGCTCGGGTACAGTGGTCTTCTAAAAGTTTAATGCTTTGCAGTATCTCTATATATATCTTTGCTTTGTTTAGTTTACCATCGAGTTGAATCTAGATTAAACCAGTTGAATTTTACATCGCACTCGCTTATGATCTCCCTTGATTTAATTTAATGCGTCTGTGTACCTCATCCAAAGTTGTTTAGCATCAGTGTTCTGTATACTACTTTCCGCATTGGAGATAATCTCGCGCGCGCCGGGAGAGCCATAATTATTGCAATACACATGGATTGCCAGACTGCGTCTATCACTTTGGCCTTGTGTCCAAAATGCGATCCGGCTTGAGCTTGCACATGTCACTTTGTAGGAACGGTCTTGGTCGACAGGTTGACCTGCCACCCAAAGACTCTGAGAAGCCTAATCCTTCAGGAAACCTTCTGATGTGTTAGGCATTCTTTTCTCGTGCTCATCCGATGTTCTCAACCCCTAGTAGGTATTATAGATCCCATCTCAAGCGTTGCAAGTATCCCGGTGGGCCCTGGATGCGGGCTTGGACACGTGCCCTTGAAGGATATGATGGGGTTTCTACAATCGCTGATTATCGCCTCCAAGAGATCTCGATATAGATGCGACATGATTCGAATCTACGAGACAAACACACCCCGAGCAATTCATCCATTTAGGCTGCATCAGGTAAAAGCAATTGAGAACGCATTGGTAGCATTTCTGCTCTCGTAGAGCTGGATATTATGATTCTAATTGCCACGTGAGTACCAGCAGAGTTATATAGGCGCATAAACTTATGATCGTTAGGAGAAGAACACTGTTCCCGCTTGTACGGAACCTCTTCTGCTTCTCGCCGACATCATCCGTCGTAGTGAAGAACTGCCGGTTTCCATGGTATCGACGGTATATAGCTACCACCATGATAGCCGTACCATAGAGAGAAAACAATGCGCCGATGGCATAGAATTCGGAAGTGAAGATCTTGAGAATGACAAGCGCGAAGCTGAACTGAGACAAGGCGGTGCGTATATATGCGCCTTCAAATGTCCGCTGTGCCGCTCGGATCTCTACCAGCCTGGACATGGGTTTCCCGGCATTAGCGGCGTCTTGTTTGACTAGGAACAGACCGCTGAATGAAGCCCACTCACTCATCAGAGGTAAGCACCACGGATCTGGCACGATGTAGCCTTAAATGCAGATGACTGCAGTATCGAAGGTTAGTGAAGGTCCTCGACGGTTTCGAGAAAGCTGGGAAGTTTGCAGCACGGCTGAGTCATGCGTGGGGGTTATGCACATATTGCTTTCCCTCTGTCGGCCTCTGTAGGGACAGCATGAAGAAGCATGAATAAGGAGCGTCTGAGTCTGGTGTTGACGTACTCTTCAGGATGGGGCTATGCGCACATTAGCGACTCGAGTCCCCGGAGCGTCGGAAGCTTGCAGGCGGAACGAAGCCGTTGCAGAGCTCCTTTCTAGTGGAGCTTACCTTGAACATGATGGGCTACCTTGTGGTTCTCACACGTCGAGAGGTGGAGTTACAAATGCCAAAGATATTGGCATGCCTAGATCAAAGCGACGTTGGATGTTACCCGCGGCTTTGGTCGTGGAGAAGAAACCTCGAGCCTTGGGCCTAAGTTAGTAGTGGCCCTAATCCTGAAAGGGAGCAACCTTAATTCAGCTCTCACCGAAGGTCCTTTCTGTCGTGGCGGCCGCGGCGGAACGGGGAAAATTCCGCATCAGTAGACTCCCAGAAATACGTTTTCCTGCGAAACTGACAGCTATCTTGGCCCGTTTAACAATCGCAAACAAGGCGATTAAATCGGGGCCTGTCCAGTGGAATCGAAATCCACCCACATGATTGGACAAACCAGGCCCAGCGGGGGTTACATCACGCCGCGATGTTTGAGCTGTTGGGGCCCTGACTGCCGCGGAACGTCAGATCGGTGCCGATCACAAGGCGGCCGTGGCAGGGTTGGTTCTGTTTTTGGATCGCGCACCATGCTGCATCTCCATCCAGATACGACAGTTTCGACACCCGTCGTGCAACAAATGCTCCCCAGGCTGATTGTAGCTGGGTAGATTCTGCGCCGCGGTCATGCACCCCAACCCGACTCATCTATCAAGGTGCGCTGGACTGCCAGTCCGCCTACTGTCGACTAATGCTTGTCCTGTGTGACATAACAATGCCGCTCGCTGTGGCGGTGCACAGATTCCGTCGGCAGGCATGGCGCCAGTGAAGAAAGACATTGTCATATTCAAAGCTAAACAGCCTTCAGAAACATGTTGTTTTCGAGGCTACTAAGGGTGGCTCGAAAGCCGTCATGGCTTTGTACGAGTAGTTTCGCAAAACCTCGACGTGGGGTCTCCTCTGCAGGAGCGAAACGCTCTGGTGCCATCTGGCCTCTCTGCACCGAAAGCAGATGTGCCGTAATGATTATATGTACTTAGGATTGAGACTGGTAGGGTGGCCGAGTGGCAGCACCTCGACACGCACCAGTCTCGCTCGCCTGTAGGCCTGTATGGCTGTATGCTACCTATACTAACTCAAGCGTCATGGACGAACGACATTACGGCAAAACGAAGCAAATCAATTTCGCCCACCTTACCCGCGCCATGATTCTTGCATACCAATATGGCCCGTACAGCCACACTGAAGGTGTTGGACAGTCCACATTCCGTCAATCCTTTGCTCACCTCTCTGTATGCGGTATGGCTTGTTAAAGCATCGGTAAACGCCCAGTCAGCCAATGCGAGACATCCCGGCTCCTGGGGCTGAGAAGTATGCCTAACAGCCCCTGTCCAATGGCGCGGGAAACGCCTCGGTGGGCTGGTGATGACCGAATGATGGGGACGGTCCAATAGTTCGCACGTCGAGTTACTTCACGTTGAGCCGCAGTAACTCTGAATCTCATGGCGATTCTGCCCGCGGTCTGCCCTTTGGGACACCTCGTCCAGCCCCGTGCCTCTTTCTTCTGCCACATCATTCTCCCTGCCTCACCCAGGTACTCTCAAGCTCATCGCAGCCATAATCGCGAACACCCGTCGCCCTATCGGTACATCTTGACCGGATCGCCTTTTTGAGCCCCCCCCTGGTCGACTTCTAGTGCACCACTAGAACTGGAGTATTTCCACCTTGACCCGTGGCGGGTCAAGACTCCCACACTCCACCATCGCACTTCCTAAGCACCCGTCAGATCTGAAGACACAACCGGCTCCTCTCCCGCGGAACACGCCTCGTACAATCGATGAACTTCACACTTGTCTGTTTTGCAGAGAGGATCTGTTCGCGACAAGTTCTGTGAGATTTAGATACAACTCCCCGAGTTCTGCGGACCAGAAGACCATTCTTGAGCGCATTTCCTCGAAGTGTCGCAAGGCTTTGGCTCGAACGCTGCGCGCTCGCTCGAGAATATGCTGCAGCGACAACACACTGCTAGGAGCTGAACGGTCCTAGTCCCTCCCGCTTGATTCCTATATACCGACCTCCATTCACCCACCTGGATAGGCCATACCATGTCATCGACATACTCTTATACGGTCTCTCCAGCGTCGCTCCACGGCCATCTGGACGATCGTGAACCGGGCCCCGAACCCCACCACGCTGACCCGCGCAGTACCAACTTCAACCATCCCGCCGCTTCTGACACCCAGCAGTTGCTGTCGCCCTTCTCGTCTCATAATCGGAGTAACTCGGCCTCACCTGCCACCAACTCACACACGCCTGCAGAGTCCACTTCGACCCTGAGCATCTACCCCAGCGACTTCAGCAGCGACGTCGAGGACCCCTTCTTTGGCGTCGACTTTAACAATTTCGAGGGTGGAACGCCTTCTTTCCTTGAGGACCCGACCTCATTAACGCCAGAGCTGCAGCAGGATTGGAACCAAAGGCCCACTAGTGATCCCTTCTATGGACAGTCGGGCTCTCCCTTGTCTCCGGACCACACCTCGATAGAGCCGAGTGTGTCGGCCCCTCAACTTACACCAGACACAAACGCAGGTCAGTTCCCTCTTGTTTGCTACTTCAATCACGAAGGAATCCTCGGCTCTCCTTTGTGTGGGCGGTCGAGAAGTCTTAATCGGAGGATGCAATATTTCTTGGCTCAGCGGCTTGTCATATTCCTACCCAACTGGATTCAACTCCACCTTAGCGTACCATCTTTGGTGCTCTACATCTTTGGCTGACATTCTGTGAACTTAGGGAGTTGGTCCAGTGCTGACAGCCCTGCTCCAGCCGCCATTACCATGACTAGTCCACGTGTGACAGTCTCGGTATGGGGTAAAGACGGGGAGGATCCCGTGCATACTGCTGAGAGATCGTTCAGCCCATCATTGCAGGATTCACTTAGCCTACGCCTGAACAACGATGACGCTCTCTCCGTGGAAACTCTCCATGGATCCGCACCCAGCGTTTCGCGGGACAACCGCGGGAATTGGCTTCCTGATACTACAACTGGTCAGCGAGGTCTTGATCCCGAGAGCCGACCGCCAGGAGAGACAGTGAGTATCAACCAGCTAGCCTCCGCTCGTAAAGTGGACGATAAAAACCTGGAAATTGCCTCGTGGGTGTCCGATACAGTTGGGCAAACGGGCGATCCATCGACCGCGGGCACTGCAAATCCAACCACCAACCAAAGCGCACAAGAGCGTGATAACATTCCTGATACCGAGATACCACTCGGCCACAAAACAGTGAATAGACACGCACCGGGCCAGGTCTACTATAGGCTAGGGTCGAATGAGGATGCAACTGCAGACGCGCGCTATAACGGCTTAAATGAGACTGATCTGGATATGTTGCCCCACCGCAATTGGGGTGACTCGCCAATGATCCATCCTATATCGCAGATAGACTCGAGGAGACATCAGCCGGAAAGCTCGCAAGCCGCAATAGAAAGGTTTGAAAGGATGTGCCACGATAACGAATCCGTCGTCTCTCACGCCGCCACATGGGGAACCCGCCGACGGAGCTTACCCAGCATCATTGATTCGGAGGGCATCATCAGTGGCAATCTCTTCAAGAAACTGTCAATCAGAGGTGACTCCTCCTCGCCTCGTCGGTCTAGTCTGCTCAGGAAGATACCTGCCATCGTGAGAAGGCCAAGTGCAAGCCAACTCCTCAAGCGCAAGGGTACCAACGGGGATGAGATGGTGTCCGAGGAGTCGAACCAAGGCGAACGAAGAGAATCCCGAGATAGCTTGGCTCCACCGAGTCGTACCTCGAGTTGGGGCATCAAGCAGAAACAGATGCCGAGTCTCAATACTGCAATCGTTAGTATGGCTACCGGTGCTGCATCCATTGGAGCAGCACACGCTAGGAATGGTTCGATAAGCGCTAGCTCTATGGCATCCCCCAAAAGCCCATTCGGCTTGGGTCCTGTCAAGAATACTCTGAGAAGACCAAGGAGCAAGACAGAGATACCGAGGACGGAGGCGTCACACCCCAATATTGTAGGCATGCTGAAGAAGGCCGGCGGCCCCCCTGTTGCACAGTTGGCCAAGTCTCAGCCAGGGCTTGATGCAGACGACGATGACGATGACGATGACGAGGGTTTCGACGACGCTGATATGAAGACTGCTAACACCAGAGCTGATGAGATCGTCCCCAACTTTGAGGGCTTCCAGCAACACATTCTCCGTCTTAATCCTACACTCTCCAATACCAACGGGTACCTGGTCGAGCGCATTGCACACCAAATGGTCGTTCGATACAAGAACCTTCAGAACCAGAAGATCAAACATCTGGGGGCTACCCGCTCACGACAATGTCAGTCCGGTGCTTTCTGCCTTGAACAGGGGGGAGCTGCGATGCCTTTGGATAGTAGAGGTGACATTCGTGGTGGTGACCCCTTATCACTTCGACCTGATTCTTCAGACGGCGATACCACACCTCTTGAAGGCGGGATCAACGCGGAAAGTTTTCCAATGGGTATCCCTATGCCACCCACGACTGTGCTACCCGCTGTAAGTGCCACTTTGGACTCTGCTCTATCCCAACCATGCCCCATGGCCGGTCTGTATCTGCTGGCGCTACGCACACAAACATGAGAGTTCCTTCACTTGCTGGAAGTTGTTTGCTGACCTGATGCTTAAGGAATTCGAGTGCCAGATATGTTTCAACGCTCGCAAGTTTGTCAAGCCTTCAGACTGGACTAAACACGTCCATGAGGACGTCCAACCCTTTACTTGCACCTGGGACAGATGCCGTGACCCAAAAATGTTTAAAAGGAAAGCAGACTGGGTCCGTCATGAGAACGAGGGCCATCGCCACCTCGAATGGTGGATGTGCGACGTGGACGATTGCAGACACACCTGCTACAGACGCGACAACTTTCTACAACATCTTGTTCGTGAGCACAAATTCGCCGAACCCAAAGTGAAGACCAAAGCAGCTATCAAGAAGGCTGGCGGCGCTGATCCTACCTGGCAAAAAGTTGAGAAGTGCCACGTCGAAACATCTGGGCGACCACAGGATGAGCCTTGCCGGTTCTGTGGGAAGACCTTTCCAACCTGGAAGAAGTTGACAGTGCATCTCGCAAAGCACATGGAGCACATCAGCCTACCCGTGCTAAGACTCGTTGCTGCGAAGGACCTCCAGGAAGATACGGTCATCAGTCCTATCCAGGATCCGCCGCCACGAAGCTTCAACTCGATTTCTACACCAGTGAAACAAGAAGCTCCTGTAGCTACGCCCCAGCGACCTCATGCGTTCTCTAACCCCATAGACTACAGTCCACAAATTGCGTACGGCTTCCCAAACAGTGCACATAATCATGTGCAGTCGTTCTACAATCCGAACCCAACAAATTCCCATTTCTCTGGCATCAACCATAACCCTGCTGGAGACATGGTCATGAACCAAGTTACCCCAGGCTTCTCTCAACCACCATACCAACAGTTGCCTGTCTCGGCTGGTCCACCATATAGCCACAGCGGCAATGCATACTTGCAAATGCAGGGGCAACTGGAGCCATTCCCATCATTTAACCCATTGGGCCTTCAGGATACGAGCGGAGGCCAAATTCCCTTTGACACGATGCAGAACCCCGTTATATCCAACGTGGACCAGTACAGCAACCAGGGTTCAGTGTCACCATACTCACACTCTCCCCATCAAGGCAACAATGGGTTCTATCAGCATTAGGCTCCGTCCGAGCACGGTTCGTCCGCACAACGTTAATCCCGTCAGAACTTTGCCTCGCGAATTGGGAACAACTTAGTGTTCTGCACGGATGCTCCACAGGCTGTCTTTGTTTACCCGAGAACCGGGTTCTGCCCACAAGTACTTGTCAGGCTTTCCATATATTTCCTCTTTTCTGTGATATCCCTTGGCGCTTCTGGCGGGTTCATGGTACACTTCAGATATCCTTTATTTGCGCTAGGATTTAGTTTATTTGATTTCGCATTTTCCTGGTTATCATTCCTGATAGACGGAGTCTGTGTTAAAAGGGATGCCCGTGGTGGAGAGCTTCCTACTTCAGAGCCATGAAGCTCAATGATGGTGCCGGGAAAGGGATCCAATGGTATTGCGAAGCGACTCATGAGGTGCGAAACAGAGGGGGCCATGACTTACACGGCACACATGCGCATCTCTCGGGGCCGACACATAACAACGTTGGTGATGAGAGGTTCGAGGCGTACGCCGTAGTATTCTATTTACATAAATATCAAATCCGATCTTTATACTTACCGTCTCTCACTTGTTACTGTGCCAGATATCCTGGGTTCATCTTGTCCTGCTCCAACAAGATAAAAAAAAGAAATGAAAAATTCAACCCAAAATTCCGTTTCACATATTTTTGTATCTAAAATCAACATACCATCAGGGCAGGGCTGACATACAGGCTGGCACGGTCGGACAGATAACCTTGGCTCTCATTCATTTCCCCAAGATCTTGGAGAGTGGTGGGAGCTATTTGCTTCCTTCGCTTCAAGTCCAAGCTCCACTCTTTCAATATGAGACACCCTTCGGCCGTTGCACAGCCACTTAATAGCCGTTCCAAAGTGGATAAAGCAGGAAGAAGGTAGCAGGCGATCAGTTGCCGCTTGAGTCGAGAACTCGAGCAACACGAACTCTTGCTGGTTTATCATTTCCTCAATCACTCTCAACACCGTTCTATTTAGACTGAAAAAGCAGGAAATAAACTGAGGTATAGCCTGGTATATGTAGGATAATGGGTCCCGGTGGCGAACCTACGGGAATCTACCACAGAACCTGGTACTTGGCAGGCCTGGAAACTGACTCGCAGTGAATAGCATAAACAACTATAGTTCGTAGTTTGATTCTGATCAGCTTAGTATATTCCCGTATCGTGACGCAATGCGATTGCGTCGCAGGATCTGTGAACATGTCTAGCCTTGTGAAAGGCGCACATGTTGCCAATTCAAGGCGAGTGCATAGAAATGCCCCCCCAGCTCGCAAATTGAGTTGGCCTGACGGCAGCTGGTGAGCATGCAGGCTTGGGTGGTGAGCCGACGCTCACCGGCGCGATGGCCAGACAGACGGACGGCTCTCGGGACTCAACTTCCTAATATGTTAATGACTGACATTGACTCCCCGTATCTGCGGCCCAAGACTGCCGTGGAGCAAGTTTGCAAGTTGGCAGGTTGGCAACTAGAATGTGAGTGAGACCTTGGAAGTATCCGGTCGCATGGAAACCCAACGGCGGCTTAGACAGGCACGCTGCTACCCTCTGACGCAGTGGTTCCAAACCTCTGCGCCACGCTCCGATGGGGCTCGCGGCAGCTTCTAGTTAGTCAGTTTCCCCGGCGGACGGGTCGCTAGCTTCCACGGTCGGTTGCAAGCCACCAAGCCACGATCTTCAGAGGAGCCCTGGAGTCCAGTAGCATTATGCAGCGGTGAGCCAAGCAGGTAGCCTACTGTGATCTCGTGTTAGGATTAGGATTCTAGGCAGAGTTGAGCTGGGTTGAGGCAGAGGCCGAGCCTGCGAGCTGAGCATAGGTAAGCCCGTCGTCTTTGTCAGAACAGGAGGCGCGCAAGATATGAAGAAGCTATCACAAAGAGCCCATTTCATGCGCCGCGCACACAGCCTGGGCGACCCAGACGACGGCATAGGAACGCTGGAGGGCTCCTTGGCTCCCTCATTTGCGCTCTGCCAGTCGCCTCGCTGGCCCAGATGGCGCGGTTTCGAAAATAGCCGGGTTCCACCTACTAAAACGGCTCGGCTGGGCCCACGGGCAGCTCGCAGCCAATGGCCCTGCAGCGACGGGCAGAGGGCCCCCTGCCGTGGGTTTCGTGTGGGCTGGCTAACTTGCCGCCGACCTTGGCTTCTCCAGCAAAAAGGCGCTCGGCAGGGGGCCATCTGAAGTCTGGAACCAGTCGAGTGGTCCTCATTCGACGAGCACGAGATCTGTTCAGGGGTTGCTGATGAAGTGAGATCAGGGCAATTCGACACCAGGGGCCGGTCCTGCATCGTCGCTGGCTCTGTTGTTCTGCTGCTACACCGTCTTCACCAACCAGAGGGGCCCTGACCACCACTCTTTCTCTCCAGTTTCGTCCCCCATCGCCCGTCCTTTAGCTGTCTTATCTTTTTTTCCTCACTCGTTTATGGAGAGAGAGAGCAAGCCCGCCATCGTCCCCTCGTTTCATATATGCGCCATTGTGTCCTAGTCTTTGCCATCGTCAACCACCTTCTCGTCGTCCTTGACGCCGTGCCCAGCTGTCACATAGGATAACCGGCGACTACTCACACAACACCCTCATTTTTCTTGCTTATATCCTTACTACGAAGGCAAATTGGCGTGCCTGCTCTCGTTGTTTCTTTCTTTCGTTCCAGGTTGACCCTCGGCCTCTTTGAACAAGTGAACATTTCCATTCTTGGACTCACTCTTTGCCCATTGTTCTTTGTGTACTCTGGGAGTCCGAAGCCTTATTTTTCCTGGACATATCTATCTATCCTACATACAGCTACCGCCGAGTACCGAACGAATGTTTTCTGTCCAATCTTCAATACAACAACAATAACAACATCAACAACACTCTAGACGCCCACGGGATATCAATTGGTCGAGATAACCCGACAGTTAGAACGACTGGTCCACGACGACATTTCTTTGATTATCGAATACCGAATAGAAGCATAGCGATTTCCTTGCCATTCGTTGCATCACGACTCTAGTTTATTTTTCAGAATGGCGCGGTCGAGTTCGAAATGGAATATCTGGCGGGCCGCCGCTGTGGCAACAACCTTTGCAACAGGTGTTCTCGGCGATAGCGTCCTGACCACCAGCAGTTTCACCAACTGTAATACGGACTCGAGCATTGTGGTGAACAACGTCGACATCACCTACAACAACGACGACAAGAAAGTGGTGTTCGACGTGTCGGGAACGAGCAACAAGGTCCAGAATGTGAGCGCGGAGTTGAAGGTAACCGCATACGGCCAGGACGTATATACCAACAAGTTCAACCCCTGTGACACGGCCACCTATGTCGAGCAATTGTGTCCTGTGCCATCCGGCACGTTCAGTGCCAAAGGCAGCCAGGCTATTCCTTCAGATTACGCCAACAAGATCCCAGCAATAGCATTCTCGGTTCCCGATATTGCAGCAAACGCCCAACTGACCCTGACGTCTCTCGATGACGGAAAGGAGGTTGGTTGTATCCAATCCCAGGTCACCAACGGCAAGACAGCTAGCGTTGCGGCCGTCTCGTACATTATGGCTGGAGTCGCCGGCCTAGCTCTCATTGCCTCTGGAGTCTCGGCCATCGGCTCTGCGCTCTCAGGAGCCGGAGCGGCAAGCAGTGGAGGCGGTGCCGGAACCGTCAGCCCCAGCTTTGGTGAGGTCATTGGTGTATTTCAAGGCTTTGCGCTCAATGCCATGCACTCGGTCAACTACCCCCAGGTATACAAGTCGTTTGCGAAGAATTTTGCCTTCTCGACCGGTATCATCCCCTGGGCATCGATGGAGAGATCGATCGACAACTTCCGCAACATGACCGGTGGAAATTTGACAGAGAACAGCTTCGATTTCTTGCAGAATGCAACCCTGGTATACCCCGACGGGTCGACGGCAACTCCTGACAAGTCAATTCTCAAACGCGCCCTGGATGAGTTCGCGACAAGCTTGCTTGTCATGCGAGATGATCTGGAAACCTCAGTCAACTCCTCCACAACAGCCGAAAATGCCACAACCACTGAGTCGACCTTCAAGACTGCTGTCTCTGGGATTGAGGGCTACGTTGAGCAGTTGGCTGTACCCCAAGCCAACACATATATGACCGTTCTGTTGATTGTTGCCATTATCATTGCGGTCATTATTGTTGGCATTCTACTCGTAAAGGTCATCCTTGAGGCTTGGGCCCTGTTCGGGAGCTTCCCGAAAGGATTGACGGGATTCCGAAAGCACTACTGGGGATCCATCGCACGTGCCATCACCCACCTGATTCTGCTTCTGTACGGCGTCTGGGTCTTGATCAGTCTATACCAGTTCACAAAGGGTGACTCATGGGCTGCGAAGACTCTGGCTGGTGTCACCCTGGCCTTGTTCACTGGTATCTTGGCTTTCTTCTCCTACAAGATTTGGAGCACCGCGCGGAAGCTCAAGAATGCCGAAGGTGACTCCCGTGGTCTGTACGAAGACAAGAACATCTGGGTCAAGTATAGCTTGTTCTACGAATCATACAAGAAGGACTACTGGTGGGTGTTTGTGCCGGTCATTGTTTATCTACTAGCCAAGGGTTGCGCCCTGGCCGTACTCGATGGAAGCGGCATGGCTCAGACGATTGCACAGCTGGCCATCGAGGCTGTTATGCTGGGACTTCTGCTCTGGAGCCGACCGTTTGAGCGCAAGTCTAGCAACGTGATCAACATCATGATCCAGGTTGTACGTGTTCTCTCGGTGGTGTGCGTTCTGGTTTTCGTGGAGGAATTTGCCATCGCACAGACGACCCAGACTGTTGCTGGCGTTGTCCTCATCGCCGTGCAGTCGGCCCTTGCCGGTATCCTCGCGCTGCTGATTGCATGGAACGCTATCGTCGCCTGTTGCAAGGAAAACCCTCACCGCAAGCGCAGAAAGGAGATGGGTAAGTGGGAACAACTCGCCCTCCAGAAAGCCCACGCACAGATTCTAGCTTACTGACAATGTCAAACAGAGAAAATGCAGCGTGACATGGACACATTGACCCCATTAGATGCACGCAACTCCCTCCTTCTCGACCGGGTGCACTCCAAGGAGGGCACAACCTTCTCGTTGGCCGACAACGTCCATGAGAGCAAACAGCCTCTGGCCCGCGGCCAGTCGCCCGAGCGCTACCTCGGTACATCCGAGCCTGCCAACCCGTACTCTGTGGCCACTTACAACAGGCCCTTGACACCGAGTACGCCTTACAACAATGACCAGAGCAGAGACCAGCTGTTGGGCAGTGCTGCGCCGATGGGCAGACAACCCACGTTGCCCAACGTAGGGTATGGCGGTGGGTATGGTAATGCGGGAGGATATGCGGGATTCCGATAGCGAAGCGGACATTGATACCACGTGTGGAATATTGGATTAGCGGGACATTCAGTCTTCATGTACCATACTAGAGGACGAACCGATCTGTACAAAGCTGGCTAGGATACGGATAGGGACTATCATATAAATATGGGGAGTAGGTGTTATATAGATAGGAATGGTGTAATATCAAGAGCCGATCATATCAAACAAAGGGCCTGGCTAATGGTGCTGTGTCACATTTGCTACTTGTGCTGCACCCCCTTGTAATTTACCCATCTTTAGGATTGAAACTTGGACAGCATATGCGTTCGACAAAGCTCAAGACGACCATTTCGAAGATAGCTTTTTTTTTTTTTTTTTTTTTTTTTTTTTTTTTTTTTTTTTTTTTT